TTCTCTCATCTCAACTTTTCCTCTTTTTCCTCAACTTTTCCTCTCCCGAGGCCGTTGACCGCTTAACCATCCAAGTCACGAAAAATTGAGGAGAAATTTTTCAATATTACAAAGAAATATCGAAAAGCTTGGGGAAAAGAATAAAAAGATTTAAAAGTTGAGTGATTTAAAATCGATTAAGTTCTAGTTTCAAGACGTTTCTGCGCGTGTTGTCGTAGAGGAGAACGATCTCTCGACTCCACAATTCTTCTTCAGGGATTCATTCACCTTCTCCAACTGTTTACTGTATTTGATTGCATTAAGGGTCGTCTTGCTATCCAGCAACTCCCAGTACACCACACCAAAGCTACACTACTGGACAATGAAATATCATATTTGAAAAAAAGATCGTCACTTTCGCGCGTCTGTAACTCCCTTGCCTTTACCGTATTTCTAAATATTAATATTACCATTGTGTAGCCCTTGAAAAGAGCTTTCAGAAAATGTATAACACTAATAGTTTAAGCTCAAAGACAAGGGAGTTACAGACGCGCGAAAGTGACGATCGTTTTTCAATGATGATATTTCATTGTCCAGTAGGTGTACCTATAACTGTTGTTGCTGCTTTTTTTATCCCCTAATGTGGTTTCTATATTTGCATGTAAAACTCTTCTGTTAAAGTCTCTTTTTCTAAAAAAACGACTTAAAAACAGCGGGTTTAAAGCGGAGAAGACACATGCCATTTAAACCTAAAAATGCAAAAGAACAAATCCAGCTGGCGGATTCGAACTTACCAGGTATTACCTCGTATTCTAACTCACTACCATTGTCCAGTAGTGTATATTACGGTCTCATTTGAAAGCCTGATCTTGCTTGTTCAAAACTATATTTTAAAAGATTCAAAAGATGCAAAAGATTTAAAAGATTTGAGATTCAAAAGGATTCAAAAGATTCAAGAGATTCAAAAGATTCAAAAGATTTAAAAGATTCAAGATTCAAAAGATTCAAAAGCTTCAACTCATCAGCTGTCATTCAACTCACTGTCAGATGGAGTACTTTCACTTCCACTCGACTTTTCACTGATCATTTAACCAAAACAGCTACCGTAATCCGTTTCCTTTAAGCTAGCTACCGTAATCCTACCTTAATCGTCTACAGTAATCCGTTTCCTTTAAGCTATCATCAGCTGTTCACTGTCAGATGATGTGCTTCCACTTGATCTCTCTTTCACTTCCCCTTTCACTCATCATCCAACCAAAACCAGCTATTAAATAGTTTAATTTTCCAAAAAACTTTCCTTTTCTGTTCTATTTCTTGATAAATGCATGCTTTTTGATGGATTTGGAGTAAAACAAAAGAAAAATCACCAAAAATCCCCTCCTCAGAAATCAGTTTAAAGCCTGTAAAAGCCAAAAATCGACTTTTTACCTTTTCCAAACAATAAACTCTCAAAAAAACTCAAGCTATTTTTGGTTATTTTTGGTAAATCGGTAAAATTTCAATAATTTCCATGCTTCAGTCATTTTTTCGTGTGCAATCACACGGAGAAACTCGTTAGAAAAGAAGGGAAAGTGTTATCAGAAAAGACACCCTCACTTTTTTCGCTTTTTTTTGGCCGCAAACTAAAAGCTAAAACCCACCCACCTGAAGGGGCATTTTTGGAGAATGAATTCGCATTCTTAATTCTGATTTCAAAAGTCTATTGAAGATTCTATTTCTAAAACTTTGAATCATTTGTCAGAACAGAGAAAAACGGCGTTAAAGTTAACTGGCTTTTGCGGTTTTTTCTTAAAGGAAACCAGCAGAAGTCGATCAACTTTAGCGGCTTATATCTCGAGGTACATGCATCGGATCAACTTATGGTTAGTTTTAAATGAATCCTCATTAAATTTGGCTAAAGAAAAGTAAAATTTGTTTTGTGTACTCGGCTGTAAGAACATAGAGAAAAAAGGCGTCAAAGTTTACTGTTCTGCTGTTTTTTTCTTAAGGAAAACCAACTGGAGTCGATCAACTTTAACGGCTTATATCTCGAGGTACATGCATTGCATCGACTTACGATTAGTTTCATTAGAATCCTCATTAAATTTGGCTTAAGAAAAGTAGAATTTATTTTGTGTACTCAGCTGTAAGAACAGAGAAAAACGACGTTAAAGTTAACCGGCTTTTGCTGTTTTTTTTTCTTAAGGAAAACCAGCAGAAGCCGATCAACTTTAACGGCTTATATCTCGAGATACATGTACATGTTACTGTTGATATGCTATGAAAAGGCTAGTTACAGTAGTTTGATCGTAAGCTAACTATTCAGTTAACTAGTTAACTATTCAGTTCAGCTAACTCAGCTAACTAGGACTATTCAGTAAAGGGTTTTGTACTTTGTGCTCATCACCATTCCTTCATTGCTCATTTCTTCCCTCTTTTCTTCTGAAAATACTTCTTATCCTCAAGAAAACAAGCTTCATTGCAATATAAGATGTTTGTTTACAGAAACAGAGCACAAAGTACACTTCAAAGGGCAAGTTTAGTCTCATAATTGAATATCTAAATAAGGCATTCAATTATGGGGCTCGTTTAAAAGGTAAGAAACACGGGAAATTTCACGCTTTGTTTACCTTTTCTTGCCTTCAAAAAAAGCTGATACTAGCTGATTTCTCTAAAAAAAGATCGACTGAAAAAGAGAAATTTTGTGGCTTGTTGAACCGAGTGATCTCAGAGATATGGTCATTTACATTTTCTTTTCATTCAATTTCCTTTTCATCACCAAATTTCTCAAACTTCTTCAACAAAAAGTTGAAATTCGGTTTGTGAAAGTAAAAGCTTTCACTTTGAAAGCTATCGTAAAGCTACTGTAATTCAGCTTCCTTTAAACTAGCTACAGTAATCCTACCGTAACCCTACCATACCGTAAAGCTACTGTAATCCAGCTTCCTTTAAACTAGCTACAGTAATCCTACCGTAACCCTACCATACCGTAAAGCTACTGTAATCCAGTTTCCTTTAAACTAGCTATCGTAAAGATACCGTAACCCTACCGTAATCGTAAAGCTACTGTAATCTGTTTCCTTCAATCCAGCTACCGTAATCCCACCGGAATCTCAACGTAATTGTAAAGCTACCGTAATCCTGTTCCCAATGCTCTTAATCTGTCATTCATTTGTGGATCTGATTGTCAATAGGTGTACAATGGAAATAGAATTACTTAAACGGCTACTTTTTCAGGATATCAGAAAGCTTTTTTCCAAGCTTTTTCCAAGCTTTTTTCCAAGCTCAACTCTGAAACTGAAAAGGGTGATCTTTTGATTTAAAAACTAGTTCGTTAACCGTTAAAGTTCGTTAACCGTTAGCCATTAAAGTTAAAGATCAAATCTCGTTTTTCCATTAGACACCTATTGACAGTAACTTGACAAGCAACAAAGCATCTCTAAAAGAGCTCTCCCATTAGTCATTTAGAGGTGGAACTCAACTGCTTTTCCGCTTTACTCGATCTCTTTCAACCTTATCATTTCAACCCAACCTCAACTATTTTTTTTAAAAATTTAACATTTATTTATCTTTTATTTTTTGTGAAATAAAAAGGGAAAAAAAGGATTAAAAAGGATTTGACATAACTGTCATGTTTGAGGATGATTTTTTGTAACTCGAGGCGTTTCTCTCACAATCAATTCTCACAATTTGTTCGTAATTGATTTGAAAAGACAAATTTCTCAAAGAAAAAGAAACAAAAATCTCATTTTTATTCTTTTACAACAATTTCGCTTATTTGTAGAGTTTTAAATGGGATTTTGAATTTCAATTTCAATTTAAATTACCCTATTCTTTCTAATAGTAGTTACTCCGTCAAGCCGAGTTGGTGACTATTTTATGGCTTCCAAGCTTTTGCAGAAGCTCAACACTCTAGTCATCGTCAAGATCTCATCGTCAGCTACATTTTCCGCCCACACATCGATAGGTTCTGATAAGCGGTTCTCGAGATTTCGAGGAATTTAGGCGACGCTCAGGGTGCACTACTATTAGAGAAAATACGGTAGTAGATTTTTAAAGCATTTAAGTCAATCCACCATTCACACGATCTTTAATGATTTTCTGATTTTTTTTTGTCAACAAAGACCTTCTGGCACACTGATTTAGTGGTATTTTTGTTTCTTTTATTGTACTTTGTGCTGAAATCTGTAAACGAACCCTTTCTGGGGCACTGAATTCATCAACAGCTCGCTGAATTCAGTGGACTAGAAAAGTACGTTTACCGAAAGTACTTGTACTTTGTGCTCGGCTGTAAACGTAAGCTTCCCAGCGCATTGAACTTCTTCTTTATGGGAAAAAATTAGACTTTTCTCTTGAGAGATTCACTTTTCTTGTGAGACATTAAAGAACTCAATGCACTAGAAAGCTTGCGTTTAAAAGTCACCACAAAGTACGGGCAGAGAACTCGATGCACCAGAAAGCTTGCGTTTAAAAGTCACCACAAAGTACGGGCAGAGAACTCGATGCACCAGAAAGCTTGCGTTTAAAAGTCACCACAAAGTACGGGCAGAGAACTCGATGCACCAGAAAGCTTGCGTTTAAAAGTCACCACAAAGTACGGGCAGAGAACTCGATGCACCAGAAAGCTTGCGTTTAAAAGTCACCACAAAGTACGGGCGAGAACTCGAGCACCAGAAAGCTGCGTTTAAAAGTCACCACAAGTACGGGCAGAGAACTCAATGCACTAGAAAGCTTGCGTTTAAAAGTCGCCACAAAGTACGGGCGAGAACTCGATGCACCAGAAAGCTTGCGTTTAAAAGTCACCACAAAGTACAGGCACAAAGCTCGAGAATCAAAGCCCAAATTCTCAAAATTATTTTGATTTCCTGCAAATATTCAAACTATTTTATTATCTTATTATATTTCTTACTCTTTTTTTATGCTTTTTTTTTAATCTATTTCTTATATAAATTCTTAATTTTCAGTTAAGAAACTGGCCTGAAAAAAGAAAATTGTGAACAAGAAGTGAGCGAGCTCTTTTTTGCTTCGTTTATTCACTCCAAATGGACTCAAAATTTATTAAGCAAGAAGTAAGTTCGAGAAATTTGCATTTTTCGATTTAAAGATTTGAAATTTTCCCGTTTTTTATGCTAATTTTTTAGGTGAATTGGGACGGGCATTTGAGCGCTACCGGCTGCAACAACAACACGCTGCCTGGCGGTTTGTGAATCCATTTTAAAGCTTACATTTTAGTTTATATTTATAGAGTTTAAATTTATGAAAAGATATGCTCAATAGGTACCCGAATAGACACTTATTATACTATATCTAATATCTATAATATCTAGACTTTTATCTAGATGTGTTCCCAGGTCTTCCCCCGCTTGCCCACCATCCGAATTCTCTGCTTGGCCCTCCTCAACCCATCGATTGGTCGCTTCCGTTTGGATCGATCAAAGTGAGCATTGGATATAATCAATAGAAATATGAAAAATATATAAAAAAACAATTGGATATAAAAAACAATGAAAATCAAAATTGAGTGGCATAGCCCGGAGTCGAACCCGGATCGTGTGGGTTGTAGACCAGCGCGCTCCCGACTACGCCATGGCGACAATAAGACCGCGGCGACTATCCAACCGGATAAACCCCCCTAACGGCGATTTGGATGCTAGGGGATCATCGACGGTTTCCGTCATGGTTTTCTATCCAGATTTTTTGGGGACGTCAGCATAGTGAACGTGGCGCAGTCGGCAGCGCGCTTGTCTATAACCCACACGGTGCGGGTTCGACTCCCCACTCTGTCATCATTTTTTATTTTTAAAAAAACAAAATAATTGATGTAACAAAATAACTAGATAGAAAAACCCTTGCATATGCAAATTTTATGCTAATTTGATGCAAATTTGATCCAAATTTGATCCAAACTTGATGCAAATTTCCGTATCCATTTGATAATCTTTAAATGATTTCTCCATTTTCAGTTCCCTGTCTCAAAAATCTCCTCAACGCCCTACAGTGATGCGACGAATTGCAAGAAATCCTCGAATCACATCAAAGTGAGTTTTTAGAAGTTCACATTGAGTTTATTGAAGTTCACATTGAGTTTTAAGCTAAAAATCTAAAGCTTAAGCTAAATCTAAAGCTTATAACCATTCTTTCTTGGTCATTTCTTTTTTCTATTGTCTGTTTTTTTTTGTTTTTCCCGACTGAGTCTTCTATTAGCTTATCGCCTTTTTTTGGGAAAGAGTTTATAAAAAAATATCTGATATGAAAAAAAAATGGTGATGAAAAAAAGAATGAAATTTGTTTAGAAAGAGATCTGAAATTATGAATGAACGAAATTAAGTACTGGTTTGGGAATTAACATTACTTTACTATGAATTAACAGAACATTACTATGAATTTACAGCTCAAAAGCTATCGTAATCGAAAACTCGATCACGGTAGCTTTTTCAGGGCTTTAGAAATCCAGCTTTTTCGTGCTTTAGAAAGCGATTTCTAGAAGGCGAACTTTTAAAAAAAGCTACCGTAGCCTAGCTATCGTAGCCCAGCTGTCATAATCCAGCTACCGAAGCCTAGCTACCGAAGCCTATATCGAGCCCTATCGTAGCCTAGCTACCGAAGCCTAGCTATCGTAGCCTAGCTATCGTAGCCTAGCTACCGAAGCCTAGCTATCGTAGCCTAGCTATCGTAGCCTAGCTACCGAAGCCTAGCTATCGTAGCCCAGCTGTCATAATCCAGCTACCGAAGCCTAGCTACCGAAGCCTAGCTATCGTAGCCTAGCTATCGTAGCCTAGCTACCGAAGCCTAGCTATCGTAGCCCAGCTGTCATAATCCAGCTACCGAAGCCTAGCTATCATAGCCCAGTTATCATAGCCCAGTTATCATAGCCCAGCTATCGTAGCCTAGCTATCGTAGCCTAGCTATCGTAGCCCAGCTATCGCAACCCATCTACTGTAATCCAGTTACCGTAGCCCATCTACCGAAGCCCATCTACTGTAATCCAGCTATCGTAATCCAGCTACCATAGCCCATCTACCGTATAGCTCTAACTTTAGATACATTGTTCATTTCTAGAAAGAAGCCTTGTATTAGATCCGACAGTGTCTAAGAATTTTGATAGATAAATGTGATTTCTAGTAGCTTCTTGTGTTCTTAAATTTTGTACAATATAGTGCCTAGAAAGTGTACTAGAAACTGCACTAAAAACTGTAATTGATAGATTCTAGACAATGTCAAATCCTTTCCTAAAACTAGATCAAAACTAGATCCGATGAGCTTTATTCAATTTCAAAATTTCACCTGGGTAAAGCCTGGAATTCGATTGAACGCCAGGCTTTAACTAGGATTTCCAAACTCTTAACTTCTTGAACTTGTAACGACTCGATCAGGCTTGTTTAGACAACCTGAAACAGCCTTTCGGACAAGCGGACAAGCTTCAAATTTCAACCCTGGGAATTCGGTGAATCCCAGGGTGAAGGCGATATCTGCAAAACTTTCTCTAGCTTCTTTCCACTCTTCCAGACTTCTCCTTCTTTTGAAAAAGACTTGATAGGAGTTTTTTTTAAGGGGACATGGAAAATGATAAAAAAAAAACTGAAGCACCCCCACGAGACTGGTGATAAGGAGTGGCACAACAAACATACGCAACTATCACTCAATTTTTTTGCCTCCACTATACGAAAAATGGCATAAAGCCAGGGAAGTGTTGGGAAAAGAAAAGTAAAAAATGAAAAATGAAATTGGGAAAGAGTAAAAGAATACTGTTGATTTTGAAAGAAAGTTTATCGATTGTCAAATCGTTTCTTTTGATTTGCTTCTCTAACTAACTTCTCAAGCTTTGAAAAGCTCTACCTAGCAGTAGTAGCAGTAGCAAGTAGCTCTACCTAGCAGTAGCATGAGAACTACCTAGTTCTCTTGAGAACTACTTAGTTCTCTTGAGAACTACCTAGTTCTCTTGATCCAGAAAGCTTTGAAAAAGCTTTATCCAGAAAGCCTACGTTACATGTATGCTTGTTTAAAGAAATCCTATCAAATATCAAGCATTTGAACTCTTAGATAACATGTATCAGATACTATGCTCTTTACAAAACTTTTCCATTACATTCAGGTACACTACTGGACAATGAAATATCATATTTGGAAAAAAGATCGTCACTTTCGCGCGTCTATAACCCCCTTGTCTTTACCGTATTTCTAAATATTAATATTACCATTGTGTAGCCCTTGAAAAGAGCTTTCAGAAAATGTATAACACTAATAGTTTAAACTCAAAGACAAGGGAGTTACAGACGCGCGAAAGTGACGATCGTTTTTCAATGATGATATTTCATTGTCCAGTACTGTAGATGAGTCATGGTGGGTCATGTACATGAGGTGGACTTTTCTTGATTAAGCAAATCAAGGAAAGTCCACCTCATGTACATGTCCAGGTTGACCGGCGGATTGTCCCTTCTTTGAGAAATCAAGGAAAGTCACTTCTTTCCTTGAGTGGACACTTCTCAAACTAACTTCTCAAGCTTTGAAAAGCTCGAGCTCGAGAACAACCTAGTTCTCTTGATTCGGAAAGCTTTGAAAAAGCTTTATCCAGAAAGCTTTGAAACTCTTAGATAGCTTTATCCAGAGCTAAAAGCTTTATCCAGAAAGCCTACGTTATATGTATGCTTGTTTAAAGAAATCCTGTCAAATATCAAGCATTTGAACTCTTAGCTAATAAGTAAATAATGCTCTTCACAAAACTTTTCCATTTAGCGTCCAATGAACGCGTTCATGGTGTGGAGTCAAATGGAGCGGCGCAAAATTTGCGAACACCAACCCGATATGCACAATGCGGAGATATCGAAACAGGTATTTGATCTTGAGATAGAGATAGTCAGATATCGAAATTGGTATAGATTGGTATAGGGAAAGCCTTGAATTTAGCTCCTTACCAGGGAAAGCCTTGAATTTCGATTTCAGTAGCGATTTCTAGGCTTCTTAGTGCTAATTTCTAGATGATTTCTAGGTGCAAACACCCCCTGATTTAGAGCATTCCAAAGCTGCTTTCAAATCCTATTTCTCATCAGCCATTTTCGAGATATAAGCCTTCAAAGTTTCCGCGAATTTCGCTAAACAGCCAGCTAGCCTAGTTAAAGGTCGTTGTCGCTGACCGATCAACCTCCCTCGGTGGTCTAATGGTTAGCACGCTAACAAACAGGGTGTCTAGTCCCTGGTTCGGATCCACTGATCAGCTTTTTTAGAAAAACACTTGAAAATCACTTTTTCAGCAGGAATTTATATTAGTTTAACATACTAATCTAACCTATATTAATTATATATTAGTTATATATTAGTTAACCTTTATTAGTTAACTATTCTATATTAGTTTAACGGTTTTTGAATCATTGACCAAAAACAGTGACTTTTTTTGGGTATAAAGGTAGCTTTGAAAGCAGTTTCGGGATAATTGAACCAGTTTGTACCTAAGTTCGCTTCTGAAATGTAAATTCATGGGGTTTCCTAGCTAGATACCGTACCCAATACTACCGTAAATACTGTAATAGTACCCCACCCCCATAGTGACGGTGCGGAGTGTTGCGTAGTCTAGCTTTGAACGCGCTTTTCTCGACACTGGTTTATGCTATAATGCTCGTTTAGATATCAAAAAATAGCTGAAATTCAGGGCTATTTTTTGATACCAAAAACGTATTTTTTTGGAAGTACGGATGCTTTGAAAAGCAATAAAATACTGAAAAACTTTTGCGACTACGTGACTGTACGAGGGGGGTTGGGGTACTATTACAGTATTTACAGTATATAAATCTTTAGCTCGGCTCCCGATGGAGACAGTTGACCGAAGAGGAGAAATCGCCGTTTGTCGCCGAAGCTGAGCGACTCCGACAAATGCATATGCAGGTGAAATCATTGAAATGTGCTCAACTCGGTAAACGCAACCCTTCTGGTGCACTGAGCTCTTCACTATTCAATAAATCTCAAAGAAAAATTGAGGAATTCAGTGCACTAGAAAGAGTGCGTTTCCAGAAAAAGTAGAACTTTATCTATAGATTATAGATGAATGGATGAATCCTTTTTTAATGTAATCCTCAATTCTAGGAGTACCCTGACTACAAATATAAACCACGAAAGAAGCCAAAGAAGAACCCGGACGGATCCCTTCAACAACCACAACAAAGCTCTCAACCTCCGCCCAATTCACACGGGAAAACGCCGAAAACCGCGCAGAAGAGGTAAAAGAGGAGACGAACTTTGTTCGAATCGTAGCCCAGCTGACATAATCCAGCTGCCATAATCCAGCTGCCATAATCCAGCTATCGTAGCCCAGCTATCGTAGCCCAGACGAAACTTAAGCCAAAACTGGCTTTAGCCAAAACTCTCCCTATTAGAATATACCAAATAAAGTTTTCTTTTAGACCCCTTGGCGGAATGGGACTTGTGCAAGTTGGTGGCGATCCATTCCCATCTGCGAAAGCGATGAAGATTGAGGGAATGAGTGATGGACAGGGAGCGGTGATGCCATTCATGCTGAGACACGATGAGATAAAGAGTCCGCACGGGAAACAAGTAGGTTGAGACTGTGGAAATTGGGCTTTAAAACAAATTTCACGAATCTAGAAGCAGAAAAGTAAGTGTTGACTAGAGCCGAATCGCTCTTGCTTCCTCTAGAATTGGTTCTGAATACTCTTCGAACCGGGAAAAGCCGGGAAGACCCTTTGAGCCTTTGGATTCGCCTCTAAACGATCACTAGGTGTTGCAAGAGTTTTAAACTCCTTTGCTGAAGAAGTTTGAATGATTTCCAGGTCATATGGCCTATTTTGAAGCTGTGAAACTAAAATTGAAATAAAGTGGAAAAAGCAAAAAATTTGTCATCCGCAGGATTCGAACCTGCGCCCTCCGAAGAGGACTGCGACCTGAACGCAGCGCCTTAGACCACTCGGCCAGAATGACAGGTTGTCTCTGGGACTAAAAGGGATAGAAGAAGCCGCTGAAGCCGTCAGAAGTCAAGCCAGGTTTCTGACTAAAGCTGTCTTCAGCGGCCTCTTGTCACACTTTAGTGGAGCTGGATAAACTGTCGTTCTAGCCGAGTGGTCTAAGGCGCTGCGTTCAGGTGGCGGTCCTCCCGCGGGCGGCAGGTTCGATTCCTGCGAATGACAAAGTTCTTTGCTTTGAAAGAAAACGTCTTTTGAAAACAAGTTACCATTTTGCAGGACTCTCGCTACTCGTGCTCATTCCCATCTCCATCCGAATTCGGTCATCAACCGTTAACCCCCGAGTCGGGTTTCTACGATGATTACTACCCGAATGCTCCTTTCCCGCTTCACGCATCCACCCCACCGAATCACATCCATCTACACAATATGGTTAGCTCTTTTTCATGGCAAGGCATAGGCTTAAGCTTAGGCCTAGCTACCTTAGCTCAGGCTCAGGCTCTTCCTAAGCCTAAGCCTGAGCCTGAGCTCTAACTGTAGCTCCAGTAACCCAAGTCTAGCCTGGGTTTTATGAAATTTAACCAAGTTTTCGAGATCTAAAGCCATCTTTCTTTAAATTCTGGAATTTACTTCAATTTTCGTCCTCTTTAAGCCATTTATCTTACAAAATTATGTAATATAAACGAAATTTTTGAATCCAGGAACCACCATTCGGTCGTGCACCGCCCGGTTTCTCCTTCATGCCTCACTCGGCTCCTGTAAACATTCGACCTCCACCACCGCACAATGATCAAGTTTGTTTTTTTCGATTTTCTTGTGACTTATGAGAGTTTCGAAAAGAGTAGAAAAGAGTAGAAAAGAGTTTAAAATCTTTAACAATTCCAGGAAGACGTTCGATCACTTTCCTCGGGCTCTTCAGGGTATGGATCGGTTCACGGAGGAGGGCCCTCGTCGAACGGTTAGTGACATGAAAACTATGCTAATTTCTAAAGTCTATCTACAGTATCCCAGAAGATGATACTTGTCGTTAGCGTAAGTCTAGTTTACATTAGTGTCCAGCTTTACTGTACTTTAACCACTGAATGCTGTAGTGAGACAGCTTTTAAGGTCATAATCTCAATGAAATAGACTTTCTAACTATAATATCTTTTTCAAAGTATCATTTAAGATGAATGAAAGAGCTCAGCTTCAAGTTTAGAGTTTAGAATCAGAGTTTAGAATCAGATCCAGTGATCGCTCCTGGCTCTTTCCCGCCTGAGGCTGAGATGTTGCCGTCGATCACCGATTTCAGTTTTGCGCACGCATTACGGAATGGATCTGGTTAGTGAAAAGAAATATAGCATAAAAAGTAGATTCTAATATCCTCTAACTTCTAATTCAAACCAGTGAAAAGCAAGGAGCGGACCCGAACCAGGGAGGGGTGGGGAGAGCAGGCGAGAGCCAGACCCACTACCACTGCGCCAAGGCGTCAACCGGTCTCGCCGCCAATTTAGCCATTAGATCCTTAATCCTTCCACAGTTCTCATCTCATTTCTCAACCAGCCTTTTATCTCTCCTGCCCGACCCGGGACTCGAACCAGGGAGCACCTCGCTCGGCGAGCAGGCGAGAGCCAAGCCCACTACCACTGCGCCAAGGCGTCAAACAGTCTCGCCGCCAATTTAGCCGTTAAATCCCAAATCATCGTGCCATTTTGAAAATGAAAAGTTCTCAATTTCAGGTCAATCGTGGCCAAGCGATCTATGGACGTGTTTCGACATGCCTCAATAAAGGGCCCAATGGCCGAATGGTTAGCACCCTTGTCAACCACTTCAACACATCCGAGTTCGAGTCCCTCAAGAGAAAAGAAAACCGATAATTCTGGTCACCTTTTATATAGATTTGCTTTTATAGATTTGCTTATTGAAAAATGATGAAAATTCCTTTATTCAGCGGCAGCAATAAGCAAATTTATTGAGTTTTTTTCCCCTTTAATAATTTCCATTCCTTGAAAACCCATCAGAAAATCAGAAATTCAGAAATTCAGAAAATTCAGATCATTCCCGGTCTCCAAAATGACAAATCAACGAATTTTATTGTTGCTTTAGTATTTTTAAGCCCCCTTTTCACAGTATTTTTAGCGCTTTTTAGTATTAGTTTTTGTATTTTCTTTTGGAAGAGATACGGTAATTCATTTCATTTCATTTCAACAAATCAGTTTCCTCTGCCAAAATCGAATTACCGTAGCGCTTCTCGTTTCTTTCTTTTTCCTTTCTATTCTCCGCATAATCTCCTCTCCGAAAGTCCTTCGTCTGCCTGAAAAAAACTTATAAAACCGTTATTCTTTCAAAAACCCGAATTTCTAAAAATCTCGTTCCATTCTTTCACAAATTTTTGTGTTTTTTTTATCGTTTTTCGTTTTTTCGATCGTTTTTCGTTTTTCCCATAGAGATTTTCGTAAAATTTTGATTGATTTGATTCTTTGAAAATTGACCTCTGAAAGCTAGTTGTTAAAATTTAGTATTGTTTCTTTATTGATTCGATTTCGAAGAGAAAATGGAGGAAAATTGAGAGCAAAAAGCGGCGGGCGGGCTCGAACCAGGGAGGGTCCCTGAGCGAGCAGGCCGAGGGGCGAGGAGACTACCACTGTGCCAATGGGTCACCGAGTCTTCTCCCCTCAATTTAGCGCTTAAATCTCAAATCCCCCAATTTCTCATCACTTTCGCTAAAATTTACCCATAGACAGCTTTATTTCATCGTTTTTACACCATCAATTTGCATGTTTTTTGTATAGTTTTTAACAAATTTTGTGTTTTTTTGTGTTCTTCGTGTTTTTTTGTCGATTTTCCACTTGTTTCTGAGATTTTTTTACCTAAAAATAGCTTGATTTTTTTAAAAAAACCTCTTGAAATGCCAAATTCACCTCGATCAATTTTCCCATTTTTTGATTCCATAAATAGTCAAGCAAAAAAATATTTATCTTATAAAAAGAGTATTTAATTTGAATCTATTGGACGCAAAATTTCTTTATGATTACCTGGAGAGTTGATGAAATAAAGATGATGCTTTAGGAAGCTCAAGAACAAATACATCAAGAAACATTTTTTTCGGTAATTTTGAGAAAGTTCTGGATCGGACTTCCGGTTCTGGATAGGGCTTCCGGTTTTAGATCGGACGTCTAGTTCTGGATCGGTTCTGGATAGGACGTCTAGTTCTGGATAGGACGTCCAGTTCTGGATCGGACGTCTAGTTCTGGATAGGACGTCCGGTTCTGGATCGGACGTCTAGTTCAGGATCGGTTCTGGATAGGACGTCTAGTTCTGGATAGGACGTCCAGTTCTAGATCGGACGTCTAGTTCTGGATCGGTTGGGGACGTCTGGTTCTGGATAGGACGTCCAGTTCTGGATCGTCTAGTTCTGGATAGGACGTCCAGTTCTGGATCGGACGTCTAGTTCTGGATCGGACGTCGGTTCTGGATAGGACGTCCAGTTCTGGATCGGTTCTGGATAGGACGTCCACTTGTGGATCGGACGTCCAGTTCTGGATCGGACGTCGGTTCTGGATAGGGCGTCTGTTTTTAAATTCTTCAACCTATATTTCAACAATCTATTGGAAAATTTGAACCTATTGAACGCAAAATTTCTTTACGATTACCTGGAGAGTTGATGAAATAAAGATTAGGCTTTAGGACGCTCAAGAACTATTCAATTCAAGAAAAATAAATTCAATAAATTCATCAAGAGACATTTGTTCGGTAATTTTGAGAAATTTCAGTCTATTCAAAAAAGATTGCAGAGAAAGCTGAGATTATTTAGAATCATTACAATTCAATACTTCGATATTATTACATTTGAATACTTCGATAAGGATCAAGTTGTAGTTGAAAATAATGGAAAAGTTGATTATGATTGGGATCCTTACAAAGATTAGAACAGAGATCAAAAAAAACTAAAAGAAAAAGGCCGAAGAGGAGATGGAACCAGGATGGTTTAGACCCGTAGAGCTTTGGCGATGCACCACGTCGCTAGATTTCTCCTTGAGCTTAAGATGGAGTTGGCCTCGTTTTAAACTTGGCCAGTCGTACTTGGCCAGTCGGCCAATTCGGCCAATTCCAATGCGGATTACGGTGGATTTTATGCAATGAAAGGGTCAAAAAAAGGCAGTTAAGAACATGGGAATTTGCATTTCAAATAGGCAGACGTTTATCGGCATCCGGACAAATGAAAGAGGTGAAAAAGGAGAGCGGGAAATGGATTGCTCACATCCCTTTCCATTCCTTTCAACTAACGCTACGCTACCTCCTTTTTGACTTAACCAGACACCCGACTTTGATCAATTGTATGCTAATTTTAGCGTCGAAACGTAAAGATACAAGGGATAGTGCAGAAAAAAGCTATTGAGACAAATATTATAGTTGAATAGGCTAAAAACGGAATACAGGCACAAGGAATTGAAAAACTTTTGACGAGAAATCAAAAAAATTAGTAATAGTGTATATTGATGGTATAACTAAGAAAAAAACAATATATTGATGGTTACTCGATCTGGATCGGACATCGGTTCTGGATAGGACGTCTAGTTCTGGATCGGACATCCAGTTCTGGATTAGTTCTGGATAGGACGACCAGTTCTGGATCGGACGCCGGTTCTGGATCTGACATCCAGTTCTGGATAGGATCGGAGGTCAGTTCTGGATCGGTTCTGGATAGGACGTCCGGTTCTGGATTGGACATCCAGTTCTGGATAGGACCTCCAGTTCTGGATCGGTTCTGGATCTGACGTCCAGTTCTGGATCAGACATCGGTTCTGGATCGATTCTGAATCGGTTCTGGATAGGATGTCCGGTTCTAGATCGGATGGCAAAGTCAAGAAATCAATGACAGAATTTTGAACTAAAGGGAATTGACCTTCTGCAATCGAGCAGATGCTCTACCACTGAGCTCTAGAATCATTATTCACTCTCTCATCAAGGCTCTAAAAGAAACACACTTGTACAGAAAGAAGTTCCTTCATGATCTCTGTGATCGATTTTATATGATCCTGCAATCGAGCATAGCTTGAAGGGATTCAAAGCTTCAAATTGAGCTCATAAGGCTCATAAGACTTGCGATAAAATCTCTCATATGACTATGGATTTAGCTCTTTCTCTTTTTCTCTTTTCTCTCCCAACCGCGACGCATCTCCCCCGCAGACACACTGAGAAAAAGAAAAAGAAAAGAAGAAAAAACAAATCGTCAATCCTTCGCCAATCTTTTCCTAGAGTAAGCAATTTTCTCTCAATCTTCATTTATTTGTTTATCCAATTCTAAAACTTTTATCAAATTTTACTCATTTTTTTCCCTTTCACTATATCTTATCAAATTTTATTTTTAACTTATTCAATTGATTTTAGTTTTATAAAATACTCAATTTATTCAATTAATCTTAAGATATTTCATTCTTTTTAGCTTCTCCAATCTTTGGCTTCTACAAATGGCTTCTCCAATCTTTGGCGAGTCTTCAAAAGGAATTGGAAGGTATGAAAACAAAGCTAGATAAATAAAAAATCCGAAATCTTTACCTATTAAACGATTTCTTTCTATTTTATGATTATATCATAAAAATTAAGAATTCTATTTATAATTAAATCAATGAAAATCAAAGAAAATTTAGAATTCGAAAAGAGAAATGCAAATTCCATGAGGCGTGCTTTTCCCCGAAAACCCAACTCGATGAGCCGCCAGATAAGAAAAAGGTGGAGGGATAATGGTGATGAAAAATATATATAACTAAAGCTAACATATCTAATGTTATATAACGAATACTTATCTAAAACTCTAGTAGCTTGAGCTCCATATAGAGTGCGGTGCAAAACCATTCCGCCACCCCCTTAAATTTCAATCTTCTGCGGCTCCCGTGCCAGTGACAAAAAAAAACTGAAAACGCAGTTAGATTCAGGACCAAAAATAATTCTTAAACCCGAAAAATCGTCGACATAGCATGAATAGAGAAAATGTAATAGCCGAAAAACGAAAATGCGCAAAACCCGGTGCAAAACCATACGCCACCGCCCAAATTTTGGTGTCATTTCATACTTTTTGTCTAGTTTAAAAGCTAAATCTGCCTCTGAAAGAGATAAGTGCCGCCCTTTCACTTCAGATTCCTTATAAGGAGGCCTAAAGAGCTAAAGAGCTTACTTTGTCTCTTACCTCAACTTCAAAAAAAACCAATGCCGAAAGCAACTCAACTCTCTGACGGGGAGCAACCCCCAACTCGACGTCATGCAGAAACTTGGAAACAGAAACTGCCAATTTCCGAGATGAGTCGTCGAATCAATAGACTCAAGAGACTGTATCAAAGGTTACCTCAAAGCTCCACTCAAATATGGTACTTCAAATGCGCATGGTCGTCACAAGAAGCTCTCCAAACGGGTCGAACGCCATATCAGAAACAAAGCCTCAAACTCTACGAGATCGGCAAATGAAATCAAGCGTGATTTGCAACTTCCAGTGTCAAAGTGGACTGTTCTGAGAACTATCAACTCTTCGCCACATCTCACACGTCAGGTGATGGAGCCAACACCTCGCTTAACTGTCATCCACAAACAGAACAGGTTGCAGAGACTGTATCAACCGTTACCTTGAACAAAAATGTAACAACGACACCAAAATTTGCGGGGGTGGCGTATGGTTTACCGCACTGTACATGGAGCCCAAGCTACTAGAGTTTTTTGACACACACACACAACACTTTTGACTTTGAAAAGTGCTTCAATAGTCAATAGTCAATAGTTTGGGCTCCATATAGTGAAGTACACTATAGAAGCGCTTTGAAGCACCGAAACTCGGTGTAAAACGCCTTTTTCCAAAGCTCTTATTGTGTTTTTCGAAATCTACGCATAAAACTACCCCAGAAAAAGTGATTTTGAAAAAAGAAAAGTCCGCTTCCGTAACCTTATTAGTAGCGCACTTTATTTCTGATCATTTTCTATCAATTCTTCGATCATTCTATCAATTACCCCAGAGAAATTGAAGAGATCTAGGTGGCTATCAAAAATCTAGGTGGCTTCCTCCAATCACCAATGCACCAATTTTCTTATTTAGTGAGATGAGAGTGAGAAGGGGGGAGATTTAGTTTGAAAAACGTATCTAATCTATCTAATACTATATAAAGAACACTTATCTAGACCCTAGTAATAAATTTGATAACAAACTATTCAGTTATCCGCTGAACGATTGCTCAAATTCATCCTATTCAACGAGGATCGCGCGGATGTGCATTTTTTGTTTCCAAATGAGACTGAGGTGAGTTGAAAAGAGAAAAACGCAGAAAACTTCCTAGAAAACATAGAAAACAGAAATTAGAAACTAAAATTAAAGATAGGCATCTAAAAGGGAATAGGATACAAAAGTTTTATCCAATAAGTTTTATTCAATAATTTCTCCAGTCAGTCATTCGTTTACCCGGTCACAAGCTGATTCTCGCGACACGAAGCGATGTTTTTGGAGCTCAATTCAGGTCAATTTCTTTTGTAAAATGCAGAATTAACTGCAGAATTGACTGTTGTATAAATAGATTTACATTAAATACATAAAAACATTCGAAGAGCTTTGCTTTATATATTAGGCTGTTCGGAGATGAACAAGCTGTTGTTGCTAAGCAAGTTGCTAAACTTATTATTGTGAGAGAAGCTTTTAAAATATGTATTTAAAAGTACGTTGTCTTGTGTCTTTCTGTATTTAAAAGTACGTTATCTTGTACATATTTGGAATCTTTTTAAACGGATAATTTCTGATTTTTAAGATCTTTTTTCTTGCTCGACGACTCGACTTCTTCTCGATGATGATCGACTTCAAATATATCAAGTTCGAGTCTGCAACTGCAACTAGCTACTGGACAACTGCCTACTTCAAATTGGGCAAAACAGTAGCGGAATCCTATTGAGATTTGGTCAAAGCATTTGAGAACGACGTATTGTCCGAAAGCCGATGCCGAGCCTGGTTCCAACGCTTTCAGAATGGTGATGAAAGGATCATGAACACTCTCGAGAATGATGAACACTCTCGTCGACCTCAAGCGGTAGACAACGATATTTTGAGGGCTGAAATCGAATCAGATCCATGTCAAACGACGCGTGAACTTGCTCAACAGTTATAGAAACTGTTGAGCTGAAACTGTTCAAATTCTACTTCATCTCCACGCCATTGGAAAGACGATCAGATGCGGGAAATGGCTTCCTCACGAGTTAAGCAGTGCATCAAGCAAACAGTTCCTCGTTTATACCCAAGCAGCAAGCAGTTCCTCGTTTATATCCGAACAACCTAATATATAGATACTTTATTCAGGATCTGAGATAAAGTGCGCTAGAGTTAAGATTAAAACACATCAATTCATACACATAGCACGAAAAGGGCCGATAAAAAGCGACACGATATAATATAATATATGGGTAGCACAGATAACGTCAAGGATCCACTAGAGCTTCAAGATCAAGATCAAGATCATTTACAGATAGTTTAAAGGTTTCGGGACTATTGGACTCTCTCAAAACTCTGGGGAGTCGATTCCAAATTCTGGCAGTTCCTATTGGAAAAGAGTTAGACACAAACTTAATGGAGGTGACTAGGATTTCTAAAACGAAAGAACCTCTCCTTGAACTAACCATGGGCTTAACTTTGAATAAATCTCGAAAAAGAGGGATAGGTTGCCTGCCCTTTACAATTTTGAAACATTCTATTAAATCCGTGACCAAGCGGCGGTGTCTAAGAGATTTAAGATCAAAAATTTTGACTCCAAAAATCAAAACTTTAAAATTCTATCAGATTTCAGCGGTCGTTTCACTGATGAGGACGAATGTCTGATTTGTGACGTCTCGTCAGAATCATTTCGAGAATTTCTTCGGTGAGAAAATGCAAAAGAAAAGTAGAAAAAGTATTAAAATATATTAAAAATTAAAATTTATAGATAAGCATGAGTATTTAAAAGGATAGATGTCGTAACGGATTATGAATTAAATTCTTTTAGCATACCTTTTATAGTAGAGCAACCTTTTCTAGTAGAGCAATCTAGTAGAGCAATCTAGTAGAGCAATCTAGTAGAGCAATCTAGTAGAGCAATCTAGTAGAGCAATCTAGTAGAGCAACCAAAAAAGCTTAGTTTTCAGAGGCCCTCTAAAGACAAACTTCTTATCCACTAGGCTCTGTTAGTGTTAGTTAACCACGGGATCTGTTAGGGAGGTGTGTGCGCGTCTCAAATAGGCATGCGAAAAAGGCTTTGAGCTAAATAACTTGCGTTTGAGTGACATTTTGGGAAAAACTAAAAGCAGGATCGGTTTCCGCATGAAAAACTCTACAAAATGGCCTAAAAAAACTCCCTTTAGCTTACTAGGGAAGCCTTACTCAAGTTACTCAAGTAAGGCTTCCCTCGTAAGCTATTCAAGTAAGGCTTCCCTTGTAAGCTACTCAAGGCTTCCCTAGTAAGCTACTCAAGTAAAGCTACTCAAGTAAGGCTTCCCTAAATCTCCATAATCATTGCTTCCATTAGAATAAATAAGGCACAAACACAAAAAAGCAACTCTTTGATCTTTAAAGTTCACGAAATTTGAAAGAAATTTTGATTTTCCAAAGTTTACGTATAAAGTTGCTAAATTTTTGCCGTTATCACCTTTTTAAAGCCGTTAATTTTAGGAGTTAATTTTACGGAATATTATATAGTTTTGTTATCACTAATCAATGTCATCACTCAAATTCCAGCTATTTGTACACTGATGCGATCGAGATGACAAAATTGGGGATGTTCGTCGAGCTATTGTACTTGTCGGAGAAGTGAGTTGTGCTCTCTAGATTGATACTACGTGGGGTTTTATCCCCATGCTAGCCATTCTCCCCATGCTAGCTATTGTGGACCTCAAACTGTACCACAGATAGGACTTTAATTGAGTACGAGTACTGTTTAAGATACAGTATTCTTTTTAGATATATGGTTCATCCAATGAAAAACTATTTGATTCAAAAGTTGAACAAGATGATGAACAAGCACAACGTTTTGGAGTTGCTTACCCATCCGCTCTCGAATCATTTAACGACTGAGATGAAAGAGATGTGGGTTTGTTGAGATCTTCTTCTATATAGTAGTACTTTACTGAACGCTTAAGCACATTCCAGTGTCTTCAAGTTGATCGACAAGCGAATCGATCACGTTCTTGACTCACAGCTCTTCCTACAATTGCCCAAAGAAGTGGTGAGTCATTGAAAATGATTCTGTTAAGATGAGAGTTTGAAATCCGGGTGAAGTCCTGCCTTGTTGGGATCAGGGTGTGTCAGTAGCTCATTGGTAGAGCGTTCACCGGGCAAGCTGGAGGTCCTGGGTGCGCCAATAAGTGTAGCTCATTGGTACAAGCTGTAGCAAGCTCTACAGTCTTTTGTTCGATTCACAGCTAATCCGGTTATCGTCCTGATGTTAAGCTTAACTTTAGGTGAAAGAAATCCTCCAAAGAGACTCGCTGAAGTGTAACGAGATCACGATTTACTCTGGAATGATCAAATGGGCTGAGGCTGAGTGCAAGAGGTGGGAAAATAAGAGAAAAAAGATGAAACAACTAGAGATTCATGGTTAAAAGCTAACAGCGGATGAAATTTCTAAATGATACTAAAATATATAGCTGTTAGATGGATAGCTGTTAGATGTAGCTACTAGATCGATAGCTGTTAGATGGATAGCTGTTAGATGTAGCTGTTAGCTAGATAGCTGTTAGATGTAGCTGTTAGCTGGATAGCTGTTAGATGTAGCTGTTAGATGGATTAGATGGAAAAAAGATGAAGCAACTAAAGATTAGTTAAAAGCTGTTGACAAGAAAGACAAGAAATCTGTTCATCGCGATTCGATTGAAGTCTTTCGAAGTGGAACATCGACCACCGCCATCTCAAAGATCAAAGGCGGCTCAAAGATCAACACAAAGACATTTGCGACAAAGACAAAGACAAAGACAATGTTGACAAAGATCAACAGTTGTTTATCGAACGATTCAAAGTCTTGGGAATAGATGAGGATCGGATTGGAAGAGGTCGGCACAGCCAGAACTATAGAAATGATCAAAAAAGTTCGGGACAAGATCCGTAAAAACGTTAATCGGCGAAAGGGAAGGCCTTCCCTTCCACGAATCATTGTTGACCTTAAATTGAACACCTACAAGCAGAACGAGGTCTAATTGTTGTCGGTGGATGCGAAGCTAAACGATTAGTATGCTTAGACGGCTCAGACGTCTCAGACATCCAAACATTTTGGAAACAACCAACGTCTTCATGTCCTTTTCAGTGATGAAAAGATATTTACTGTTCCGAGTATTTTAACAAGCAGAATAATCGCATCTATTCGAAGATTAAGTGGATGAGAAACTCACTGATTCTGGAATTCTTGAGTTTCTCATCCAGTTTCTCATCCACAATCGGTTCTGGTGCAACTGTGATATCAGATGGAAAAATAGCACTTGTTTTCGTGAATGCTGGTGTTAAGATCAATCAAAACATGTATTTGAATGTTCTCAAAAAAGATTTACTTCCATGGGCAAATTCTCACATCATTGGACATTTCAGCAAGACGGTACGCCAAGACAAAGCTTGCCAAGCTTGCAAAGTTCAAGAATGTCTTTGAAAGCAAAAGCTTCCTTGAAACACAATTTTCTAGTCCAAGCCAAGGCTTGGCCAGATTAGCTTTAGATTTTGGCTTTTCCGTCTAAATCGATACCATTTTTAGAAACGATTGGCCGGTAGATGGAGAGGATTTGCGGAGAGCTCTCGATGAACTTTTGCATCTAATTCGATTCCCAACAATGTCCGGCGAAGAGTTCAACAATGGCCCCGTTGCACAGGGATTGTTTGAGGGAAAGGTTGGTGAAGATTTCTGAAATTGATCAATACATTTTCAGGAAGCTTACGACTTACTCCTTTGCATCAACTCACTCCAGACAAAGAAAGATTCCCCGACGCAGCAAGGAGAGGCCGCTTTTTACAGCATTGTGAAGCGAGCCGGCCTCTTCTCTCGGAAGCGTTTGTTTTTATGATTGATAAGTTTGCCAGGGTTGTCCTAAAGGCCTGCCCAAAGCAATCAAGGCTTTACCTGGTTCTCAAAGCTAATTCTAAGCCTGGACCTGGGTTCTAGTGGGCATTGCCTGGCTAGCTGACTGGCTAGGCTAGCTGGCTAGCTTAGGCTTAGGCTAGCTGGCTGGCTGGCTGGCTGGCTGGCTGGCTGGCTGGCTAGGCTAGGCTTGGTTGGCTCCGATCTAACCTGACCTTGTCTGGACCTGGCCTTGCCTGTCCTGGTCTGGTTTAGAGTCAATTGGATCATTCTTGAGCTTCAATGAGACTCAATAACTTCAACTTTCTCTTTTAGCTGATTCCAATTGGCAGCCACCGATGGTTTTCGTTCCCGGTGATCGCCATCGTCCGAATCGATACGATGGCTTTGGAGGACACTTTGGTGGAATTAGACACGATTATTCCGGGCTTTTCAGGAGGTATTTTCCAAATTCTAGAACAAGAATTAAGTCTATAAATTTCTTAGCGAGAATTCTTAACAATTTCAGAATCACCCCGGATCACTCGACGTCCGAAGAGAGCGAAGAAGTGGACGAGGGGGAGGAAAGGGTTCGACCGCAGCTTCGAGATAGAGGATTCGGTTGGTTATATTTAAAGTTTAGTGTAAATTGAGCTCATCTAAAAACGATGATGATGCACCTTTAGGCAATGGCGGAGGTTTCGGTGGAGGGATCGTGCCAAGAGGCGGCGATTTTGGTGAGAGGTAAGTGAAAGATTGATTTGGCCGAAAGCTAGAATTGAGGCTTACAAGCCGGTCCAACATTAGGTCAAAAATTCCCAAGCAAAAGTATTTTGCAAAAGGAGAATCTGCGCTCGTTTTCCTTGTGGCCCTGATGCTAGATTGGTTCTTTCGGAGAGCTCTGAAAGCGGTGATCTAAGGGTTGAGGGTTCGACTCCGGCACGCAACATTTAAAAAAAAAAATTATGCTAAAAGAGCGAGTTTTTAGGGTAATTTTCAACGCTGATTCCGAAAAACATGGTTTCAGCCTAGGTTTCCGTACAAAAAAACGAAATTTGGGGTTCCTGCCACTCAGTAAAACGGCTACAAAAAACTTTGTAAATTGATTTTTTTTAAAATTATATTCTTCCGTCCAATCCGTTAGAAAATTAGCTTTTAAATGAGCTATTAAACATCCAGATTGGACAAGTTTAAGTTTAAGTTTAAGTTTAAGTAGAAAACCATCTCTCAAAAAATCCGCAAAGACTTTCTCCTCAATCTAATGCCGTATTTACTCTCTTTCTATTATTTCTGCACCTCTTCTACTACTGCGATTTGAGCCGAAAAAATAGTACTACGTAGTACTAATACAGTAAATAGAGTACACTACACTTTTAGGCGAGTTTTCGTCGCCGCCGTCGCAGCTGAGCGTTTCGCGTTTCGGGATGAAGCTCGTGACGGTTTCATGGGATGGCGTGAACGCGAAAGAGGAGTTCGAATGAGGAATCGCTTTCGAAGGAGAATAGGTCGACCACCAGCTGGACAACAAAGAGATAGGGACGAGGTGGAAGCGGTGAGGAGGGGAGGAGGAGAATTCGAGATCCGAGTACAAGAGCTGCCTGGACCCGAGGATAACTAGTGGTGATTCGATTTTTCGATTGATTTTTTCTTTCTGCCATTTCATTAGACATACCGTAATTTGTCTGTCTCGCGATTTGCATGAAAGCTCTAATGAAATCTGCTTTTTTTGGTCGTTTATTCCTATCAAGAGTTGTGAAAAGTTTTGTTTTTGAAAAAAGTGACCACTTTCGCGATTACCGTAATCTAAAATGTTTCAACTCTCGGTACTTCATTCAATTCACAGCTATATCTAACAAGAACCGTATTGGAACCGTATTGGACTCAGTCTTGAATATTTTTAAGCTCGATTTACTGTCGTATCGTAATCATAGCTTTGTTCTACGTAAAGTTTAGCTAGAGCTAGAGTAGCTAGAAAAGTTCTCTCGTTCTCTGACATACCAAATTTTTGTTCTTTTATGCTCAAATCTGTCACACCACTGAATTCCTCAGTTTTCTTGTAAAAACTCGTTTCTCTGAGAAAAATCTAGGATTCAGTGTGCCAGTGGGGGTGCGTTTACAGAGATTTAAGCACAAAGTACATGGTGGAAAACTAGCCTATTATGGTGTGCCAGAAAGCGAAAGTTTAGAGTTCAAATGTTTAGATGAGGTATGAGTAGGTAGATGTTTTTTCGGAATTTACATTAAATTCTCATGCATTCTAACAAGGAACTGGTCTCAACTCGAAGCTGAGGAATGATACAAGACCCAGTGCATCTGATAGATCATTTTCTTTTCGCGTGACGGCCTCTTAAAGAGTCCGAAATTTTGAACAATTCTCTATGCCAGATTCCTCGAGTAGCAGCTAATTTTTGCAGATTTGAAATCAGCGTGTCCGATTCTATAAGATGCACTCGGTCTCGTATCGATCCTCAACTTCGAGCTGCAAGAAATTTTAATCTCTTTTGGTCTTTCCCATTTTTTGTTAGTAATCTTCATCCCAAATCCCCAATTTTAGAAAACAATCGATGAAATCAAAGCAAAATCAGTTTTTTTCTCATTTAAAGATTTCATATATTGATTCATTTTAACCTCCTCCGCTGTTTAGCCAAAATTTCCAAATCACCAAGCCTTTACCTTTTGCTTGTATTTACCGCTCTTTTAATTCCGATTTCAATAAATTTTCATTTAATTCCATGAATTCGCTATTGTGGATTACCCTTTCGTCTAAAATAGGCCTTCTTTTTGTTATCGCAATTGACCTCCACTTAACCGACTGCCAGTAAAAAATAGCGTCAAGCTAGTGAGATGTTCTTGTTTTTAACCTTTCATGCATTCAAAAGCGAGCCACATAGTTGCAAGGAGAGAATCGATGCGTCACATCGAAGTCAAACTTAGAGCATCTATTTTTGTTTGCCAATCATCGCTAATTTCCTCCGAAAATTTTCTCCTATTTAGTTCAAAGTATTGCGAACGTTTAAGGTTCAGAGAAACGACAACTCAGCTTGCCTACTTTACATTTCATTTCATACCAAAGTACCGTCCAACAAAACCCTGGAATTTTTCTATTTTCAAAGAAATATATTTGTGAAGGGAGCTCATTTGGCTCAAACAACGGCTTGAAATAATTGTTAAAGAAACATGAGAAACGCAAACAGAAGGAGTTGTGGCAATTTTGATAGCAAGTCCAAAAAGAGAAGTTAAGACAGAGAATGCAAAAACAACGACAACGCAAAAACAAAATAAGGTTTGGACAGCAAATTAAACTCTTGGTGGAAGCTTTCATCGTCTTGGCTAATTTGATGGTCGCCTTCTTTGGTGACTTGGCCTTAGGGGTTGCGGAGTCGCTCTTTGCCATCTTTGCTGACTTGACTGTGGCCTTCTTTGGTGACTTCACCTTGCGAGTTGCCGAGTCCCCCTTCGTAGTCTTTACCGACTTGACGGTGGCCTTCTTTGGTGCCTTGGGAATTGAAGAGTCGCTATTTGCCATCTTTGCTGACTTGGCGGTGGCCTTCTTTGGTGACTTGGCCTTGAGAGTGGCGGAGTCGCCCTTCGCAGTCTTCACCGTCGACTTCTTGGAAGTTGCTGCCTTCTAAATAAAAAAAATTGTACGGATTATTAATGCTATGATCTTGACAACCTTGGCTAAGCAGCACAACTACCTAACTTCAACATAAAGATTTAAAAGAATGATTACCTTTTCCTCAACCGCAGTCTTCTTTCCAACGACTTTCAATGATTTCGTCGTGGCAGCCTTCTTTGGTGATTTGCTGGTCGTGGCCTCCTTTGGTGACTTGGTGGTGGTCTTCCTCGCAGCTTTCTTGGCGGCGACTTTTGCGGCTTCTCCAAGACGGAATCTTCCATTCGCACCAATGCCTGACTTACGCTGCAAAAGACCCGAGTCGGCCCCCTTCTTCAAATTGACGCCCACGTGCAGGTTCACCTAAAGATACACAATAATTCAGCGTTGGCTTTCCCTATAGGAAATTTAACACAGATTACGTCTGTCTGGAGCTTCATTGACAATGGATAACATTAAAAGCAGTCAAAACATGCCTTTTTGCTGTCACCTCCGACGTTGTAATTTTGAAGCACATAGTTAGCGATTGCAATCCTTGAAGATCCTTTGCGATCAGCCAATGCACTGATTGAGGCAACGACCATCTCAGCGTATGTGGGATGAGCTGGAGCCTTCTAAATTCAAAAATTTAGTAAGAATAATTGAACGTTAATGATCCACTTTTAAAAACTTAGCATGCTCAGGGAATCTAATCGTTTTAGCTCACTTTCTAAAAAAATTTATCTAGGTACCTAGTCCTGGACTCTTACAATCAGCAAAACAAGTAACTTTTAGGCAAAGCAGTATGTGTTCAATACCCATAATGGACTAGCGTTTATGAAACTGATGTCAAAACCCGAACCTTCTCTTCACTGGTAACCTTTGGCTTCTTTGGCGCTTTCACCACATCCGATTGAGATGTTGTAGTTAAACCAACGGTTGCCATCTTGCGAAGTTCTAAAGAAAACGAGTTATTTTCAACAAAAAAACATCACAATTAAAGAAAAAAAATGCAAAGTTTTGGGAGCTATAAGAATACGACTAGAAATGAATCTCAGGTGTTGGGAAAAAGTGGAGGGCATCTAATTAATTTGAAAAATGATCCAAAGGTTATGCATTTTCTAAGGCTGCGTGCAATTTGACTCAACTCAAAAGGCGCTTGGGCTCGGGCATTTCAATAAAAAAATGAGCTCGACGCTGTGTAGAACTTGATCAAAGTATGCACATTAGCCGTTAAATTTGTTATCGGCACAGTAGATGAATGAAACGATTGAGTAAAAGTTGAGACATGCTGATGAACAAAAAGTGAAGAGAACGGTGCACGCAAATGAAATGAAATGAAAAATGCGCCGCTTGTGGAGAGAAAAGCGCCGTTTTGTCTGGCGTACGGTAACGGACACTGTTTAGAATTTAGCTTAAAGAATTTTTGGCACTTTTCCAAGGTTTTTCACTTTTCACCATAAGGACTTCAAGTTCTGGGATTGTTTGGATTAAATGCAAAGCAATAATTGATTCTTCCTCGCAACGCTATTACAGTACCCTCAAAAACGAGCTTATAAAGTAGCTGTTTAGCATATCTAAAGCAGTCGTCAGGGTAACTTGGAGAGCCATTTCTAAACTAAGATTTTTGAGTTCGAAGATGATTTCTGTTGTTTTAGCCAAGCAATAAACTTTCTTTTGTTGGGTACATGATGACTAGGATGTTTTTTCATTTCTAATATTGTGCAAAAAAATTTTTTTCACATCTAAAAAAATTTATTGTTTTCCTCTCTCTCGCTCTCGATTTTTATGGTAAAAATGAACGATAATTCATAAAAAATGTGAAATTTTGTAAGCTAAACATTTCAAAAGTAGTAGTAAAAGCTACTTAAGGCAAAAAAATTTATAAAGAAATGAAAAGGCCCACAAAAACAAGACTCACTGGCTCATCTAACCCATCACATCAGGAAAGTACAAGAAAATGCATAAAACACACGCAAAAACCCACCTAACAAATGGGAAAATTTCTGAAAATGGTGATAAGGTTTGGTGCAAAATAGGAAACGATTATTGTAGAAAGGTTATTGTAGTTATATCCAGGAATTAGGCCCTGTTTTGATCGGAGTGTAGGAGATTATGCCGGGGAATATGTGAAATGAGATGTAGTAGTATATTTGGGAGATGTAGGATACCAAGAAGAATTTCGAGAACCTTGGGGCAAAAATCCCGATTTTTGCTGAGCCGTCTCGACTGGGCCGTCTCGCTTCACAATGCTGTAAAAAGCGGCCTCTCCTTCCTGCATCGGGGAACCTTTCTTTGTCTGGAGTGAGTTGATGCAAAGGAGCAAGTCGTAAGCTTCCTGAACATGTCCTGATCAATTTCAAAAATCAAAAAATCTTCACTAACCTTTCCCTCAAACAATCCCTTTCCAACCGGACCATTGTTGAACTCTTCGCCGGACATTGCTGGAAACCGAATGAGGTGTAAAAGTTCATCGAGAGCTCTCCGCAATCCCTCTCCATCTGCCGGCCAATCGTTTCTGGAAATGGAATCGATTTGTTATGCGGGAAAAGTCAAAATCAAAGGCTAATCGGGCGAAGCCTTGCCTTGAACTAGAAAATTCCGTATCGCCCTAGTCCTGGTTTATCTATCTAACTCTTGCTACGTATTTTAGTATGTTTTAGAAATTTCATCAGCTGTTAGCTTTTAACCATGAATCTCTAGTTGTCTCATCTTTTTTCCCTTGTTTCCCCACCTCTTGCACTCAGCCTCAGCCCATTTGATCATTCCCGAGTAAATCGTCATCTCGTTGCACTTCAGCGAGTCTCTTTGGAGGATGTCTTTCACCTAAAGTTGTTTTAAACCTAAGCACATCAGGACCTTTTATGGAGTATAACCGGAAATGCGCAAAAGATTAGCACACCCAGGACCTCCAGCGTGCCAGGCGAACGCTCTAACCATGAGCTACACTGACACACACTCTGATGTCAACAAAGCTGGACCTTACCCGGATTTCAAACTCTCATCTTAACAGCTTGAATCATTTTCAACGACCCACCACTTCTTTGGGCAATTGTAGGAAGAGCGGTGATTGGAGCACGTGATCGATTCGCTCGTCAATCAAATTGAAGACACTGAAGTGCGCTTTTATTAAGGTTCAGCTACCCTACTCCCTAGATCTTATAGAACAAGATCAAACTCATTAAACCCACGCTTCTTTCGTCAAATGATTGGAGAGCGGAGGGGTGAGCAACTCCAAAACGTCGTGCTTGCCCATGATTTCGTTCAACTTTTGAATCAAATCGTCTTTCATCGTATGAATCATGTATCTGAAAAGAATACTGTATCTTAAACAGTACTAGTACAGCATTCAATTACAGTACCACCCGAGATGCAGTATGTATGGGTCCACAGTAGCTAGCATGGGTTAAAATCCCTTAGAAAAAAACCATAAATCTAGAGCACAACTCACTTCTCCGACAAGTAGAACAACTCGGCGAACACCCACAATTCGGTCGCCTCGATCGTATCGGTATACAAATAACTGGAATTTGAGTGATGACAGTAAAAACTGTATAGTATGCAGATCCCTACTTATCTATACATTTGAATTTTTAATATATGTGCAATATACTAAAAATAAAAATTGTTAGATACTTTGGGCTATGAAAGTTCTCACCGAAGAAACTCTCGAAATGAGTCCGATGAGACGTCGCTGATCCGGCACTCGTCCTCATCGGCGAACCGACCGCTGAAACCAAATGAAACTTTACATTGAGCATGGGTGTTATAACGTTTGCCTATCTATTAGTTTGAGTACTATCAGTTGGTCTGCTACCTTCATTGACCGTTTTAGAAACGGTGAATCGACGAAAACACAAACGGTTTATTTTATTGAAAAGCTTCATCTTTTTTCTACAAAATGCTTCTCAAGTGTTTTAAAAAAGCACTTTCCATTTTTTATTTTTAGCCATTCAACGTTTGTTTGCAGATAATAATCTAATAAAAAAATAGTGAGCAATAACCAACATATAGTACTCAACCTAATATTATATTGCAGAATAAAAATCTATTTATACAGTATTCTTTCAATTCTAAATTTACATAAAATTGACCTGAATTGAGCTCCAAAAACAGAGCTTCGTGTCGCGAGAATCAGTTTGTGACCGGGCAAACGAACAACTGCCTGGAAAATCATTGGATAGGACATTTTTAACCTAATATTTCGATCGATACTAGATTTCCCCTTCCCCACCCACCTCGGTCTCGCTTGGAAACAAAAAATGCACATCCGCGCGATCCTCGTTGAATAAGATGAATTTGAGCAATCGTTCAGCGGTTAACTGAACATAAAACGAACGTTTATTATAAAATTTATTACTAGGGTTTCGAGGTCAGTATTCGTTATATAGCATTAGATACATTTTTCAACTAAATCTCCTCCATTCTCATCTCAATACATAAGAAAATTGGTGCATTGGTGGTTGGAGGGAGCCACCTATATTTTTGACCTCTTCAATTTCTCTAGGGTAATTTGGTAGAAAATGACCAGAAATGAAGTGTGGTACTAATCAAGTTACGGGGGCCGATTTTTTTTTCAAAACCCCTTTTTCTAGGGTCCTTTTATGTGTCGATTTCGAAAAACACAATGAGAGCTTCGGAAAAAGGCGTTTTACGCCGAGTTTCGGTGCTTCAAAGCTCTTCGATAGTGTACTTCACTATATGGGGCCCAAGCTATCGACTATTGACTATTGACTAGACAAAGCAAAAAGGAAAAAAAGGGAAAAAAAGCCCATAGAAGCCCTAATTTTAATTCAACCTTTTTTTTTTTTTGTTGAATTCAGTGGTCCTAAAAGTTTGGAAACAATTTTGGTTAATGGTGGTTGGCTTTTTTGTTTTTTTTCTTCTTTTTTGGATACACTAGTGAAGTATAGATACACTACTCAAGGCCAAAAAACTAAAAAAACTATGGACAATCAACCAACCATAAAAACACTCTTAGCGTGATCAGCGCTATCGACTACCTTAGAAAAGTTCAAAAAAGCAAAAATACAAAGTAAAAAAAACCCCCATCCACCAATGTACCAGAAAATTTACCTAGGTACCTAGTCTTGGACCCTTACAATCAGCAAAACAAGTAACTTTTAGGCAAAGCCGTATGTGTTCAATACTCAGACCAGCGTTTATAAACCTGATGCCAAAACCCGAACCTTTTCTTCACTGGTAGCCTTTGCCTTCTTTGTCGGAACATCCGATTGAGAAGTTGTAGCTGGACCGTAGGAGCTGTAGCTTGCCATCTTGCCACGAGTTCTAAAGAAAGAGTTGGCTTCAACATATCAAAATTAAAGAAAAAACAAATGCAAAGATTTGGGAGCTATAAGATTACGACTAGACCATAAATTTTGAGTGTTGGGAAAGAAGGAAGCGCACTTAGCTGATTTTAAAAATGACCCATTTTCTAAGGCTGCGTGCAATTTTACTCAACTTAAAAAGGCGCTCGGGCTCCGGCATTTTAACAAAAAAATGAGCTCGAAGATGTGCAGAAATTGATCAAAGTATGCACATTAGCCGTTAAATTTGTCATCGGCACAGTAGATGAATGAAACGAGTGAGTAAAAGTTTAAACGCCCTGGCGAATAAAAAGTGAAGAGAAGGGTGCATGGAAATGAAATGAAAAATTCGCCGCTTGTGAGAGCATCGTTTTGTTTGGGGTACCGTAATGGACACTGTTTAGGTTTTAGTTAAAGGAATTTTCTGTTGAAGATTTCTTTTGTTTTAGCCAAGCAATAAAGTTTCTTTTGTTTTGTTTTACGATAACTGGGATGCTTTTCCTATATTTTGCTTAAAATTTCTTATTTTCTCTCTCTCGCTCTTGATTTTTCTAGTAAAAATGAAAGATAATTGGTAAAAAATGTGAAATTTTGTAAGCTAAACATTTCAAAAGTAGTAGTAAAAGCTACTTAAGGCAAAGAAATTTTATAAAGAAATGAAAAGGCCCACAAAAACAAGACTCACTGGCTCATCTAACCCATCACATCAGGAAAGTACAAGAAATGTCACGCCAAATGGGGATTTCTGAGCATTCCTTGTGTCGAATTGAAATCGAACAGTTGACTCGTGAAGAAAGCGCTCCTTAAAGCATGGGACGAGCTTGATGTTGCCTATTTGCGTACCACAGTTTTGTTAATGCAATTGGCCTCAATTTCACGGGCAACCGGTAAAAATAGCGTCAAGCAAATGTCAGGTGCTTTTTTTACTCTTTCAGGGATTCAAAAGCGAGCCAGTAACCGATAGTAACCGGATTTTTTAAGATCCCTCTGAGTTGATTTAGTACTAATCAAAACTTGATAGTAAACTATTAATTGAAATAGAACAAATTTACATTTTCCTTCTTTAAAAATTTTTTTATTTTTCTTTTATTATTTTAAAAATTTCATATTTTTCTTTAACTCTAAAATATTCAATCACACAAATGAAATCTGCAATTAGGTTGGCAACTTAATAATGACGCGTCACTACTTAACATGTTTTTTGTAATTTGAAGCGCCGTTTCTTCCCCTTTTTTGCATATATATACAAAGTAAAAGATGTCTGCATAAATAACATTTAGTGCTCCAAATTTCATCATTCGCTTTTTGGCAAAAAAATGGAGGACAAAAAATTCCGTATTCGAGCTGCATTGTCCTACGATTTTAAACAAGGAAAATCACCAGCTGAATCTCATCGCACGATCATCACTGTTTTTGAAGAGGAAAGTTACACATTCGTCAATGTCAATGATGGTTTCAACGACTCCAAGGCGGCGATGAAAGCCTCGTAGACGAGCCACACCAAGGACATCCTCCAGGAGTGTTTGACGATGACTTGCTCGCCTTAATTGAAGATTGCCCAACACTTACTGTTCGCGAGTTGGCAGAAATACACTCTGTCAAAAAATTATAGACGCACCCTGTTTTTTGGCTAGTTTAGAGCCGGATATAAGTGCTAGTCCAGTGAAAAGTATTTTTTAGTTTCTTTAATGTAAAAAAACAACCCATGCAAAATTTCAAGTCATTTCACTCATCCAAAGTATTTTATCGTACAAAAAACGTTTTATCAGCTGTCAAAAAATTATAGACGCACTTTTATTTGACGATTTATTCCATCGATAATTGTTAATTTTTTCTCACTTTTTTGCTTATTAGTTATGTTTATAAATGTTTTTACATTTTCACGGATCGGATGCCGCTTGACAAACAACTGGAAGTGGTGGACAAACGGCTACCGTCATCTGAACAACAACGGGCAATAACTACATTTCTGCACGATAACGCGAGTATTCATGCAAGTTGCTCCACAAAGATTGGCTGACAGCGCACAAAACGGCACTGTCGCCTGGCCCGCTTGCAGCCAGACTTGAACGAGAGAATGTGTGGGGGACACTCGCGAGATGTCTACAAGGGAAACAAGCCAATTCGAGCGTGAAGAACTCAAGAAAGCCATTCAAGTAGCCTGGAATCGGCTCAACCAACAGCGCCCATGGCTCGTCTCTCGATGCCGAGACGTCTTGAAGTGGACAAAGCAAGGAGGTGCACACATATTAATATTTGGTTGTGTTGTTAATTTCTGTTAACTTTCTTGAAAAAAAAGGCGCATAATGACAGCGAAAAACGTTTTGTACGATAAAATACTGAATGAGTGAAAGACGAAATGCATGGGGTTTACAAAAGAAACAAAAAACTTCACTGGACGCACTATATCCGGCCAAACTAGCAAAAGGGGCGTCTATAATTTTGACAGAGTGTATTTCAACGTATCCCATACGACCACGAAAACTTTACCAAACTTGTTAACGAGTCTTTGAAGAAATTGGGGCTCAATTACCGGAGACGTCAGATTTTTACACGACGACGCAAAACATCACACTGCGAAGAGGTCGCTTATAAGAAAATCGAGGAACTTGGCCGGAAAGTGCTGCCCCACGCACCACCCCGACTTGGCCCTCAGATTACTTTTGTTTCGGTCGCTGAAGGGAGAAATTGGAGGGAGATTACTTTTGGAGGGAGAAAAGTTCGATGATCATGCTCAGGTCATAAAAGCAGTGAATGACTACTTGGCCTCAAAAACTCCCAAGTTCTTCCAGGAGGGACCGGGATTTGCGCAGAAGAGGAAAGGGCATAGAACTAATGGAGAAACTTTCGAATGGGCCCTGTGTTTTAAATAAAAAAAATTACATAAACGCGTCATTATTAAGTTGCCAACCTAATACAAACACAACTTTTAAAATCTTTTTGCACAATTAAACTTTAAGTCACTGTTGTCTTATTTTAGTCACCCATTTGTTATTTTGAAAACACAGCACAAAAAAGGCAACATATTCTGGACCGTTCGTCATTAACGCGTTTACTTTGACCGCCCGATTTCTGTCCTTTTTTGCATATCAAAAATATTTTTTTTATTTAGGTACGATGAAAACGACGATTTCTTTCGAGCGAAAGGGAGGAATCTTGCGAGAAAATGATGGCAAATCAATCTCAATTGGCCGACGCGTTCAAACTTCCCTATGAAACGATACCAAAGATTTTACGAACAAATACGAAATTTTGAAGGGAATCAATGATGGAACGAAATCGTCTTCGAGAGGGGAAACACAATCTGATCGAAGAAGCCCTTGTTTATTGGATTCGAGATGCGATAGCGAAAATGCATTTCTTGACGGATCGATTCTCAAGGAAAAGGCTCTTGAATTTGCTGAGCTTTTCGATTGTTCAAATTTCCAAGCTTCTAGCGGACGGCTCGACAATTTCAAGAAAAGGCACAGCCTTGTTTTTCGGGTGATCGAAGGAAAAAGTGCATCAGTGAATCAACAGACCGTAACGAATTGGCGGCAAAACATTCTCATCGATCTTCTCACCGAATACGATCCGAAATTCTTGTGGGATAGAGGTGACCAGTCAATTATGAAGGCGTGCTAGAGGATCGAAGACTTCTTTCAGGAAAAATCAATGACAACATCAAAGCCAACGGAAATTGTGGTTTTTTATGTAAAATAATTTTTCATTCTTCCACTTTTTCTAAATGTTGGTTGTGGGTTAATAAATTTATACACATATTTGAGCATTTTGGCAAGTTTTGGTAATACCAAAAACCTTTAAAACAGGTTTAATGCGTTTTTTCTGCTTTTTATTGTCATTCCTTACACAACCTTGATAGTGAACGGTTTCTTCAGAATCCCCTCCATAGTTCACTAACGAGGTTCGACTGTAGTTACAAGGAGCGGTTCAACGCCTCACATCGAAGTCAAACTCAAACCATAACCGATAATTTTGTGCGCTGATAATCGCGGACTTCTTTCATAAAGTTCCTACTGTTTACCTCAAAGTATTTCCAACGTTCCCAATATTTCCAGATTGTTGCAACCGGTAACCTAGTTTGCCTACTTTTACATTTGCTATGAAAGTACCATTAACAAAACATTTGAATTTTTTTATTTCCAAGGAATATAAATTTGTGAAGGCTCATTTGGCTTAAACAAGAGATTGAAATAATTGATAAACAAACAAGAGAAAACAGAAGGGATTTTGGTAATTTTAAGGGCAGCTCCAAAGAGGCAAAGACAGAATGCAAAAACAACGGCTTGACAAAAATAAGGTTTAGATCGAAAGTTAGGCCTTCTTGATTGCAGTTTTGGTCGTCTTTGGAAGCTTGATGGTGGCTTTCTTTGGTGACTTGCTCTTGAGAGTGGCGGAGTCGCTCTTCGCAGTTTTTGCCGACTTCACAGTGACCTTCTTTGGTAACTTGGCCTTAGGAGTTGTGGAGTCGCTCTTTGCCATCTTTGCTGCCTTGACGGTGGCCTTCTTTGGGGACTTGCCCTTGAGAGTGGCGGAGTTGCCTTTCGCAGTCTTAACCGACTTGACAGTGATCTTCTTTGGTGACTTGGCCTTGAGAGTTGCAGAGTCGCTCTTTGCCGTCTTCACCGTCGACTTCTTGGTAGTTGCTGCCTTCTAAATATAAAAAATTGTCCGGATTATTAATGCTATGATCCTGACCACCTTGACCAAGCACCACAACTACCTAACTTCAGCACAAAGATTTAAAAGAATGATTACCTTTTCCTCAACCGCAGTCTTCTTTCCAATGTCTTTCTTCAAGGACTTCGTCGTGGCAGCCTTCTTTGGTGATTTGCTGGTCGTGCTCTCCTTTTTGGCAACCTTCTTTGGTGACTTGGTGGTGGCCTTCCTCGCAGCTTTCTTGGCGGCGGCTTTTGCAGCTTCTCCAAGACGGAATCTTCCATTCGCACCAATGCCTGACATACGCTGCAAAAGTCCCAGGTCGGTTCCCTTCTTCAAATTGACGCTCACGTGCAGGTTCACCTAAAGATACACAATAATTCGGCGTTGACTTTCCCTATAGGAAATTTAACACAGATTACGTCTGTCTGGAGCTTCATTGACAATGGATAACATTAAAAGCAGTCAAAACATGCCTTTTTGCTGTCACCTCCCACGTTGTAATTTTGAAGGACATAGTTAGCGATTGCCATCCTTGAAGATCCTTTGCGATCAGCCAATGCACTGATTGAGGCGACGACCATCTCCGCGTATGTGGGATGATCTGGAGCTTTCTAAATTCAAAAATTTAGTGAGAATAATTAAACGTTTATGATCCACTTTTAAAAACTTGCTTAAGGCGCTTAAGCCACCTAATCAAAAATTATCTGACCAGACAAGAAAAGACAAGAAAGATCTGGACCCTTAAAACCAGCAAAACAAGTAACTTTTAGACAAAGCCGTTTCTGTTCAATACGCAGACTAGCGTTTATAAAACTGGTGTTAAAACCCGAACCTTCTCTTCACTGGTAGCCTTTGCCTTCTTTGGTGGTTTCACGACATCCAATTGAGTCGGAACATCCAATGAAGAAATTGTAGCTGGAACAGCGGTTGCCATCTTGCGTCGAGTTCTAAAGAAAACGAGTTATTTTCAACAACAAACACATCAAAAACGAAACATCAAAAAAACAAATGCAAAGATTTGGGAGCTATGAGCTTACGACTAAACAATAAACTTTGAGTGTTGGGAAAGAGGGGAGGGCCTTTGGCTGATTTGAAAAATGACCCATTTTCTAATGCTGCGTGCAATTTACCAAAACTTAAAAAGGCGCTCGGGCTTGATCAAAGTATGCATATTAGCCTTTAATTTTGTTATCAGCACGGAAAATGAACGAAACGAGTGAACAAAGTTTAAACGTGCTGGCGAATAAAAAGTGAAGAGAAGGGTTCACGCAAATGAAATGAAATGAAAAATGCGCCGCTTGTGGAGAGAAAAGCACCGTTTTGTCTGGCGTACGGTAACGGACACTGTTTAGAATTTTTGGCACTTTTCCAAGGTTTTTCACTTTTCACCATAAGGACTTCAAGTTCTGGGATTGTTTGGATTAAATGCAAAGCAATAATTGATTCTTCGTTGAAACGCTATTACAGTACCCTCAAAAACGAGCTTATAAAGTAGCTGTTTAGCATACTTAAAGCAGTCGTCAGGGTATCTTGGAGAGCCTTTTCTATTAGGGTGGTGCAAAAGAAACTGCCGATTTGAGGGTAAATTCAAAAAAAAATAACATCAAAGCGAGAAATCTTTATCCATCGAAATATTCACCACAAGTATCGATGACTTTCCTCCATCGAACGCGAAGAGACCGAATGCCATTTTTGATGAACTGGAACTCCTGGGACTCAAAATAGTTGAGCGCCCAGTTACGGACCTCATCATCATTCTTGAACTGCTTCTCCTTCAGAAAGTGCTGCATCGAGCCAAATAGGTGATAATCACTTGAAGCCATATCAGGAGAATATGGCGGGTGAGGCAGGACTTCCCATCTAAATTCTTCGCTTTTCTGCTGTGTGATTTTCGCAACATGCGGCTTATTATTGTCATGCAAGAGCTTCACCGAAGTCATGTCCGCACCCTGGCGTTCCATTGCTTTGTACACTCCGTCCAACTGATTAGCATACAAACCCGCAGTGACCGTGTTTCCATGTTCCAGTAATTCAAAGTACCCCAAATCCTTGCTATTCCACCATACAGACAATAAGATCTTCTTCCCGTGGATTTCGGGCCTTGGGGTTGGAACAGCACGTTCGCCGGCGCTCAGCCACTGTCGTTCTCGCGTAAAGTTGTCGTATGCAATCCATTTCGCATTCGATGTCACGATAGAATCAAGAAAACCGCTATTCTTTGCACGATTCAGGAGAATGCCAGCGATGGAAATGCCGGATGCAAGGTTAGCATCACTGAGTTGATGAGGGACCCATCTTCCACAACGACTTTTCTTTCCAATAGCGTAAAGATGGCGTTCGATGGTGACATAATCACAATGGAATATTATCACAAGATCTCGAGCAGATTGGCATGGATCGGCCTGTATAACGTTCCTCAGCTTGGCTTCGTTCACGACTTCTGGCCGTATGCAATGGCGAACCGTGCTCGTAATCTTCCAAAGTCTCGTCTCCCTCTCGGAATTGTTGAAACCAAATCTGACACTGCCTGAGAGACAAACTGCCATCTCCGAAAGCAGCACAGAGAGAACGATGCGATTCGGCAGCAGACTTTCCAATTTTGAAGTTAAACAGTAATGCTGCTCGTAGCAAAAACTTTTGCTCGACCATGATCTAAATAAAAAATATAAGATTTTGCACCATCCTAATAATTCAAAAGATTTTTGAGTTTGAAGAAGTTTTCTGTTGTTTTATGCAAGTAATAGGTTTTCTTTTGTTGGTTTTACGATAACTGGGATGCTTTTTCATTTCCTATATTTTGCTTAAAATTTATTGTTTTTTCTCTCTTTCGCTCTCGATTTTCATGGTAAAAATGAACGATAATTCATAAAAAATGTGAAATTTTGTAAGCTAAACATTTCAAAAGTAGTAGTAAAAGCTAATTCAGGCAAAAAAATTTATAAAGAAATGAAAAGGCCCACAAAAACAAGACTCACTGGCTCATCTAACCCATCACATCAGAAAGTACAAGAAAATGCATAAAACACACGCAAAAACCCACCTAACAAATGGGAAAATTTCTGAAAATGGTGATAAGGTTTAGTGCAAAATAGGAAACGATTATTGTAGAAAGGTTATAGTAGTTATATCCAGGAATTAGGCCCTGTTTTGATCGGAGTGTAGGAGATTATGTCGGGGAATATGTAGGAGATGCAAGAACATGTCCAGGAGGTGTAGGAAAATATACAGAATGTGTAGGAGAATATGTAGGAGGTGTAAAAGAATATGGACGAGAAAATCTCGAGAAGACTGGTCCGTCTCGCTTCATAATGCTGTAAAAAGCGGCCTCTCCTTGCTGCGTCGGGAAACCTTTCTTTGTCTGGAGTGAGTTGATGCAAAGGAGCAAGTCGTAAGCTTCCTGAACATGTCCTGATCAATTTCAAAAATCAAAAAATCTTCACTAACCTTTCCCTCAAACAATCCCTTTCCAACCGGACCATTGTTGAACTCTTCGCCGGACATTGTTGGAAACCGAATGAGGTGTAAAAGTTCATCGAGAGCTCTCCGCAATCCCTCTCCATCTGCCGGCCAATCGTTTCTGGAAATGGATTTGTTATGCGGGAAAAGTCAAAATCAAAGGCTAATCGGGCGAAGCCTTGCCTTGAACTAGAAAATTCCGTATCGCCCTAGTCCTGGTTTATCTATCTAACTCTTGCTACGTATTTTAGTATGTTTTAGAAATTTCATCAGCTGTTAGCTTTTAACCATGAATCTCTAGTTGTCTCATCTTTTTTCCCTTGTTTCCCCACCTCTTGCACTCAGCCTCAGCCCATTTGATCATTCCCGAGTAAATCGTCATCTCGTTGCACTTCAGCGAGTCTCTTTGGAGGATGTCTTTCACCTAAAGTCGTTTTAAACATAAGCACATTTTATGAAGTATAACCGAAAATGCGAAAAAAGATCAGCACACCCAGGACCTCCAGCGTGCCCGGCGAACGCTCTAGCCATGAGCTACACTGACACACACTCTGATGCCAACAAAGTAGGACCTTACCCGGATTTCAAACTCTCATCTTAACAGCTTGAATCATTTACAACGACCCACCACTTCTTTGGGCAATTGTAGGAAGAGCCGTGATTGGAGCACGTGATCGATTCGCTCGTCGATCAACTTGAAGACACTGAAGTGCGCTTTTATTAAGGTTCAGCTACCTTACTCCCTATATCTTATAGAACAAGATCAAACTCCTTAAACCCACGCTTCTTTCGCCAAATGATTGGAGAGCGGAGGGGTGAGCAACTCCAAAACGTCGTGTTTGCCTATGATCTCGTTCAACTTTTGAATCAAATCGTCTTTCATCGTACGAACCATGTATCTAAAAAGAAAACTGTATCTTAAACAGCACCAGTACAGGATTCAATTACAGTACCACAATGCAGTATGCATGGGATAAAATCCCTTAGAAAAACCCATAAATCTAGAGCTCAACTCACTTCTCCGACAAGTAGAACAGCTCGGCGAACACCCCCAATTCGGTCGCCTCAATCGTATCGGTGTACAAATAACTGAAATTTGAGTGATGATAGTAAAAACTGTACGGTATGCAGATCTAAACTTATCTATACATTTTAATTTTTAATATATGTGCAATATACCAAAAATAAAAATTATGAGAACTTTCCTAATTTATGAGATACTTTGGGCTATGAAAGTTCTCACCGAAGAAACTCTCGAAATGAGTCCGATGAGACGTCGCTGATCCGGCACTCGTCCTCATCGGCGAAACGACCGCTGAAAAAAAATGAAACGTTACATTGAGCATGGGTGTTATAACGTTTGCCTATCTATTAGTTTGAGTACTATTTGTCGGTATACTATCTTCATTGGCCGTTTTAGAGATGGGGAGTCGACGAAAACACCAACGGTTTGTTTTATTGAAAAGCTCCATCTTTTCAAGTGTTACATACCTAAAATTAAACACTTCACCCTTTTTATTTTTAGCCATTCAACGTGTTTGGAGAGAACTCGCCAATAAAAAAATAATGAGCAATAACCAAACTCAACCTAATATCATATTGTAGAATAAAATCTATTAATAAATAAAAATCAGTATTCTTTCAATTTCAAATTTACATAAAATTGACCTGAATTGAGCTCCAAAAACGTCGCTTCGTGTAGCGAGAATCAGTTTGTGACCGGGTAAACGAACAACTGCCTGGAAAATCATTCGATAAAACTTTCTTATCCTAATATTTCGATAATAATGGTTTTCCCTTCCCCACCCACCTCAGTCTCGTTTGGAAACAAAAAATGCACATCCGCGCGATCCTCGTTGAATAGGATGAATTTGAGCAATCGTTCAGCGGTTAACTGAACAGTTATTATAAAATTTATTACCAGGGCTTAGATAAGTATTCGTTATATAGCATTAGATACGTTTTTCAACTCACTGCATAAGAAAATTGCTGCCTTGGTGGTTGGAGAAAGTCACTTATATTTTTGATTTCTTCAATTTCTGTAGGGTAATTGATAGAAAATGATCAGAAATAGAGCGTGGTACTAATAAAGTTACGGAAGCGAACTTTTCTTTTTCAAAACCACTTTTTCTGGGGTAGTTTTATGTGTAGATTTCGAAAAACACAATGAGAGCTTCGGAAAAAGAGGTTTTACGCGAGTTTCGGTGTTTTAAAGCTCTTCTATAGTGTACTTCACCATATGGAGCCCAAGCTATAGACTATAGACTATTGACTAGAAGCCCATAGAAGCCCTAATTTTAAGTATAGATACACTACTTAAGGCTAAAAACTAAAAAAAACTATGGACAACCAACCCACCTTAAAAACACTCTTATCGTGATTTGCGCTATCGGCTACCCTAGAAAAGTTGAAAAACACAAAAATACAAAGTAAAAAAACCCTCCCAACCACCATGTACCAGAAAATTTACCGAGGTACCTAGTCCTGGACCCTTACAATCAGCAAAACAAGTAACTTTTAGGCAAAGCCGTATGTGTTCAATACCCAGACTAGCGTTTATAAAACTGATATCAAAACCCGAACCTTTTCTGCACTGGTAGCCTTTGGCTTATTTGGTCTAACATCCGATTGAGTCGGAACATCCGACTGAGAAGTTGTAGCTGGACGGTAGTAGCTGTTGCTTGCCATCTTGCCACTTGCCACTAAAGAAAGAGTTGGCTTCAACATATCAAAATTAAAGAAAAAAACAAATGCAAAGTTTTGGGAGCTATAAGATTATGATTAGACAATAAATTTCGAGTGTTGGGGAAGAGGGGAGGGCATTTAGCTGATTTGAAAAAAGGACCCAAAGGTTATGCATTTTCTAATGCTGCGTGCAATTTACCTCAACTTAAAAAGGCGCTTGGGCTTGGGTGCTTTAACAAAAAAATCAGCTAGACAATGTGTAGAACTTGATCAAAGTTTGCATATTAGCCTTTAGTTTTGTTATCAGCACAGGAAATAAACGAAACGAGCCAGTAAAAGTTTAAACGCGCTGGTGAATGGAAATTAAATGAAATGAAAAATGCGCCGCTTCTGGAAAGAAAAGCGCCGTTTTGTTTGGGGTACGGTAATGGACACTGTTTAGAATTTAGTTAAAGGAATTTTCTGTTGAAGATTTCTTTTGTTGGTTATCGTATTTTCTTTAATAGTTCCTTCTTTAATAGTTTTTTCTTTAATTTTCTTTTCTTTAATAATTTCTTTAATAGCACCTCGGCGAGCCGAGTTGGTGACTTGGTGACTATTTTACGGTTTCCAAGCTTTTGCAGAAGCTCAACACTCAAATCCCCCACTAGATCTCATCGTCAGCTACATTTTCCGCCCCACATCGATAGGTTCTGTTAAGCGGTTCTCGAGATTTCGAGCAATTTAGGCGACGCTCAGGGTGCACTACTATTAGAGAAAATACGTTATACGATAACTGGGATGCTTTTTCATTTCCTATATTTTGTTTAAAATTTATTATTTTCTCTCTCTCTCGCTCTCGATTTTTCTAGTAAAATTGAACGAAAATTCATAAAAAATGTGAAATTTTGTAAGCTAAACATTTCAAAAGTAGTAGTAAAAGCTACTTAAGGCAAATAAATTTTATAAAGAAATGAAAAGGCCCACAAAAACAAGACCGACTGGCTCATCTAACCCATCACATCAGGAAAGTACAAGAAAATGCATAAAACACACGGAAAAACACACCTAACAAATGGGGAAATTTCTGAAAACGGTGATAAGGTTTAGTGCAAAATAGGAAACGATTATTGTAGAAAGGTTAAAAACAATGAAAAGCTATAAAAAGCTATAAAAAGCTAACAAAAATATAAATAAACACGTTTCTTTTGTACCGTACAAAATAGTTGATAACTACGAAGAAAAAAGAAAATCTAATGATAAGAAAATACGCAAATCCTATTCGGATCACAGAAATCTGGCAACAAAGATGTGAAAATGACAAAGAAAAGTCGAAAATATGGCTCACAGTCATTGAAAAGTGGAAGAAGTTGAGGAAGTTGAGAAGAAATTTCGTTTACCGCCGCTTTTTGATTGCAGATGAATTGAGGTTATTGACATTTCCTAAAACAAAAAGTTTAGAAGCAATTCTGACGTCAATTTACGCCAATTTTCACTTCTACTCACATGAGAAATCGCTTTGCACATATCGTAAATGGTGAGTGCAGCAATGGAGACAGCGGTGAGGGCCTCCATTTCAACACCCGTTCCATAAACAGTCACCACACTGGACTTAATGTGAACACAGGATTGTGCCTAAACGGAATGAAGATTAGAAGAGCTTAGCTAACGATAAGCAAAAGAAAGCTCTTTACAGTCTTTACCTTGTCATTCTTTACCTTACAACAGTCTGTATCTATTTGATAACTCAACTATCATATTTATTAATAACTAAAGTTAACTAAAGTCTACTAAAGTTTACTAAAGTCTACTAAAGTCTAACTAAAGTTAACTAAAGTCCACTAAAGCCTACTAAAGTCCACTAAAGCCTAACTAAAGTTAAACATTCTTTACCTCATCAAGTCGAAACTGTGTCTCGCATTGAGCGACAGGTATCTGATGACACAATGGGATCAAATCAGCCGTCCTCTTTGCTGCTTGAATGGCTGAAATAGAATTAAGATTAAATTGAAGATTAAAATTATGATTTTCAAACTTACATGCAATATTTGCCACACTCAACACATCGCCTTTCTTCAAAGAATTCTGTTGAATTGCCTCAAAGATTTGGCGAGAGACCTAACAGAACAGCTTGATATATTTTAGGCAAAAAAAAACCAATGCTTACCTTGATTGTAGCGAGAGCGGTAGCTGTTCTTTTTGTAAGCGATTTCTCAGAGACATCCACCTGATGAGCAGCTCCAGTTGAATCAACGTGCGATAAAAAGGAATCACTTGTTGGAACTAAAAATAAAATACAACTAAATCTCAGCATTAGTACTAGACTTTTGTCTATTTATTAATAACTTACCGTAAATACTGTAATAGTACCCCACCGCTATAATGACGGTGTGGAGCGTTGCGTAGTCTAGCTTTGAACGAGCTTTTCTCAACACTGGTTTAAGCTACAATGCGCGTTTTGGTATCAAAAAATAGCTGAAATTCAGGGCTGTTTTTTGATACCTAAACGCGCATTGTAGCATAAACGAGTGTCGAGAAAAATGCGCTCAAAGCTAGACTACTCGTGTCAAGAAAAACTCGTTTAAAGTTAGACTACACGACTGTACGCCCGTCATTATGGGGCTGGGGTACTATTACAGTATTTACGGTAACTACAAATTCAACAAAATAAATTTGAAATTAAGATCACCTTTACTTGAAAACATTCGGATTTGAGGGGAAAAAGTTGATGAAATCGAAGATAGAAAATGAAGAGATTGGAATGGGTATGACTGTGAGCCTGTAAAATGTAAAATCTTTTTTTTTCCCAAGAAATTATTCGTTCAAATTTTACATAACTCTTTTCATAAGTAAGTAAAGAAAAAGGTACTTTTGAATCTAATATTATTGAACTCTCAGCAACATAGATCTCAGTAGATCTTAGCTAGCTTTATCCGATATTTGGCAATCATTGGAAGTTCTAGAAACTGAAAATGAAGGATTTTTCTGTGAAAATAGAGATTGAGTGTGCTTTCCATGGCTTCCAATATCGAATAAAGGTAGCTTTAACAAGATAGTACTAACAAGATAGTTCTAACAAGCTAGTACTAACAAGCTAGTACTAACAAGATAGTACTAAAAAGATAGTTCTAACAAGCTAGTACTAACAAGCCAGAACTAACAAGATAGTACTAACACGCTAGTACTAACAAGATAGTACTAACAAGATAGTTCTAACAAGCTAGTACTAACAAGATAGTACTAACAAGCTAGTACTAACAAGATAGTTCTAACAAGCTAGTACTAACAAGCCAGAACTAACAAGCTAGTACTAACACGCTAGTACTAACAAGCTAGTTCTAACAAGACATTTCGATACTTATGGATTCTAAGCCCCGCAGTCCTCGTATATGAATATGTACTAACAAGCTAGTACTAACAAGATAGTACTAACAAGATAGTACTTTCATCCACTACAACAATGCATCCAATTTGTTGTACAAGTCTTGTTGTTAGATAACTTTTCGTGTCTTTTCGTTTTCACGAAAAGCCTTTAATAGGTAATTAGTGATAGCACGCATTTTAGAAACTATAAAATGATTTTCGCTAATTTAGCAAAAGAAAACAAAAGTTTTTCCTGGAGTGGATCCGAACCCGCGGCCAATAAGCAAAAAGAAGATCGAGTACGCGCGCACCTACCACCGCGCCATCTAGCCACCCCTTGAGGGCCAGAAAAGAGCGTTTATAACCCGCGGCACGATTTCCCGTAGACACGTTTTTCTCGCGTGTTTTTGAATCTGATCAAAAATTGAATGCAGCATCGGATTCCTCGTGTCCGATAGCGATAGGCGTTTCCATCTCAACAGCGTCAAAATTTGCTATGGCCTTTTGCTATGGCCCCTCTGGCCCTTGTCAGTGGTTATAAGCCCCGCAGTCCACATATATGGCTATGAATCCCTCAACAATGGCCTTCAACAATTATATGAGAGTTGTTTGTGTTGAATATCTAACAACAAAACAACAAAAGAACAACAATTCCCCGTGTCCGATAGGCGTTTCCATCACAACAGCGTCAAAATTTGCTATGGCCATTTTGTGGCATTCTCTTGTAAGTACCGATAATTGATCAATCAATTGATCAACACAATTTACTACATTTACTATTAGCTGTCCGATCAAATTCCAAGTTTCAAATCGATTTTTAAATGAAAAAAACTAAGTGTTTTGTTGAATAACAGTGATGAATTTTAGTTTAAACTTTACTACTCACTTCTCAAATTACCCGTTATCCTCCAATCAAAACCATCGGCCGATTCTCCATATGCGGCAGCATTTCGAGGCCTACAATTTTTATTACATAATAACCTAGATAATCATTTAGGTTACCGCTTAGCTATCATTAAGACAAATTCTCGTAAATACTGTAATAATAGTCTAGTCTAGCGTAGTCTAGTCTAGCGTAGTCTAGTCTAGCGTAATCTAGTCTAGCGTAGTCTGGTCTAGCGTAATCTAGTCTAGCGTAGTCTAGTCTAGCGTAGTCTAGTCTAGCGTAGTCTATCTCGTTTATGCTAGCGCTTAGGTATCAAAAAGTAGCTGAGGTAGCTGGGTTTTTATGAAAGTTTTTACGGTAAAATCTCTCCAAATCACTCACCAGCATGTTCGGCTTTCTTTTTCCACAAAGCTTTCTCGATAATCTCTTCGACATTTCTCTCGGTTCCACCACGACGCAATGCGTCGACAAGGGAGACTTCGGCGTTGCTGTGCAGACAAACCTTGGCTCTCGTCAGTGAATGCGAACTTTAGGCAAGTAGTTTATCAGTTAAACTAACGCTTATTAAAGCTTATACTAGTAATTAAACGATTTATAGAATGTTTGAAGATACCTTTAGATTTCCATTAGCCGTCAAACGGACACGATTACACGTTGAGCAAAAATTGTCACTCATTGATGAAATGAAACCGAATTGCCCACGATGACCGATGATTTTGTAAGCCTGAAAGAAAGAACTAAGCTGTCAAAAAAGGAAAAAGGGGAAAAGGGGGCGGGGCCTCGCGTATAAAAGGTTTCACAATCGCCCCGCCGCTTTGCCATTGGCAATCTAACTTTGATCTCAAATTTCTCGGTGCTGGGCTGGCGAATTTCTATAGTTTTTATACCAATCGATAGAGAAAGACTTGGCGAATCTAATGATATTAAAAATATTTCAATTGAACAGCTCAACACAAAGAAATTTGAGCTTAAAGTTGGACAATGGGAAAAGAGAGATGGGGCGCTTTTAATCAAATGATCCGATGACCTTTTTGCCCTTTTTTATATCAAATTTATGTATATTAATACAATAGACTTGATCTAAATAATATAAATTCAATTATTTGTCATTTTTGTCATTTCTGAAATTTCTGAAAGATCAATTCCATAAAACCATAAAACCCACCTTCGAGGTGTCATTTGGCGAGTCCTGTAGACGCACGATTTGATTGCCAAAGCTAAAACTAATGTTTATAAAAAGCTAATAGAAGTAAATAATCAATTAATTACTTATAAATAAATAAAATGATCTTGGCCTTAATCCTAGCTCAGAGCCTGGCCTTAATCCTAGCTCAGAGCCTGTCCCTGGCCCTGATCCTGGCCTTGATAAATAAAGATTCAAAAACTCACTCTTTTCTGATAATCTCGAGTTGCTCTGAGTAGCCGACAAACTTGTCATCTTTGAAATCATTCCCACCAAATGGCATGAACTCAATAAATCGCACGTCCCAATTCTAAAAACAAGCTACCGTAAACGTAGCGTACTATTACAGTACTGTAATAGTACTGCACCGCCCTCGTACAGTCGCGTAGTCGCAAAGGTTTTTTAGTATTTCGTTTTTTTTCAAAGCACCCGTGCTTTCAAAAAATGCGTCTTTGGTATCAAAAAATAGCCCTGAATTTCAGCTATTTTTTGATACCTAAGCGCGCATTTTAGCATAAACCAGTGTCGAGAAAAACGCGTCCAAAGCTAGACTACACAATACTCCGCACCGTCATTATGGGGCTGCACATCGGCGCGAAAATGCGTTTTCTATCGGTTTTTTTCTGGGAGTACCTTTTTTAGATGCGGAAAATTGTGGTGATTCCGAATCTGAAGGAATTTTTCAAATCCCTCTGACAGAAATTTTTTAAATTTAGTTTTAACGGTTTTTTTGGTCATTTTGTATGGGAAATTTTGTGGTACCCTGCAGTTTGGGGCTCGTAACTCGACACCAAGGGTCTAGAACCAAAAACGAAGGGATAAGTTTTATTCTAGAGACTCTTACGAACATTTTGATGCAAAAATCATCAAATTTTCTCAACTCTACAAAAAGTTATAAGATTTTTTAAAAAAGAAATGAGAAAATCGAAAAAATTCTCTATTGTACAATTGTTTTGTTCAAAAGAACAATTTTGAGTGAATACGATACATATCTATGTATCGTATTCACTCAAAGCAATTAAGGAATATGCAAAATAATTGCTGGGAGAGCCGGGAGAGCCGAACCAACAACCCCATACTTTGGCGCGGGATTCACGTCGCGCGCGTACGTCGTACTGTAATACAGATGTGGAGAAGAGTTGATGGTTCTCAGAACAGTCCACTTTGACGCTGGAAGTTGCAAATCACGCTTGATTTCATTTGCCGATCTCGTAGAGTTTGAGGCTTTGTTTCTGATATGGCGTTCGGCCCGTTTGGAGAGCTTCTTGTGACAACCATGCGCATTTGAAGTACCATATTTGAGTGGAGCTTTGAGGTAACCGTTGATACAGGCTCTTGGGCGATTGGTTCGACGACTCATCTCGGAAATTGACAATCCAAGTTGCTGATGAGGCCGAGTTGAGCTTGCTCCCCGTCAGAGAGTTGAGTTGCTTTCGGCATTGTTTTTTTAAGTTGAAGTAAGACAAAGTAAGCTCTTTAGGACTCCTTATAAGGAATCTGAAGTGAAAGGGCGGCACTTATGTTTGTCAGAGGCAGTTTTAGCTTTTAAACTAGAAAAAATGACACCAAAATTTGAATGAATTTGAATTATGAAATGACACCAAAATTTGGGGGGGTGGCGTATGGTTTTGCACCGGGTGAATTTTCGTTTTTTGGCTGTTACATTCTCCCTATTCATGCTATGTCGACGATTTTTGGGGTTTAAGGGTTATTTTTGATCCTGAATCTAACTACGTTTTCAGTTTTTTTGTCACTGGCATGGGAGCCGCAGAAAATTGAAATTTAGGGGGTGGCGTATGGTTTTGCATCGCACTGTAGTACCCCAGCCGGCTGGGGCGCTGGGGCGTACGTACTATTACAGTAGTGTTTATTGATATCTACATTTTTAGATGTAGATATCAATAAACAAAAAAACTCGTACTCGATTCTTTGTGGCATGGACGAAACTCGTTAACTCGTCTGTGTTGAATCCTCGGATCACCACCACATTCACCTAAAAGATTTGAGTAATATTCTAGATTTTCCTTTTCCACTACAGTAATCTTGTCTTAAAGAATTTTACAGACAAAGTACAAACAAAGCACAAACCTTCACTCGTCCATACGCTGCCTCGGTAGCATCGATCGCTTTAAAGACTTTCTCGAAGCCGAAAACTTTTGTCATTTGCTCAAATCGTCGCGGGATCAATGTGTCCAAACTGATGTTGATTTTATCCAAACCGGCTGCCTGAAAAGCCAAGATTTATTGCTGAAACTCGAAACTCTTTTCACCTTCAACTGGTCGAGTTGTCGTCCCAATATCAAGCCGTTTGTCGTGATTCCGATATCATCAATCCCATCGATTTTCTTCAATTCGGCTAAACTTTTGGACTTACAAGGGCTTAGTTACAAAGACTTTTGTATTGGTTCAACACAATTTACAGTTTGAGCCTGGTCTTGATCCTAGCTCAGATCCTGGCCTTGATCCTGTCCCTGGCCCTGATCCTGGCCTTGATCCTGGCCTTGATCCTGCTCTTGATCCTGGCCCTAATCCTGGCCTTGATCCTGGCCCTGACCCTGATCCTGCCCCTGATCCTGCCCCTGATCCTGGCCTTGATCCTGGCCCTGACCCTGATCCTGCCCCTGATCCTGCCCCTGATCCTGGCCTTGATCCTGGCCCTGACCCTGATCCTGCCCCTGATCCTGCCCCTGATCCTGGCCTTGATCCTGGCCCTGACCCTGATCCTGCCCCTGATCCTGCCCCTGATCCTGGCCTTGATCCTGGCCCTGACCCTGACCCTGATCCTGGCCTTGATCCTGGCCCTGACCCTGATCCTGCCCCTGATCCTGGCCTTGATCCTGGCCTTGATCCTGGCCCTGATCCTGGCCTTGATCCTGGCCCTGATCCTGACTTTTTACCCCGGCATTTGGCTTGTTCGTGACTTGCCCAGTTTCAAGCCAGACCAGTCCAGGCTTTTTCGTGCTCTTTCTACAGTACACTGAAACCACTACAGTCCTATCCATAAAATTCTACGTCAAATGGCATAGATCGCATAGCATTTCGGTTTGTAACCTGTAATACTGTCTGCACTACTGTCTATGCAACCCTCGCTACAGTAACCGCACCTCAGCCCCTCCAGTAATTCAGTTTATAACGTTGAAAGCAACGCAAAAGCGTGAAACTTACCGATTAACTTATGGAGATCTTTTCGCAGTGTTGGTTCACCACCAGTCAATCGTATCTAAACGATGAAAACGATGAAAAAGGATGATTTCTTAGAAGGTATTCATGTTTATATTATTCTATATTCTAAACTAGTTTATTATTTAAATCTATTTTATTTAACTAGAACCTTGATCAGTGCAATATAGTAAAAGAAAATGCATTTAAAAAGCTCACCTTATTGATTCCTCTTCTCGCAAAAACACGCGCCAACACAATGATCTCTTCATTTGTCATCAAATCGCTTTTCGAATGTCCATCCACTCCACCAGCTGGCATACAGTAGCTACCTAAATAGATATAAATAAAGCTACCTAAATATAAAGCTAAATATAAAGCTAAACTCCTCTTCTTATTTCCTTTTTTAGTTTAATTGAAGATTTCTTGAAGATTTTTCTGAAAACTTACAGCTAAAATTACAAGTCTCAGTGAGGGAGATTCGGAGATAATTATGAACACGAGCGAACGAGTCGACTAGCGGAATTTTGCCGGTTCTGGAAAAAAAGATTTATGTTCTAATTAAACAGTATTATCGTATAGGAATAGAATTTTTATTCTTTTATTTCATGCCTTTCTTCAATCTCTCGTATTTTCGATCGAACCTCCGATCTGCGAGCGGCCATCGTTTGCTCTTGTATCCGGGTTTCATTTCTAGAATTGTCCAAGTGTTTATTCAACTTTTTCACATGAAAACAACTTCTTATTGGCTTCAACTAAACAACTTCTTATTATTAGGGACAAGAAAAGGTTCTGCTTTGGTTTATTCATGTCACTTTTGGCTCAAAGGTAGCCATGAGTATGACTATGAGCATTAGTACTTTCAGACTTTTGTCTATTTATTAATAACTTACCGTAAACACAATAGTACTCCACCCCCATAATGACGGTGTGGAGTGTTGCGTAGTCTAGCTTTGAACGAGTTTTTCTCGACACTGGTTTATGCTACAATGCGCGCTTAGGTATCAAAAAAACCTTCCTTTATAGTTCCTTTATAGTTCCTATTTAGTTCCTTTATAGTTCCTTTATAGTTCCTTTATAGTTCCTTTATAGTTCCTTTATAGTTCCTTTATAGTTCCTTTATATTTCCTTTATAGTTCCTTTATATTTCCTTTATAGTTCCTTTATAGTTCCTACCCCACCCGCCTCGTACGGTCGCGTAGTCGCAAAAGTTTTTTAGTATTTCATTTTTTTCAAAGCGCTTGTACTTTCAAAAAATGCGTCTTTGGTATCAAAAAATAGCTGACATTCAGGGCTATTTTTTGATAAATAAGCACGCATTGTAGCATAAAGCAGTATCGAGAAAAACTAGTTCAAAGCTAGACTACGCAACACTCCGCACCGTCATTATGGAGCTGGGGTACTATTACAGTATTTACGGTATGTATAAAATATCTTTTGATAATATCCTTTTCTTAACGAAAAATATAAAATTCTCAAATATTAATATATATTCTTTTATAATAATCGTTATAAACGATTATTATAAAAGAAAAGTCGAAAAAAATTTACATGATAATCTCCGGCGTTTCATAAAAAGGACTCTGTTGCGGTGAATCGCCGAGTTGGATCGTCGGTGGGAGCTGGAAATCGAGTTTTGTTTGTTTGTTTTGGAAATTCTATATAAAACTATTTGTGTATCTATCAATCTATCAATCTATCTATTTATCTATCAATCTATCTATCTATCTATATATCTATCTCCCTAAGCTAAATAAAAACCAGATTTATCCAACTGTTTTTTTTTGTTTCAAAATCTCTCTGCACAAGTGTGATTTAACACCTTGTAAAATTGCGGAAAACGTTAAAAGAATGACGAATTTTTTTTTCAATCATCAATATTTCTTTTGTTTTTCAAATTCGATCTTTTTCTCTAAGAGTTCTTTAAAAATTTTTTGCAAAAACAGATCATGTGCGATTTTTTTTCTGCAAAATCGACTGTGTTTCCATTTTTAGATAAAAGAACCGGATTTTTGAGGAGAAAAGCAAAAAGATCTCAATTCTCATCAATTCTCTGAAGGACATTGAAAAGTGAGAAAAAGAAAATAAACAAAAGACTCGATAAGGAGTACGGTAGCCAGAACTTTGAAAAGATTTTCGGGGGTGGCTATTTTGCGAAAATTTTTTTTGCGCAACTCGCCATAACTTTCTTCGAAGTCGGACAATCTCTATGATTTTGGTGTCATTTTCTAGATCTCAACAACTGCCACAAAATGACACCAAAATCATAAAGATTGACCCACTTTGAAGAAAGTTATGGCGAGTTGCGCAAACGACCCAGCAAAAATTAGCCTACTTTGCGCAACTCGCCATAACTTTCTTCGAAGTCGGCCAATCTTTATGATTTTGGTGTCATTTTGTAGATCTCAACAACTGCCACAAAATGACACCAAAATCATAAAGATTGGTGGACTTAGAAGAAAGTTATGACGAGTTGCGCAAAAAATAGCGAAAAAATGACCAACAACGAGGTATATATGACTTCTTTAAAAGATATTCAGTCGTTTAACTGATTTGAATGGAGAATTCCCTTTAAATATAAAGATATTCAATTTACTCGACATGTTAATAGGGATTGCTGGTAGTTATTCGAAAAAAAAGCGTCGATAAGTCGAGTAAAAATTATTCATGCAAATTTTACTCGAGTAATTATTTCCTCGCAAGGAACACCGATAATTTAGACTCACCGATGTGCCGATGATCGGCGTTTCTGAGACTGTTTTTTTCCTTGCCGCTTGCACGGAACATCTTCGATTTGAGCACTGTTGGAGTTGCTAGAAATTGACAAAAATCAATACTTTTAAGGTTATAAGTTTGTAAAATTTCCTGATTCTTGTGACTTTTTCTACATTACATAACAAAAAATTTGCAATTAAGATGCAATTAAGATGCAATAAGATGCAATTGCAATTAAGTGTTAAAGAAAAGCGACAAGTACATTACAGTCTACTTGTGACTTTTTTTCAACACTGATAACTTCACCAACAGTGCTGAAAATAGTCACAAGTACCCTTTTCCAATCTACTGGCAAATTTGGATAGCTTTTGGTTATTGGTATGAGTAAATGCAAGCTAATTTGATCCTGATCTTTACAATGTGGAGTAAAGAGAACAATTTTAAGCCGAAATCCGATTGGAACAGTCTAAACACTAAGCTTGGATTGGATCAGAGCCTGGCTAGCCTGGCCAGGGTACAGTCAAACCCGATTCCAAGCTTGAATTAGGCACAGGTCTAGCCTGGGTCAGCCTGTCTGGCTTGTCAGGTCAAAGCCTGCCTGGCTTGTCAGGTCAAAGCCTGTCTGGCTTGTCAGGTCAAAGCCTGCCTGGTCTGACCCTGCAACCCTAATAGAAAACGCTGATTTATCAAGTTTATTGCTAGAAATCGTATTTCATTGCATATATGATTGTACAAATCGCACCTGTCTCGCCGATGCATTGCAAAGCGTTTGAAAAGTCCGTGCGACACTCTGCGACACTCGCATCGCTCACCCTTTTGTTACCTAAAAATGTATGCGATTGGAAGTTTATAAAAAGACAAATGAAATTTGAAAATAAAAAGAAATCGATGAAAAAAGACGTTTAAAAATAAATAGGTGAATATAAATGTGGATGGGGCGGTGTCGAGAAAAGAAAAAAAAAAGGATTTGAAGAAAAGAGAAAAATCAGAAATCGAATAGAAATGGGGAGTGGTGGAAAAGTGAAAATGTTGACGTTTTGCTGTAAAATGCATTGATTTATTTCGAGAGCAGAAAACAGAGGAAGGAAAATTGACGGAAGGGATTATTTTAAAGATAGGATAGGGGAATCAAATCCGGAACGCTTGAGGAAACGATAAAGTTTGGTAATCATGAAGCACGGAGCACACAATCCAAAAGAAAAACAAAAACAAAAAGCTGGAGGGACCGAACTCTGATCTGGTGAGCGGAAGTCTAACGCGCTATCCACTAAGCCATCAACGTCTCCTTTCTCAGCTAGAGAGCTCTCAGCTCTTAGCCTTCTTAAACTTGCGACCATATTCCGAGAAAATCCTAGATTGGCGTTTTAAAGCATGGTAAAACTACTGTACTCCTCCCAAGCGTGAAATTTCTTTTTTTTCATTCTTGTTCATTTCATTTTATTCTTTTTGCGTTTTTTTTGCAGCGTTTCAACGTTTTTTCAACTAAAAAATCACAAAAACAAAGCTTCTGCCATAGAAAATGATAAAAACCACTTAACTTAACATTAGTTGGCATCAAGTTCGTAAAGTAGATCGTCGGGAAGCAATTGGGTTTAAAAAAAACTCTACAAACAAAGCTTCTGCCACAGAAAATGCTGTTAAAAACGTAACTTAGCTTTATTTTCTTTGTTTCCTGCAAAAACAAAGCTTCCGCCATAGAAAATGATAAAAACCACTTAACTTAACATTAGTTGGCATCAAGTTCGTGAAGTAGTCCTTCGGGAAGCAATTGGGTTTTAAAAAACTCTGCAAACAAAGTTTCCGCCATAGAAAATGATAAAAACCACTTAAATTAACATTAGTTAGCATCAAGTTCGTGGAGTAGATCTGACGATTGCGTTTAAAAAACTCTACAAACAAAGTTTCTGCCATAGAAAATGATAAAAACCACTTAACTTAACATTAGTTGGCATCAAGTTCGTGAAGTAGATCGTCGGAAAGCAATTGGGTTTAAAAAAACTCTACAAACAAAGCTTCTGCCAAAGAAAATGCTGTTAAAAACGTAACTTAGCTTTATTTTCTTTGTTTCCTGCAAAAACAAACGCGAGCACATCAGAAAAGCACAAAAAGAATAAAATGAAATGAGCAAAAATGAAAAAAGAAGAAATTTCGCGTAAACTAGGAGGGGTACGGTAGTTTTACCACACTTTAAAGCGCGAACTCAGGATTTTCTCGGTGAAAGGTCGCAAGTTGGGTTTAAAGCATCGATTTTGATTTTAAAAGTTAAAAGCCACGCAAAGTCTTTTAAAAAAAAGGCTTTAATTGATTTCCAGGGCTAGAAAATCGGGTTCGCTTTGATAGAACTCAATTTTCAATCTTAATAACAAGATTTTGATCTTAATAACAAGATTTTGATCTTACTATCAAGATTGAGATCTCAATTTCCAATCTTAATAACAATATTTTAATCTTAAAATAGAAACAATGAGGTGCCAAAGCTAGGTTTAACTGTAAGAATCTTCGTTTGTTAAGATGTTAAGACTTTTGTCAAGGTGTCTGTCAAAAAAAAAGTCAAATCTCTAGTTTGTTAAGCTGAAATTACTTTAAATGACTCATTTGTTGGATTAGTGGAAAAAAAGAGAGACAAGACTGAGTATTTGACTTGAATTTGTCAACTTTAACAGCTGCTAACAACTTTAATATTATTAGGCTGCTCGCTGGGAGCATTACGCTCGTTATGGTCAGGATGCTGCTTTCGCAGAAATGGTTGTGGTCCTCTTCCGCCCCCTTTCAAGCAATATACATAATTTTGATAATATTAAAAACGAAGACCCACGCGACCCAATAGACCCAAGAATCTCTACAGTGCACTTTAGGCTCTACAGTGCATTTTCCTGATTGTAATTAGCAAGGCCTCCTCAGCGAGGCCTGATTGTAATGAGCTAATGAGCAAGGCAATTTGCCAAACACTTGGACATCCCTATTTTCACTACTACTGGAATTCGCTTTGCTTTGCTTTGCTTTGCTTTCCTTTCCTTTCCTTTCCTTTCCTTTCCTTTCAAAAAACTTTCAAAAACAATCCTTATGCAGTTTAAAGAAGGCAAATAGGCAAATAGGCAATTATAGTAAAGGCAAATAGGCAAAAAAAAGGCAAAAACGAGTAAAATTTCAATCAAATCCATTATTTAAACAAATTCTCATCAAAAAAACTCGTAAATCTTGCAAAATGAGGGAAAATAAAATGAAAAAACCCAAAGCACTTTGACCAGAGCTCGGGTATCTTTTGAAAAATCATAGAGAGCAAAAGAATGAAAACATATAAAGATATAGATCTTTGAAAGAAAAAGAGATGGATTGCAAAGAAGAAGAAAAAAAGAAAAATGATTAAGGAAATGGAAATCCATGAATCCACCCACATTTTCACGTGTTTTTCATCTAATTTGATTGAAGAGTGATTAGAATTTCGGCAAACGATTCACAAAATTTTCTAAACGATTTTCTAAACGCAAAACCGGGGGTTTTTTCGGGCAAACGTCAATTTTTTCGTCAATTTTTCGTCAATTTTTCGCCACATTTACTTTCTAGGTCCCTTTTCGCTCTCTTTCTTTTCTATTGATATTACAATTTGGGAATAGTAAGCAGAATTGAGTCGATAGGCTCTTTAAGGCTGCTTATCGATAGGCTGCTTATCGAAAAGGCTGCTTATCGATAGGCTGCTTATCGAAAAGGCGAAAGCGAAAAGGTACCTAGAAAGTAAATGTGGTAAAATCTAGGAAATCCGAATAGATAAAAGAAAAAAAATCCAGAAAGCTCAAGCCGGAGTCGAACCCACGTGTGTTCGCCTTGGTAACCCGGACGCTAACCAATACACCACGGAGCTGCCTAGAGACCCTTCCGAAAATTTTCTAGTCATTTGTGCTGATAGCAATCTGGGCAAAAACTTAATAAGATTTTTACGAAATAGATCGATACCGTAAATACTCTAATAGAACGCCAGCCAAATAATGACAAGCGTACAGTCGCGTAGTCTGACTTTAAACATCCAAATCTGCGCACTGGTTTAAGCTACAGTGTTCGTTTTGGTGTCAAATGATAGCCCTTGTAATGTAAAATTTTTTGATATCAAAAAGGTAGCTAGGAAGACTCTAGAAGCTGAGATAAAATTGATTTTCTAAAAAGAAGTTAGACTACGCGATTGTACGCATTCTATTTGAGTATTTACAGTCAAGAATTGAAGAAAAAGAAAGATTTTCTGAAGCAGACATCTCATAGATTTTCAGGAAGTTGAAAAACGGATACGCAAACGAAAAAAGAAAGAAAGAAAGAAAGAAAGAAAGCAAGAAATAAAGAAAATATTATGAAAATATAGCAATATTTGTGAAAATAAAGCTCCCGGAAATGAGGAAAGCTTAAAGAAATCAAAAGAAATGAAGATGAAGAAAAATCGAGACGTTTGATTGGGACAATGAACGGAAGTTAGCTCAATTAAAGACCCAGATCCTTATAATTAGCTTGACTACTAGCTCTAAATCACTTGCTTCATGCAGGGGATTATTGTGAGCCGAATCTGCAGCAAAACCACCAAACTAGGTTCGGTTCCAAGTTCCAAGCTAGATTCGGTTCACGTCTGACCTTTAATTTGATCCGAGTTCTCGTCAGGATCAAGAAAAATCCTGATCAGAACCCAAGTTGGACAGAGCATACAAAATGTCGTCGGCGCCGGGATTCGAACCAACAACCTCTCGCTTACCCAACCAACACTCTACCAATGAGCTACAATGAGCAACGAAACGTATCTGATTGCCGCTAGAGTTCGGCTTGTCCAGAGATCCATTCAATTCGGCATCTCAGCTATTTGATGATCCATTTGAAGAGCTTTTTACAATAATAACATCACTATTCTTACTAAACAATATTTTAAGAGAAAACCAGAAAAAATATTGGGGATCAACATAGGAAAAGAAAAAGCAGGATGGAAGAGAGAAACAGTCATTCCCTTTTCCCATCGAAGCGATCAACGGCCGAGATAATCGAGTGAATCGTATTCCCAATCACCCACACACTCTCCGTCTTCCATCAACACCGGCAAAAGATAGATTTTAGGGAAACGTGATAGAAATCGAGATTTTAGAAATTCTATTAGTAAAAGCTCAGTGTATTGATCGATCTATAGCTCCATAGAGATCACTAGAGCTCACTAGAGCTCCATAGAGCTCCATAGAGATCACTAGAGCTCACTAGAGCTCACTAGAGCTCACTAGAGATCACTAGAGCTCACTAGAGCTCACTAGAGCTCACTAGAGATCACTAGAGCTCACTAGAGCTCACTAGAGCCCCATAGAGCTCCATAAAGCTCCATAGAGCTCCATAAAGCTCCATAGAGCTCACTAGAGCTTCATAGAGTTCACTTGAGCTCACTAGAGCTCCATAGAGATCACTAGAGCCCCATAGAGCTCCATAAAGCTTCATAGAGCTCACTAGAGCTAAAAAATTAGAACTAGAAAATGTTATTTGAGCTAAAAAGCCATCTGTTAACATACAAAAAGACGAATATGGGTTTATTTGGAAAATTGGTTTTAGCGAAAACCTGGGGTTTATTTAGAGCTTACGATATTCAAAGCGACAAATCATGCAGAATGTAACAAAAGCCAGTTAGCTAGCCAGTCAACCAGCCAGTCAAACCAGCCAGTCAACCAGCCAGTCAACCAGCCAGTCAACCAGCCAGCTACAAAACAAGTGCTCAGTCTAATCCTAAGACCTTTGTCGACGCTTTTCTTGTTGCTATCCATGGAGTTTGTCTCTAGGCAATTCTCCAATTCAAAGCCAGAACGAGAAGTGAAGCCAGGCTCTGCCTTGTCTATTTACATTTTATCTGCATATCTGTAGACTCGGCTCAAAGTCTTGAGCACGTAGAAGCCAGGTTTGAAGCCGTCAAAAAGAACGTCAAAAGAACTATAACTTCAAAAAGAATACCCAGAGCTAGCGATGGGATCTCGAGCTGTAAATCAACGTAAAACGTCTATCAACTACGCTGAACACGATGGTGAAATCCGTTTTTGGCGAATGAGCAATCGTTTTTTGTAAACAGCAAAGCAAAAAAAGGGATGTTGAGCTGTTTGGAGCTGTTTTTTGAAAAGAAAAAGATTATGATAAAAACATAGAGAAAATCTCAGTCAAAGTTGGACTATCTATTTGAAAGGGTCGATCAACTTAAATGGTCTATAACTCAAGATCTAAAAGTCGAATCAACTCAGGGTTACTTTTATTAGAATCTACACAAAATTTGAGTCTAGAAATGTATCATTTGTTTTGTAGACTTACCGATGAAAACATAGAGAAAAGTAGGGTCGTTGAGGATGGTACCCCTCTCACCGGTACCGCTCACTTTCCCCTCCATATCTCGACTTCCAGTTGAGCGATCAACTTGTGGTTGGTCTTAAAATGTTGCTTATGAAATTTCGTGCTAGAAATTCACAATCTCCTTAGTAACTTTAAGATAAAAACATGGAGAAAATCTCGGTCAAAGTTGGACTAAATTCCTGTTAACAGGAATTTATAAGGGTATCGTCAGGATATGGTGAAAAGTCTCAGGAAACCCCCAATTCTAAGTGCAAATTCGGATTCTACATGAAATTTGGACCTAGAAAAAGTACTTTATACTATAATAAGTAAAGGTTTGTTCAGATTCTAGGCTAAATGCTAATATTGTTCAGTGCAGAGATATAGGAGTGACTCCTCTATAGGACTTTTCGACCTAGAGATAAGGCAAGACGCAGAAGTATGATAAAAAAAACACTTTTCTAAGGTCGATTTTTGATGGAGAATCCGAATTTCGACTTAAAATTAAGGGTTTCCTGGGAAAAAGTACCACTTTTCACCAAATCTCATAAATTTATAGGGGTGATTCACTGAAATGGTCTATAACTCAAGATCTAAAAGTCGAATCAACTCAGGGTTACTTTTATCACATAATCTTTTTAAGATTATTCCGATTAAGATTATTCCGATTTTATCACAAAGTTCATTTGATTTCAATTTGATTTTCACATAACCAATTCCCGATTTCTCAATTGTAAATGCAAAAAAAGGAAAGAGAAAGAGAAAGAGAAAGAAAGAGAAAGAGAAAGAGAGGAAGAGAAAGAGAAAGAGAAAGAGAAAGAGAAAGAGAAAGAGAAAGAAAGAAAATGGGGGCATTAAATTCAAAAGAAGTCGATTTCTTCATTAAATTCATTGAAGAGAAAAAAAATGATCGATGTGATTTCACAAAAAAATCCTCGAATTTTTGAAGGGACCTAAAAAAAGACAAAAAAAAAGACAAAAAAGAGGCAAACAAAAATTTTGCAGCTGTTTACAAGAAATTTGCTCCTTTCAATTGTTGGTTGGAAAAGATCAGAGATTGAAAAGTTATGTTTGGGGAAATCTAGCGTCGCTGCGCCATCCCAGAGTGGTGCAATGCCAGTGTGACTTTCTCTGGAATTAAGGGCCCGGATTCGATCCCCGGTGGAACCGGTTCATGGCCCAGGTTCCTTTCATAAAACTACTTTAGCTAAAATGCTAGTTCTCATTTTATTCAATATTGTACTAATAGTAGTATCTAATCTACTGTGGTAGGTATCCTTGGATGAATGAATCGGCAAAGGAAAGACCAAGACACGCACACTGTACTGTTGTGAAAGGAGAAAGGAGAAAAAGAGATTAGAAAGGGCATTCACACGAGTCCTTTTCCCCTGCTCCTCTACTTTTTCATCCTCCATCCAATTGCATTCACACTCACACCCAGACATGTGTGTTGGATGGACGAAGAATGGACATATCGAAGTTGGATGGACATATCGAAGAAATCGATTCTCGGTGTGAATTGGAGAAGAAATGGAAGCTTTAGAAAGGTTTAGAAAGGTTTAGAAAGGTTTAGAAAGGTTTAGAAAGGTTTAGAAAGGTTTAGAAAGGTTTAGAAAGGTTTAGGAAGCTTTAGGTAGCTTTAGAAAGCTTTAGAAAGGTTTAGAAAGTTTTAGAAAGGTTTAGGTAGCTTTAGAAAGCTTTAGAAAGCTTTAGAAAGCTTTAGAAAGGTTTAGGCAGCTTTAAAAAAGAAAAGGGACAGGGTGGGGGTGGAAGTGTAAAGATTTAATCATCAAGTGAAGGGGGAAATGGGGGGAATGTCTAGACTGTTCGGTGGGAACATCCCCATTCCCCGTTGACCCCTCTGACCACAGAAAAAAAGAAAAGCTTTTTCCGGGCATTTCTGATGTAGAAATTTGATCTCAAATCGACTCTATGTACTTTGTGCTAAAACTGTAACTGTAAACACAAGCTTTCTAGTGCACTAAAAGTTCTTTATTTTTTCGTGATATTGCTGTGAGAAAAATGAGGAATTCATTCAGATTGAGATTCAGAATTCAGAATTCAGGATTTGTTTTGGTGCATAAAGTCCATAAAATCGTTTCCAAGCACACTCGGCCAGTAAAGCCCATAGCGCTGCTCGTAAAAAATAGACTTTAAAAGCAATTGTAGCCGCTGAAACACAAGATATCCTACCGTAAGAAATATAAGCTTTAATCAATGATCAATTTTGGAATAGAAGAAGGGAGTTGAAGAAAAGAAGAAGAAGAAAAGCTAAAGAAGAAGAAAAGCTGAAGAAAAGAAGAAGAAGCTGGGGGAGCATACAAAATACAAAAGAAAACGGTGAAGGGATGTGCAAGGCAGGCACTCCAACAAAGTGTCCATCCTACACACATGTCTGGGTGTTAGTGTGAATGCAAGTGGATGGAGGATGAGAAAAGTAGAGGAGCAGGGGAAAAGGACTCGTGTGAATGCCCTTTCCCATCTCTTTTTCTCCTTTCTCCTTTCACAACAGTACAGTGTGCGTGTCTTGGTCTTTCCTTTGCCTATTCATTCATCCAAGGATACCTACCACAGTAGCTTAGATACTACTATTAATACAATATTGAATAAAATCAAAACTAGCATTTTAGCTAAAGTAGTTTTGTGAAATACTGTCTTTTAAAAAATGCTTTTATCAAGTATCCTTTGTGTATTCAAAAAAAAATCAGACTAAATGTAGATAGATTGAATTAAACTAAAGCCAAGCTTACGATAGTCGAGAAAATTGGCACTGGAAAACGAAATTGGATGAGAGAGGAACACCTTCAGTAAAGAAAACCCTATAATGTTTTTTGAAAAGTAAAAAACAAAGCAAACGTGGGAGGTGAAAAGAGAAAAGAAAATGAGCGCCAATTCGCGCGTTTCCCGAAAAAAAGAAAGTGTTCTTTTTCTCTTTTAGCTTCAATTTCCAAATGTTTTGTCTATTTCACGCAAAAACCGTCGATTCTCCATCAAGATCAAAACCGGTGATAAAGGGAAAATTCTCTCAAATTGCGAATTATCGTCTGATTATTTGAGTTCGATTTAGACCGATCTCGACCGATCTCAAAAAAGTTACCGTACAAAAATAAAAGATTAAAATAAAGCTTGGATATTTCAGTGCTTTTTTTGAATTTTCATAGCTAAACCAACATTTGTGTTGCATTTTCTCTCAACTAAATGTCAACTGTACAAAACTTTATCTAACAATCCGAATAACCATAAAACAACCCGTACAATGAGAATAGAATGAATAAGCTTACAATGCGGAATGAAAATTTGTGCAAATCGACATCGACTACTACATCTTCTCGAATTTCTCCACGTAGCCACACTCGCAGCATTCTCGTTTCCATTCACCTGTCTTCGTATCCTAAAAAATGAACAGTAACTTGTCTGGAATAGTTAGTAAAAATCAAAACTTGTCTGGAATAGTTCATCTAATGAAAAAGTTGAACTTACAGTCAAGCTTTTAACCTTAAAAAATTCTTGGATCAGTTTAAAAACCTAAGCTTACCTCAATCTCTTCTCCGAACGAGTGCTCATGGGCCCGCGTAGTCGCTGTGTGTTGTTTCTGGGCACCGCGAATCTGAATAAAGCTTTTAAACCAAAAATAAATGTGGCAATTCGAATTATCCTTCATTTACCCCTCAAAAGCCAACGCATTCATTAAGTTTTGAACAGCCAAAGTGTCCATTTCCCTCACGACTCACTTGTTTTCTCATCTCTTTGACTTTCTTCTCGAATTGTTTCTCATTTCGCACCTCTCGTTTCTCGTCTTTTTCCCGTTTCGCCTCTTCTAATCCCTCATGGCTTCCGTGTACTTCAAGCATTCGATCAACGACCTAAAACAAATCTAGTTATTCAAGAAAATTCAACATACTTGAGAAGTTAAATAAAGTTTCATATCACCATAGCGTGGATTGTGGGGATTCTTGCGGGAAATGTATCTAAAAACCTTTACACTAGCTGTTAAACAAATTTTTTTAATCAACCTCAACGGCGGCTTGCGCATATCCAAATCGGTGTCCTTTAGCAAATACATCGTGAAAACCTCGGTTCGCGAGATCAATTTGTGAGCTCCTTTATCATCTCTAAACATTTAAATCTTTTTTGAAAGATATGCAAACTCCACCTACAACCATCACAAATGGGATGTCGAAAGCGATCCCATAGAAACGAGTCCAAAATCGGTTTTGCGCACATTAGACAATCGTCGGCGGGAATCGATGAGGCACGATCGAGTCCTGAAAAGAAAAGTTAGCAAAATTTTAGTTTAAAAGCCTTTTTTTTAAATAAAATTCAGCAGATAGTCCAAAATTTGGCATTAAATTTAACGCGAATGTTTACACTGATGTCTTATCATAGCCTTTTTTGCCGTTGCCAAGCAGTCTTTCAAATCTTTATCCTTTAACCTATCTCAAAAATCTCAATAAACACACCGGACCCGTTTAAAAACCAAACTTTTACTAAAAAAAATTCAAAAATAAACCCAAAGCTCTAAAAATCTTTTGTGTTTTCATCAGAAATAGTTTTTAAAATTCAAATTTCACCCACTTCTCTGTCGTTTTTGGGCCAATTCCTCTCTTCTTTCAGCCACCTGATCATCGTCATTACAAAAACCGCCCGATTCTTCGAAAGTGCCGAGATTTTCCCTGAATAAAAGATTGTAGCAAATACAAAAACTGAATATCTTCGCTTTTAATTGAGTTTATAATCAAAAGAATCACTTTATCACCAAATTTACTGTTCCAAATTGGTAAAAACAAAGCCGCTTTTAAGCCTATCAAATGAATTAAACGTATTTCATAAGAGCAAAAACTTAATATTTTGAATATACTGTGTTTACAATCAAAAATAAGCACTTTTCCACTAAATGTACCAACCACGACGCATAAACAAGTCATTTTATGCTGATTTAATGGTAAAGTTGCTAACTATAAGATAACCGAGAGATAAAAACGTACATATACAACTTTTCGACGAGTGGCATCTCATTTTTCCTTTTCGCCATCTTCAAAGTCAACGAAACTGAAAAAAATCACAAACGTTAAACGTTTTTTAAAACTGGTGAGAAAGAGAAAACGAAATACATTTCGTGTTTACATGGAGCAATCGATCGTTGTGAGACCGAGAGGTGGAAGAATGGGATAGGGTTAAATTTACTGTATAAAAGAATACGATAAAAGAAATCTACAGATAAAAAGGTGCGTTTAGAGATTTAAGCTTAAAGTACGGCTGTTTACTGCAATATTCAGATACTACAATTACTACAATAAAAGTATTCAGCATTAAAAGTTAGAGCGTGTTCCTTTCGAGTAAATAATTACTCGAGAAAAATTCGCACGAGTAATTTTTACTCGATTCATCGGGGGTGGGACAAATGCGACCTTTTTTTTGCGCACCTGGACATTTGCGCACCTTTTTTTTTGCTGGAAAGGTCGTAGAGCTTCAAAAATATTTCCATAGAAGGGGATCGTATGCGTAGATTCCGAATTTCGACAAATCAGACCTCGCTGACACGTCAAATTTGGGCTAAAAGGCAAAAACTACGCAACTTAACGCTTTTCCGTAGTTTTTGCCTTTTAGCCCAAATTTGACGTGTCAGCGAGGTCTGATTTGTCGAAATTCGGAATCTACGCATACGATCCCCTTCTATGAAAACATTTTTGAAGCTCTACGACCTTTCCTAAGGCCTTGTCCAGCAAAAAAAAGGTGCGCAAATGTCCAGGTGCGCAAAAAAAAAGATAGCATTTGTCCCACCCCCGTTCCTTTCGAGTAAATAATTACTCGAGAAAAAATCGCTCGAGTAATTTTTACTCGATTCATCGTAAAATTTTAAGATCCGGGGGTAAAATTTTAGGATCCGGTGGGGTAAAATTTTAACTTTTTAATACTTTTTTTAACTTTTTGACCATTCTGCTACTTTTATCAATCTTTTGCACCTATCGCTTTCAGAGTTTAAAAGAAGAACGAAAATATTGCTCATGATCTGATTAATGGTCTAAAGATCAATAGATTAACGCAAATTCCGTGAAATTTTACATTTACGATAGGCTTTGTAACTAAAAATGAAATTCTTGAGGCAAATGTTTAACCTTTTGTTAAACCCTTAAACTTAAACCTTTAAACTTATATCATTTTGCGTTAATTTTAGCGTTTTAAATAGAATTTCATCAATTTAGTGTGAAAATGTTTGCCGCCAACTAGGATATTATCAACATTTCTAATAATGACATAAAAAAATTTTGTAGAAGTTACGTTTTTGATCGAGTATCACCTCGAATCACGTAATCAAGTAATCACCTCAATAAATTGAATATCTTTACATTTGAAGGGAAATTGCCACCAAATCACTTAAGCGGCTGAATATCTTTAAAAGGGGTCGTATATAACGTATATAAAATTTTACCCCCCGGATCTTAAAATTTTACCCCCCCCCGGATATTAAAATTTTACCCCCCGGGTACTCCACAAGTACCCATTTTTTATTTTCCCATGTCTCAATTATTGTCTCATATTGCATCGCGTTAGTTGTTACTTTTGTGCCTCGCTTTGTTGCTCTTAGCCCCTGGTTTTCTTTCAATATGTTCTTTGTTTAATTTGCTATATATATTTGTTGAATGATTTGTTGTTTTTATGAATAAAATGTTATGCTTTTATTGATCAAATGCTTTAGAGTGAAAAAATTACCATCAAGAAGACAGGAAAGCAATAGATATCATCAATAAATGAAAGCTACAGACTAGACATGAGTTTCGGATAGAGCCGAACCGAAATTTTTGGATTTTCGGATTGAACCGAACCAAACCGGAAAAAAAAGCTATCCGAAACCCATGACTACTACAGACCAATAGCAGGAAAGAAACAAAAAGTGAAGCCAAGTGATTCTGTGGGTCTAGAGTTGTAAAAAACGCTTTACTCGCGAGGAGCACACTCTATTAACAATTCCGACAAGTTTATATCGATCAATCTATCTAAATCAGTCGTTTTTGAAAAAAAAGCGATATAAGAAAAGAGATTGAAAAGAATAGCGAAAAAGGGAGATAACTTGGTCCCTAGGGGAAATGGGGAGGTGATGGAGGATTGTGGCAAAAAGAGAAGACAACACAGCTTCGTCTATATATGTCCGTCAAATCGAGAGATTTCCCTCAAAGCAACACAACCAGAGCCACAGCCACAGCCACAACCATTTAACACAATGCAATCATTTCTTATTTTGGTATTCTCTTTGTATTTTAGTGCCTCAAAACGTTTAACACCTTGATCGTTTTGATCTTTTTCTTTGGCGATAGTCCTGGAACAATTCAGGACAGCCAAAATCGTTGACAAGCCTTACAGACTTGGCTTTTTAGCTCTGATTAGATTAGGCGCTTTTCTTTGCAACTTCTAGAACTGTTACAGGCCCAAATAATCGATCTGCACTTCATATAACAAAAACAAATCATCAAACCAATTCTAATTGTTTAGAACTATTTCATTTATTCTCTGAATCAACCAATAGAACTTATCAATGCAAAAATCGCACATTTTTCTCTCAAAAAAAAAGTTATCGAGGAAAAAAGTGGCGCAATTTCGTTGAGTTCTTCCCGAAATTCGCCTTAAAATTCCCCTCACTTTCCTTTTCGCGAAAAAAGTGGGTTGGCTAAAATTGGAACATTTGTTATTCGGTGGAAAAAAAAAAGAGAAACAGTTCCATTATCAGTTTGGATCTAGTTTTTCGAGTGTAACATCGAAATTTGACTGTTTTTATTGTAAAAACCATTTATATTTGAGTAGAGTTTTGGCTATTTCCTAAGCTGTAAGCTCTTTGCATATATTTTATTGGGTTTGCTCACTGTTAATGTCACAGATTTGGTTCTCTTCCAGTACAGAATTGATTCCTTTTCTCTACAGATTTGGTTCCTTTACTCCAAAGATTGGCTTCCTCTACAGTTTTGGTTCCTTATCTCTCTAAATTTGGTTCCTTTACTCCAAAGATTGGCTTCCTCTACAGATTTGGTTCCTTATCTCTCTAAATTTGGTTCCTTTACTCCAAAGATTGGCTTCCTCCACAGTTTTGGTTCCTTATCTCTCTAAATTTGGTTCCTTTACTTCAAAGATTGGCTTCCTCCACAGTTTTGGTTCCTTATCTCTCTAAATTTGGTTCCTTTACTCCAAAGATTTGCCTCCTTTTCTCTACAGATTTCGTTCCTAATCTAATCACTTATTCACTAATTCTAATCACTAATTTTTTTCTTTAGCTTTATTGCTTGATTATGCTGATTATGCTTGCTAAATACACAGTTTTTGAATGGGTTATAGTAATCACTTATCACTAAAATAAACACGACAGATACTAAAATTAACACTAACACTAACTTATCACTAATATAAGCCAAGAAGGCGACATGGCCAACCCAATAAAACAAAAGGCGACATGGTCAACCCAATAAAACTCCATCTTTTTCTAAAGCGCTAAAGATTTCTTAAAACATTAACATAATAAAAGTCAAAAGAATTTGAACTTTTAACTTTTGGACTTACTTTTCAAATAAAAAAAATAAGAATTCACTCCAAAAAGCTGTTAAAACCTGTTAAAAGCTGTTAAAAGCTGTTAAAACCTGTTAAAAGCTGTTAAAACCTGTTAAAACCTGTTAAAAGCTGTTAAAACCTGTTAAAACCTGTTAAAAGCTGTTAAAACCTGTTAAAAGCTGTTATCCTTTAGAAAACCTTGTCTAATACTCAAAGTCATAAAGCCAAAGCCAAAGCCAAAGCCAGAGTGATCATTACAAACAAAATCATTATCCTAAACTGTAATTTTGAGAGCTAGAGCTATTCTTTAAAGAATAACCACAATAAACAGCTATTCAAAACTTTAGAGCACATTTCTAGCTTCCTTTAGCTCTCAAAAACAAGCCAAATTTCCCGGGTTTAGCCCAGGGTAGCTCCAGGATACAAAACATATTCACCCCAAACATTTCATCAGATCAAAAATGCGTATATCGCGCGTTTTGTGAGTCGAAGGCCTTAAAAAGAGATGTTCCCAGTCAACCAATCGAAAAGGAAAGGGCCACAGCATGGAGAGCGTATAAATTATGCATTGTTACGCAGTGAAAGTTTGACGAAGGGGATAAAAGGAAGAGAAGCCCCGAAAGAGGATGAGCTGTGTTGTGAAGTCTCTTCTGAAAGTCTCTTCTAGAATTCTTTTCCCTAAAATGCTTCAAAATCCCCTAGTAGCCTTATTTACTTGATCTTATCTTATTTCAAGAATGTTAAATACCATAAAGGTGAGGCCAAGAGTCTGGTTTAGTCTGGGTTTTAGCCAGACAGATGTCTGGCTTGACAGACAGAAGGGTTTGATCTAACCCAGCTTAGCTTGACCTTTCTTTGGTCTGAACTAAGTTAGGGTAGGGTCAAGACTGGACTAGAGCTAGCCCGGGCTGACCCTAGAGTACTGAAAGTAGCCAAACCGGAAGTAGAACTGTTCTTTGGTCTGAGCCTGAGCTTGAGCCAGACCTAGCAACGTATGCTTGTCTGAGCTGAGCTTTGTAAGCTAGTCCGATCTCCGCTAGCTTACTGTTTAGCTCAGGCTTAGGTTTAGGCTCAGGCTTAGGCTCAGGCATAGGCTCAGGTTCCGGTTCAGGCTCAGGTTCAGGTTCAGGCTCAGGTTTAGGTTCAGTCTCAGGTTCCGGTTCAGGCTCAGGCTCCGGTTCAGGCTTAGGCTCCGGCTCAGGTTCCGGTTCAGGCTCAGGTTCAGGTTCAGGCTCAGGTTTAGGTTCAGGCTCAGGTTCCGATTCAGGCTCCGGTTCAGGTTCAGGTTCCGGTTCAGGCTCCGGCTCAGGTTCCGGTTCAGGCTCAGGCTCCGGCTCAGAACCTAGCTAAGCCTGACTTTTGACTCATTTCCCTTTTGCAGAATCCGGCAAAATGTCAGGGTAAAATCCCAAAAGAGGATGTGTTTTGAAGTCTTTTGGAAGTCTTTTCCCCGAAATTGTCCTCTAACACGCAAATCTCTCTTCTAACTCACAAATTGATGAGCTCTTTTACTCCTCTTTTCCCTCTCTATAAACGCCTTTTTAGTCCACTTGTCTCCCAAAATTGGGCCACTTCAGATTTTGGCTTTAAATGTTTCGATCTAGGCTTTGAATCTTTCGATCTAGGCTTTAAATGTTTCGATCAAAATCTTTCTTCTCTTATCTATCTTATCTATCTTGTCTATTAAAAGGATTTAAATCTAACTTAGCAGCTCACTGAACAGCTAACTTGGCAGCTAACTTAGCAGCTCACGAACAGCTAACTTGGCAGCTTAGCAGCTAACTTGGCAGCTAACTTAACAGCTCACTGAACAGCTAACTTGGCAGCTCACCAAGCAGCTCACCAAGCAGCTCACCAAGCAGCTCACCAAGCAGCTCACCAAGCAGCTCACCAAGCAGCTCACCAAGCAGCTCACTAAGCAGCTCACTAAGCAGCTCACTGAGTAGCTCATTGAGTAGCTCACCAAGCAGCTCACTGAGTAGCTCATTGAGCAGCTCACTGATTGATTGATCTATTTAGATCAGCTCATTGATTGACTATGGTAGCTGAGCACTTCAGCTCTCTCTTTAGCACTCTTAGCTATAGTATCTGATATAGAATTTGATCTAGTTCTTTTCTGTAGCTTCGACTTTTTGTCTTTCTTTTCTAAACACTTTTCTTTAAAGCAAAGTTCTCGCGTCGATTCGAACTCGATTTCCGTTTGAAATTCGAAGAAAAAGAAGATGTCCGAACTCTATTCAACAAAGCAAAATGTCAACTGCATCTTTTTCTTCAATACTCTTTTCCCCATTTAGCTTTTCGAATCCTTTTTCTACTCCATTCCCATCCACAACAAGTGCCCCAATCAATCCCATCTTTCACAAACTCTAAAAGCTTCTAAAATCCAACTTTTAAAACCTTCTAAAACCCAACTTCCAAAAGCTTAAAACTCTCTTTTCTCTGCAAAAGATAGAAAGGGTTTTAATTTGAATTAAGTGCACCAGAAAGTGCTCGTTTATAGATGAGAAATCTGAGCTGAAAGTACAGCTGAAAGTACACGAAAAAGCCTCGTAAAATTTTCGTAAACTTTTCCCTTATCCAAATCGAAATTTTCTTTTCCCTTTTTTTTTCTTTTGAAATCCATTTCACACTCGACTCAAAATTTAATTCGTTATGCGCTCCTCACTTCAGAGAAAAGCAGAAAGAGAAAAATAGCATAAGCGACGGAAAAAAAGCTTATAAGAAATTCAACGGCTCTTTTTCTAGGAGTTGAAACCTTTTTTCAACTTTAATACCTTAAATTTGGACTTTTCTTTGGATTATCTGAATCATTGTGTTTTCTAAAATCTTTCTCGACAGCGTATTCTCTATTTTTTTTTTAAATCTAACTACTTTTTGTCTAATTCTTTAAGAGTTTATAAAGGATCTCGAAATATTTTTTAAAAATAGATTTGAAATAGAAAAAAGATTACGGGTTGAAAGTTATGATATTCAAATGACAGTGTGACAAAGATTATTATATAATAGAGATTGTAGAGATGGTAGAGATGGTAGAGATGGCAGAGATATAGAGATAATAGAGATTGTAGAGATTGTAGAGATAGGAGCGATTGTAGAGATTGTAGAAGATAGTAGAAGATAGTAGAAATAGTAGAAATAGTAGAAATAGCAGAAATAGTAGAGATTGTAGAGATAGGAGAGATTGTAGAAGATCAAGCAATTGATCAAGCAGCTAATCCAGAAGCTGGTCAAGCAGCTGACCCAGAAGCTGGTCAAGCAGCTGACCCAGAAGCTGGTCAAGCAGCTGACCCAGAAGCTGGTCAAGCAGCTGACCCAGAAGCTGACCAAGCAGCTGATCCAGAAGCTGGTCAAGCAATTGATCAAGCAGCTGATCCAGAAGCTGGTCAAGCAATTGATCAAGCAGCTGATCCAGCAGCTGGTCAAGCAGCTTGTAAGAAGATAGGCGAGATTGTAGAGATTCTAGATATAGTAGAGATAGTAGAGATAGAAGAGATTATCCTTAAATTAGTATTAGAAAGTACAGATGAGCTAAATATTCTTCTACATATTCTTGTATTCTTCTATTTGCAGCAATTTTCTCCCTTAATCTATTCTCTATTGAACACTAGCGAATCAAGAAAGAAAACAAAGAATTCTGCAAAGAAACAAAGAATCCTACAAAGAAACAAATATCCACAATGATATCTACAATCTTAAACATTCAAAAATGAGATTATTTTGAGCATATTCTAAATCTTATCTCATATATAAGCTTTCATTCTTTCATAAGCATCAAAAGCTCTCAGAATTTTCTTTTTTTCTTTCACAAAACCATCAAAAAAAGTCTAGTTCTTTCTTTTCTTACAAATTTCCCCTCTTTTTCCCAATCATAGAGGTGGAACGGAGTCTAACTTTTGAATGAAACGCCATTTCTTTGTCGTTGTTTTTGTTTTACTTTGCTTACCATCATTTCTTCACATTTTTCAAGTTCAATACTTTGTTCAGCTTTGATTTTCTGCATATTGATTCTGTTTTTGTTTTCTTTCAACTGAATATCTTTCTTTTAAATCATTTTTATTACCGATTTTTACAGCTAAATGAAACCCCGGATCGATCAAAGCTCACCGCAACAAAATGGACAATCGACAGCGGAAAATTGGTGAGTCTGACAAGTCTGGTGCCAACAGCTGCGGTAATTCCAGCTCTCAAAGTTTATGTCATTATTGCTCGTAGTCATTATTGCTCTTAAAAAGCTCATAGTTGGAACTGAGCCTTTGGATACGGTTCACCTCTGTGTGATACTGGATCCGGGGTTAAATTCGCCGGTTCTCCGGCGAGAGTCTAAATAAATCTCTAAATAAATCACTCTAAATAAATCACTGAGCACTCTAAATAAATCAGAGTGCTCAAAACAAGCGTTTCGCTTTAATGTTTTTGCATGGATTAATGGAAAAGGACTTCGGTTCCTTACTGTTGCTTTCGGAATTGGATTAATGTTTAAGAGGGACCAATATGCAGCATTCAGAGGGACCAGCATGCGTACTTATTATCTTGCTATTAACTTCGTCATTATAATAATATTTCACCAACTTTTCACAGCTTTTAAAGCTCAATAGAACAGCTTATTTGGTAGATTTTGATTTGAGATTCTGAATCTCCATACTCAATTTAGTAAGAAGTATATGTCGTAGCCGTTTACGAAATTCAGCCGCTAACGAATGATTCGTTAGCGGCTAGCCGATTGATTCCTAAGCCTAAGCCTAAGTTCCAAAGCACAAGGGCAATCGGGTGTCCCTTAGCTCCGGGAACTGGCTGAGATCCAGAAAATGGGGGTTCAGCCCAAACCCAAATAGACTTAGTGCGAGGCGCTAGCCGCTAGCCTTCGCACTACGTCCAAGTCTAGGCCTAAGCCTAAGCCTAAGCCTAAGCCTAAGCCTAAGCCTAAAATATCACCCACATATGCCAAGAGCTAAGCCAGAGCTGACTAAGCATGGGAAAATTCCAATCCTAAGCAAAATCCGAATCCGAACAAAATCCAAGTCCAAGTCTAAGTCCAAGCCTACCAAGTCTAAGTCCAAGCCTCGGCTAGCCGTTAACGAATGATTCGTTAGCGACTGAATTTCGTACGACATCTATAATCCGGGAACGAAAGCTCACAGCTCAGAAGTTCATTCCTTTCCCTTGTCGGCTATTGAAAACAAATGAATATTCAGTTATTGACGAATCAATGATTAAAAATAGATTTAACGATTTGAAACGATTTGAAAAAAGTCCTTTTAAAGTCCTTAAAAAGCTCAATCCATTTTTTTCTTGCAAGCCAAGAAAAAGCTTTTTCTCTAAAATATCATGCATTTCTAAGGCGCTAAACGGGGACTTTTCTTTTCGATTTTGCATTCTCATTTCCTTTATCCCCCATTTCCCCAACTTCTCATCATTTCCCTCAATGTCACTTTTCGATTTTGTCACTGTTCCCTTATTGCAAAGACCCAAAAAACGAGTGAAATTAAAGCAAGTTTCTTTGAGTTTTTTCTTAATAATTTTGCGATTTCCAGTGAACCATGTCAATTCTACATGAAGATCGGCGCGTGCAGACACGGCGATAAATGCTCGAGGTTTGCGATAGATTAAAGCTATTAGCTATTTTAAATTATTAAAATCAAAAACTTAAAATGGGTGCTTTACGGTTAGCGGGCGAGTCGACCGATCATTGAAGATTGACCAATTTTCAGGCTCATTTTAAAGCACCTTAAACTTGTCAGATTAGAAAGTTCTAATAAGCTTTAGAAAGCTTAAAACGTGAACTTTCAGGAACTATTTGTTTCATCAACTATTTGTTTCATAGTTCTTAACAAAAACCTATCTAAAGTCAAGCTGCAAAATAGGCAAAAAGTTGGCCAAAGCTATCTGCAATCTTAAAAAAAGCGATCTTAAAAATTCCCATAAATATTCAACACCCTGTAGGTATCCAGTTTTTGTCTCATGATAGTATGCTGAGGTAAAATTCCGTATTGGATTAGAATAGGAACCGTATTGGAACTGCATTGGAACCGTATTGGATCAGAATAGGAATCTTATTGGAACTGCATTGGAACTGCATTGGATCAGAATAGGAACCGTATCCGAACCATGTTGGAACCATATTGGAACCATATTGGAACCATATCCGAACCATATTGGAACCATATTGGAACCATTTTGGAACCAGATTGAAACCATATCTGAACCATATTGGAACCATTTTGGAACCATATCTGAACCAGATTGTATCCATATTGGAACCATATTGGAACCGTATCCGAACCATATTGGAACCATATTGAAACCATATTGGAACCATATTGGAACCGTCGTGGAACCGTATTGGAAACGTATTCGACCATCAAATGATCGTAAAGATTCCTTAACCCATTCGAAACCGCAGCGTTTTTTCTTTTTTTTCGTCTGCGGACCAAGCCCTTTTTTGACATTTTTTCGCTGCAGCGGTCCGTTCCCGCGGTTTTTTTTGCTGACGTTTTGTTTTATATTATTTCTGATAATTTCTATATATTAATCTAAGTTATTCTTCTTTTAGATAGCGTTATAGATGACGAATTGAACGACTCTTCCAATAATTTATTTATTGGAACCGTGATTTGGAGCCATATTGGTGGACCAGATGATCGACTAATTCAACCAGAAGTATTTTCATCAAGTTCAAGCGAATCCGAGGAAGAGGATGACGATGCGTCCGAAACAGTTCATCCAGATGGTTGGAAAGATTTACGAGAGCCTTCTACACCATTTATTTTTGATGAACAACGTTTTGGATTTGACTTCAGTACTTTTCAAGACCCTATCGATTATTATTCTTATTTTATCGACGACAAATTAATTAATATTGTTAGTGGGCGACAAGAAAAAAACGAACGACAGGATTCGTGAACCATCTTTGGAACTCGTATTGGAACCATATCTTCAAATGGGAATGTCAAATTCCGGGGTTTGTGCTGGAAAAAAGGCGGAACAAGGGGGTTTCCCCCCCCCCCCCCTTAAAAATTGAACCATATTCTTCGAAACCTGCATTTTGTGATACTGAACTGGAACCTGTATTGGAGACCGGCTTTATAAGATTAGAGCTTTATTGGAACTATTTGAATGCCAAATCGGAGGCTGCATTGATTCCGGGTAACCATGAACGCTTTTGGACCCAGTAATTTGTAGTACCGTTACAATTGGAATATCCATGTAATGCTGAAAAACCATAATTGGAACCAATTATCTGAAACCATAATTGGAACCGTATCGCGCAACCGTCGTGGAACCGTATTGGAAACGTATTCGACCATCAAATGATCGTAAAGATTCTTTAAAATAGTTAAACTGGTATTTAATATAAATTATTAAAAAAATAAATAAAAACATTTGTCGATTTGATTTTTAAAAGGTAAACAAGAGAAAAACGAGATTACTTTAACGAAAATATTTTAACGGTTACTTTTAAACGATCAGATGCAGGAAATGGCTTCCTCATGAGTTAAGCAGTGCAAACGCTCGTTTATATCCGAACAACCTAATAGAAAAGCTATCAATCTGCTAAATTGTTTCATTGAAAAGCCAAGAATGTCAGCTTTTAATGAAAATTAATTTTAATACTATTTTTACTACAGGGTGGCTGAAAATTACGTGCGCCAAAGAAAACGCAAAAAATATTTATTTATATAATAGTTGTAACAAAAGCATTTAATAATTACAAAGAAATTTTCGAAGTGGCCTCCATCCGCTTTGATACAGGCTTCAATTCGCTTCTTTACAGAATCGACGGTGCGGCGAAGATAATTTGCATCTAAGTCGTTCCAGATTTTGATCAATTCTCGACGTAAATCATTCAAATTGGTGATTTTCCTATTTCTCAATTGTTCTTCCATAAAATCCCAAACCGAAAAGTCCAACGGATTGAGATCCGGGCTGTTTGCAAGCCATTGATCCTTCGTCAAAAAAGAGCCAATTTTGGTTTCGAGAAAGCGAATTGTTGTTTTGGCTCCGTGGGCTTTTGGCTCCGTTTTGTATTTTAACACTATTTTAATACCTTTTCTTAACACCGATTCGAATAAAGCGTCTTCTCGAGCCCTATAAATAATAACATAGCCATAAAGATCATAACATCACTAGTAAATGCTCAAATTCTAAATTTCAAACGTCGACTCGCTTAAAGCTATCCTAAACAATAAGTAAACAATTAGAAAAGCAGTGCATTAGCACAACTTAAAGAATTTAAAGAAAAACCCAACACACTTTGAGCTAAACAAAGCTAAAGCTAAACTTGTTCGGTTCAAAGTAATCAAAAAGAAATTCGAATAATTTCGCGTAAACTTTTAGAATCCACACGAAACCAACACGAAGCAACACGATTTTACTCAAAAATCTTTATCGACAAGCGAAAGTTTTTCTATTTCCATATGGAGGTGAGTCGAAAATCGGCTTTTTTCGATCATTTTTTTCTAAGCACTCGTTAATGCTAAAGATATTTCTCAGAGCTCAAAATATCACCCATCTTTTCTACTTTAATTTGATACCAAAACGCGGCGAAACAAACGTACTAGTCTCGAGTTATAAGCGTTTATTTGAGAGTAAACTTTGACTACGCGACGCTCCGTTATTTATTAGTGTTTTGACGGTAATTGACTGAAGAAAAGATATTCAGTTGATCCATTGAGTGACGCGTTGGAACAATCGATATTTGAGGAATTTTATGAAGAGGTTTTATAAAAGAGAAATATTCAAGAAATGAAGAAATTCACAGGTTTACACAGAGATCGCATCAACGTGCGGGAAAATTCGAGAAATGCATGTTTGCGAGAATCACGGAGCACATCTAAACGGCAATGTTTATGTTAAGGTGAGTCAATCGCTCTCGACAAATTTATCTAGATAACCAGAGACTCAAGAAAATATGCCTTTAAATGCCTTTAATGGAAATATGCCAGCGTAGAACAGGTCAGAAGCCAGGCTGGTCTAAGAAATTGCGGTAAAGCCAGACCAGAAGCCAGGCCCGGTCTAACCACTTGCGGTAAAGCCAGACAAGACAAGGTCAGAAGTCATCTAGGCTCTGGCTCTGGAAAAATCCAGATCCATTTTATTGCAGAACTTGCTCACAGTCGATCTTACTGCATACTAACTATTTCAAACTTCCTCTAGGCCTCGTCAGCCAGAACACAGAGCCAGAAGCCAGGCCTGAGCCTAGTCACTGTAATACTTGAATCTAAGATTCGAACTGCTAAACCTTCATCTCAAACTTCAGTTCTACCACTCATCAGCCGCTGTGAGAGCCGTGAAAAAGCTTTGTGCTCGTTTCTTCGCCGGTTCAACTCTAGACGTCGAGTTGTCACCAGTTCACGATTTTATCGACGCCAGTTGCCGACAACATCAAACAAGGTAAAAATGAGAGGGGAAAATCTCACCGCAAAAGCCCAAAACCTTTCAGCTGCTGTTCCCGGGGTGGAATCTGTAATTTTATGCACGTGAAAACCGTGCGCAGTGTGATTCTTGATCGACTTCAAAAGGTAAATCCACGCAATTACTCAATTTAACAATGAACTTCAGAAATCCGTCACATCAAGCCCATCAGCGAGCAAAGAGATTTCAAAATCGCAAAAAGACAGTGACAGTGACATCACTAATTCGAGTGATGACAGTAGCCGAAAAAGGAAAAGAACAAAAAAAGATGACGAGAATGAAGAAGAAGATCATTTACCCACAAAATATCAAGCGGTTTTCAAGTGAGAATGAAATTTTGAATTGAATTCAATTCTAAATTTCAGTTCATCATCAAACGACGAGACTTCATCGGATTCTTTCCTCGATGAGAGCTTTTCCGATGATTCCCGGGCAACGCCGAAAGCTTTTCGAACGGAGAGGTGAGTCGAATTAATCCATTTTTAAAACTTTTTATCATTTTACGCTTTTACCTATAAAATTACAGATTCAATTCTGATCAAGAGCCTGATGAAATTAATCAAAACGAGATTGCACCTGCTGAAAGAGCCGAAAGGAGAGCGAGAGAGATCAAGAAAATGCAGATAATGTAAGGATCATTATCAAAAAAAACGTATTGCTGCCCCATTATGGCCTAAAACGTGTCACCTATCGAAAGTCACCGTAATCTTGTCTCTCTTTATCTAATACGATTTTTGCATCTTTTTGTATCCTTATGAACACTCACAGAAACAGATAGATTGGATAAAGTATGGCCAAAATTACGGTAGCTTTCAAAAGTTGATGTGTTTTAGTAATGAGCTAGTCAATCGTAGTTTTATCGCTAAAATCCTCTACAAACTCATTCCAGAAGACATCGTCGATGGGAATTGCTGCAATCAAAGTTGAAACCCTCAATGAATGAAGAGATTTACGACAGTGAAGATGAGCACGAGAAAAACTTTGTTTTCAGCCTCTTGTAAATAGACACGTGTAAATAAAAGTAATAGAATTTTATTAAACCTATACATTCCAGAAAAACACTTGACCCAAATCATCACCCGTATAAAACTTTTGATTTGTCGCCACGCAAAGGCTCTGGATCGGTGAACCTTGACAAACTAAAGGGAATTCTAAAAAGAAAATATTATTTTAAACCTTGTAACGCTAATAGAAGAGATCGCTTCTTGGTGCTATACGCACGCAGAGATCCATCCCAAAAACTCGCAAATATCGTCTTCTCAGATGGCGTTAATCGCAGACAAGAGCAACCAGTGGCACTAAATTTGCTGAATAGGTAAATTGCCTATCGTTACTCGTATGTATCTTTCGTTAACCATCTAATTTGTAAACTCAATCCCAACTAACCTTAAATTGTAATCAATCGTTTCTTTTTCATCCACAAGAACCTCAGCAACTATTCGCAGAACATGAATGGGAGACGTTGAGGTGGCGGCGAAAAGCGACGAACTCGTAGAACAGATCGCAAATATTGGCTCATTTGTCAACTTGAAACTAAAGATTATACTTTAAAACGTAACATATTGGCATGACTTTTTAACGCTCTGTCTTATAAACAAATTTAAGAAAACTAATAAATCTTAGGAAACTTATAGGTAGTTGATCACTACTCACGAAGCTCTTTTATCTCCAGTGTCGATCGATCGTTGCTCTACACATCCACTATCCCATCCGATGAACAGGGAATTGCTCTCTTCGGCAATACTCAAACACATCAGCATCCAATCTTGGTTTTGCAGCGGGATTCCTGAAAAATGAACATAGTTATAGGAAAATGGAGATTACTTTTTGCTTCCGCTTCATTCTCTTTCATCACGTGGACAACGCTTGTTTTATCCTAAACCTTCATTTCCCGTACTCCCACAAACTCACAAAATTACCTCAAGATCGGGTATTGCTAGGAGTGAGCCAAATAACGATGCTGCACAGTGACCATAATGTTGAGTCGTTAGCAAAATCTGAAAGAGAAAATATTCGTGATACTTAGAGAATGTTGTACAAACTCTAAAATACCTCAAAGCCATCAGCCGATTCGGTAAAGCAAAGAAGAGCAAAAGTGCGCACATGTATGACAATATTCCCATTGAAAGTCCCAATCCAAATGATACCTCGTTCTTGGGGATCCTCTAAAAATCGTTTAGAAAGATAATGCTTGGAACAAACCGTACAAGATGCTGTCGAGTAGTCTTGTTTCTTCATCATAGAGCTCGACTCGTCCTTTCTTTGTGCCGATGGCTACGCAAGAACGGCCTAAAATGAAAAATGTACTGTTTGTCACGAAAAAGAAAATGCAAATATAAGTGCCCCAAATCCTACCTACACAGACCCATTTAGCCACAAATTAAAGGCTACATATCCAAAAAAAACTAACCATTCCTTCGAACAACAGCTATACACGATACTCCACCCTCGAAACCGGTCCAAAGAAACGACGCTTTCGGTGGCAGACGGCTCATTACCTAAATTTTATTTATCTTTACAAAATCGAAAATTAAAACATTAAGTGAACGTTTAAAAAATTTCTTGACTAGCACCCGAAAATCAAGCCGAAAAAAGTAAAATAGAATCACAGGCGTGGCGATAAAACTTTATGCAATCTCCAAATCTCCTTCAGCGACATCTTTAAGCGAGAGAATCTCCAATCTCGCGTGTCCCTTGCTGTCTTTCCTCACCATTTCATCGATGACACGGAATGATCCCGGCTCAATCAATCCGACCAATTCCAATCCCTGTTCATCCCAATTCTCCGTCTCAATCTCACTGAATAATGGCTTCAGCTTTGGTTGCAAATTCCTTGCCTCTTTCACTCCAACTGCCACTCTGAGTCTCATTTTTGCACGTTCAATCTTCATCGATTCTCGCAATTTCGGGATCACCTCCAATGCTTGTTTTTTAGCACTATGATTCGGCTTCAACGAGAAATGGATATCACTCAGTGCTTTGTTGATGACTGCCGGAGGAATCGGGCGTTTCGTTTCCGGATTCACCACCATGTCCGCAATCAGCTGTGCCACTTCTTTCATCGCATTATCATTCGTTGCTTGTCGTTCTTTATCCGATACTTGCAATTCTCCCTTGTCCAGAATCAACTTGCACACCTCGAGATGATCCTCGGTTCCAAAAGCAGCTTGAATCTCGTCTTTCTTCGCGAGTTGACCCTTGGAGACATTGGTGAATACTTGATGTGCCTGCAGCACTTCATCGATGTCCTTCTCGGTTCGATTTCTCCAGTTGAGCACTTTGTTCTTATAGCAGGCGATCTCGAAGCGTTTCCCGATCTTCTTCATCCGAACCACCGCCACATTTGTCAAAACTTTCTGATTTGTCGGCGTTTTAATGTTTTTCGACATCACTGACCAGTCGGATGAGAAAGGTTGTTGTCTGAAAGTTGGGTAATTAAACCACCCTCCACGTTAAAAGTTGTTTCAATATTTCGTTTCAAAACCACGCCCATATTAAAAATATATTTATGTATTAAACTTTATTAAAAATCAAAACAACAAATAACAAAAACAATGCAAGAATAACAATTAATAAACCCTACCAAAATCAACAAAGTACAAAAAATAACAAACTTAACATAAAAAACACAGTTCTACGTATCACGTGACTCAAGCCTTTCTAATAATTTGTCAATTGGCGAGAAGTACTTAAAAAGTCGTGGTTCAGCATATGGATTCGAGTCACATTCGTCAAACAATTTCTAAATAAAAAAATGAACCACAATAATATATTTAGTGAGGACTATTCTATTACAAGTCTTACGGTAAATAATTAAAACATTGCACTGATTACCTCATTTTTCTCAAAATCGTTATCTATTGTCACCTCAGCACTCTTTTCGGCAAAAACCTTCGGATACCTAAAAGAAATTAGAAAAGTGCATCAAAAGATAGGACTCACTTCTTCGCAATAATAAACCAACATATCGACGGATTAAGCGAGTTGACGTTTCTAACTTTTGGCGAAAGTAGTTGGCCAGCCTAAAAATGAAAAGATTAAACACTATAGCCGCAACAAACCTTTTCCCGTATATCCACATCAATATTCTGCAGTAATTTCGCAAAAATGGGAATAAGATCATCACCTGAGAAATTCTGAATTACTAGATTTTTAAAAAAATACATCACTGTGTGCTTTTTCAAGTAGTCGAGCGCCAATTTCCAAAAGGACTTCACAAATCTCAGGTTCTTCCTCCTCGGCCATCAAACGAAGCCAGTCAACATCCTCTTTGTCTATCCGCCAATCGCTTAGCCTCAGTTTTAGTTGTCGCAACAGAACCGTTGTTTGAACACTGGAAGTACTTTGCAAGTTAAGAGTAAAATTTAAATACCCATGTTCGAACGGATCCGTGACTGCAAAGAACGCGTTCAGAGTTTGGAGTAGTTTCTCCATTTGCACAATACTGAGCTTGTCACAATTTTTCACGATTATCCGAGTAACCTAAAAGCAAATTTAATCAAAAAATAGAGTAAAATGGTCACCTTTTTCAAAAGATCCGGCGTATTTGAGGATTTCGTTTTATCTTTTCGATTCAACAAAACAGCAAGACAATCAACCGCATCCGCAATAAAATCTGTCCACGTTTCATCAAGCTTTTCGGAATGCTGAATTTTTTAAGTCTTTAAATAATCAATCAGTACTTCAACTATATAAATACCTCAATTTGTTCGTACACTTCCCGTTTCAAAGCATCCGGAATGTGAGCGTTCCTTTTCCCCTTGGTGGTAAAATACCCAGCCAATGGTCTAAAAAAGTCCTTGTAAGCTACATTAAAGCAAACCAACTGTTGTGTCAACGGATAACTCATAAGCATTTGATTATCACAGAGAAGTTTTTCAAATGGTTCAACGCGTCCGACGATTCTACACAACGAAAGAAACTGGGCCAACACATAGTCACTCCTAAACATTAGTTGATAACATTTTTTTTAAAAGTTATACCATTTCAGATATCGGGACTCAACAAGGAAACTGTCAAGTAATCCGCGTACAAGCTCTTGAATTTTTTCGGCTGTTTGGTGTTTTTCGGTCAAGTTGATTAACTAGAATTTGTCTATTCATTAAAATTTATCAAAGCATACCAAATTGAACAGCCCATCCAATGCATTTTGTGGAATCTTTGTTTTTAGTACCAGCAGTTTCTCAAGACTCCAAATAACATCCTAAAATTGACTCAGATTGTTAAGAAAGATTGTAGGATTACTTCATGAGTGGTGATGGCGACGAAAACAGCCACTGAAAGTTTGCGCAGTTTTTCGGAACGGAGCGTCAACAGTAGCTAAATGGAGATTGAAAACTCGGAATCCTTTGCTTAAGCACCAACCTTGAGAACTCGAGGTACAAACGGCGTCAATGGATAGGGGTTGGTCGGATTTGTGGATGGAATGAGATGAGAGAGAAAGATCAAAGCAGGATATAGACCGAACTCATCTTCTGCAGTGTATTGCTCCAAGCGTTCCATCAAAAAAGGATACAACGGTGGATACCTGGATAGAAGATTTTAAAAACATAAAAGTGATAGTATACAATGAGAAGAATTCGTATGACGATCGCTGATTCCTTTTGTCAACGTGTAGCTCAACTTTCGCCGATCTTGAGACGCCGAAGAGTCGACATCTCAACGCAGCCACCAGTTGCGCCGAGGCGTTTCTCTCGTTCCAACTTGATGCTGCACATCCTAAATTAGTTATGAAATGAGTAAGTTTCATGTATTAATCACCTTTGATCCCAAGTAATGAGCCAGCTTCAACATATTTCAACACTTTTTCACCAAGAGCTGAGTGTGAAAACAACGAACGAAGCACATTTAAGCTATGGTTTCTAAAAATAATTGTGTAAATTAGCCAATGGAGACACTAACCGGCTAAATTCTGATTTATCCTCAAAATGCAAAAGCGAAGTCATCGCTGAATCGAGTGCTGATTGTGTTGGATCGGTGGCACAAATCGAGGTGATCAAATATGGTAAACCGGCACTACGACGCGTCAGACAAAGTTTATCGAGATCTTAAAAACTTCCAATAAATTTATGGGCCAAATAATTTACCTTCTTTCCCATCAATAATATCCAAAATGTTTTGCAAATAATCTCCAGGATATGGGACACCTTCAATTCTCTCAGTCCAAAGCCGTTTGCACAGTGTTTCAAACCTAAAATGTTTTGTGACGAAAGAAAAAGCATTCAAACCCAAAAACAGCGCTCTCAAATGCACCACAATGTCGACATTCCGTGAGCTCCATCCAATAGAATTCAAAAATTGAGCAAATTTCTTCTGTCCGAAATAGCGACAAGAAGTTAGGCTAAAGTTAGATTTAAGAATCTCATTTCGATATTAAAAATACTTGAGATGCTGCAGAGGCAAGGATTGCACTTGATTGTTTGTGAGCCCTCCAACAACAAACCACCAGCTTTTGTGAAAAATCGGCTGCCTTTTCACCTAGATTATAAGTATTATAAGTACTTGGATAGGTTCGAAAGTGATGCACCATATTTCTCGAGACATTCCTCTGGAACGTATCCTTCTGGCGATAAGTTATGCACAACTGGACGTACCTGAAGATTTAGTTCAATGAAGGTAAGGTTACATTTTAAGTTAGTGACACCTAATCTATCTGATCTAGAAGCCTACCACTTTAGCCACATCAAGACACATTCGAAGAATATTTTTTGACCAAATTTTTGCCGGAATATCTGGACACGAGTCAAGCAGTAACGCTATTGCATTCATCGTCGGATGAAGCGGGGTCGTGATAATCTCAACCAAGCCCAAAGTCACGATTTTCTTCACCGCCACGAGCACATTGTCAATGAGTCTAAAATAAATTAAAAAATGCGATTAATAACTTTTTCTGGCTAAAACCTTTCTATCAATGATGGAATATAGGATGGTCTCAAATAGGTAATGTATCGAAGGCGATATCCAGAAGAGAGCGTATCATGTGTGTTCACCGAATGTATCATTAACTCGGTTGCGGCAATGAACTCGTCAAGGTCCTAAAAAGAAGCACATTGGGTAAAAAAGTAAACTCATTTTTAGACTATCGCAAAATCTCTAACTTACAAAGTTATCGCAAAACTCGAGCTTGCAAAGTAGTTGAAGAGCCTCTTTCTGACAGAGTTGAAACGAATCACCGAGACAATCGAGCAACAATTTTCTGGTATCCTCATTTAGTAAGTGATCAGGGCGAGCGGAATTCCAGAGAACTTCTATATTTACCACTTTGTAAAGTGAGTCTTAAAAACCAACTTTTCCCATCCACATTCAAGGCACCGTCCTTGAACATCGTCCCAATAAGATTCAAGGCCATAATTCTTCTCGAGAAATTTGCTCCTAGAAACTTTACTAATCTTAAAAAATGAGTCACGACTTTACCTTCACTTAACGAGTTTAGCGCCATCTTCAAAATGCCGCTCACAAACTGTGAATAATCGTGAATGAAAGTTTGCTCGCTGTTTGCTTCAGATTTCCCGGAACACTCGGCAACATCACACAATCGTATCAAAAGCTAAATAAAGTTTGAAAAATTTTTTAAGTACTTGCGATGAAGTTATCGCATCGTATAAATTATAAGTATAAATCTAAATTTTACCTTCTTAAATGAAGAAATAATCTTTTGTCGATTTGGTGGCTCTTGTTCGGTCATATTTGATTCAAGAAAAGCCATAGCCAGCTCACAATCTTCGGCAGTTATTGGTAAAGTTCGCTTCGGGTGTTCACAAAGCAATGACCAGGCTGCAATTCGGACCTAAAGTAAGAATTACACAAAATCTCTAACTAAAGCTAAACAGAATTCTAACTTGAGATCAAGCTAGTGTGCTAAATAACCTGAATCTTCAGATGCAACAACGAGTAAACCATATATTCTTCTTGGATAAAGTCTCTCCAAGTGCTATTTGTCCGAGAGAAGATCAGAAATTTCGTCACAGAAAGCCAGCCAATAAGGAAAGCTGAGTCATTTGCAATATGTTGAGGTGACCGATTCATGATGCGCTCTAAATTGATATTTTTTTTAAAACTGTTAGACGAAAAACCTTTGATGTGATTCATGAGTTGATCCACAAAACTGCTATTTAGCAATGGATTTTGCATGATCCGCGGTAATAAACGGTCCAGGAGTGCTGTCAGTGAAGCGTGTCCTTTTGGCAGCAAATCAACCTAAAGCAACACGTTGTAATTATTAAAACCAAGTCAGTCTTACCATATTCTCAGCATGAAACTCCCAACGCGTCTGCGATCTTCTCGTCTCCAAATCAACGCAGATAAGTTCACTTAACTATAAATTTATGAAAACTTCTTTGAAATGGTTACTTACCACAGTAGAAAGAGTTGCATTTTCTATTAAAGAATAGCTTTCCTTAATAAACGAATCATCGATCTTGCTGGATATCAATTGTGGTTGAAGAGCGTAAAGGGTAATCTAAAAAGAATACATTTAGCATTCTAAAATTGAAAACTTACGATCGATTTGAAGCGGACTTTACATAACGATTGATTATTGAAGATTTGCTCCGACAATGCATCGATCCAAGCGCAGGTATTTGACTTGGAGTGGCTAAATATTAATGATAATATCGGATCGATGTCACAAACCTAATGTTTTCACGACATTTTTCGCAGTTTCGTTGATGATCTTCGATGACTAATTGAAGAATATCGTTGCATTCGTAGCATACCTAAACATCTGAGATGCTATTAAAGCCAAAATTAAAAAACGAGAAAACCTTATCAACAAGAAAATCCCAATATCGCCAGATGAAATTCAACAAAGCATTGACGGTGGTCGGGGCGAGGTTGACGCCACTAAAACTTTGAAACTTAAAACTTTAGGGTCAAAAATTACTACCTTTTACACGCCAACGCCAACGCTTTTTTGATTCCACTACTCGAGGCGGTGACGAAAGCGGTGTTGTTGGGCTCGTTGATGCACGATTGAATCAGTCGCGATATCACATCATCTAAATACAAGAGTTGGGTAAACGTAGAAATGAAAAAGCATCGTAAGTTGATATTAAAGTTGAAATTGCAAGCAAACAATCACGACCGTTTTCCATTTTTAAAGCGTTACTTACATTACTGCTTACATTACGTTACTGCTTTCAAGATCCCTGGATCAAACTCTTAACCCTAGTTCTTAGTCAGTTTAAAAAAACAAAATAACAACCTGCTGAATTTGACGACTCCGCGGGTAAAGTATCGCTCATCAATCGTTCGTCCTAAACAAAACAAATTTTTGAGAAAAAAAGCAAAGATTGAGAAACTTAAAGAAGAAAATCGATTTTAACTTGTTTATATTGTGGTACTTTTGCTGTTGGTCCCCGCCCAAAACCACACAAAATTTTTTGGAGGCTAATTTGCGTAATTTGAAAAATTTGCATGGCGTCGCCCTGCAGATTGTGATTAGCAACTAGCTGGGCATCCACTAGACTTGCTTATCGATATTATCGCTACCAATGACATGCTCTTGTTTGACCGTTCAGATCTCAATTTCTAGAACAGCTATCAATCCGAAAATTGTTTCATTGGAAAGTCAAGAATGTCAGCTATTGCTTTATACAATGAGTAAGCACTTCTTTGAGCGACTTTTAATGAGCGACTTCTTTTAATGAGCGACTAAGCACCTCATAACCTTATCGATACTTCTCGATCTCGAAAGTATCGATTTTCGATAAGCTTACCGATATTTGAGTATCGATAAGTATTGAGAACCTTTTAAAGCACTCACCTATGAGAATTTGCTATATTTGAGATAGTAATCAAAAGCTGACATTCTTGGCTTTCCAATGAAACAATTTGCAGATTTATAGCTGTTCTAGAAACCAAGATCTGAACGGTTAAACATGAGTTTGCCGTTTGTATCGATAATATCGAAAGTCTAGCTGCGCTGGGCATCCGCTACATGGCTGCTTTGCCAAAATTTGCATTAAATTCCTCCTCTTAAATGCAAATTTGGCGGCCGTTTTAAATTTTAAAGTAGAATAACTCGGCGGGAAATGACGTTTTTTTACAAACGGATTCGGAATCAGCGAATTTTTACCCTAAAATGAGAGTTTTCAGCCTCCTAGTTCAACTCCCAGAATAAAAGCCTCGGAGAGACAGACAAACAGACGAACGGCGTTATATAGGTGGGTAGTGGAAGGTGGGTAGTTCTTGTCGACGGCGGACAGTCGATTATTTCCACCAGTCGTCAGGCCTTAGGCTTAGGCTTAGTATTTTTTCTTGCTTAACTATCCTTTGGCTGCCTAAATTGAGCCTTACTATAGTATAAATTAATGAAAAACGGAGGAAATCCCCTGTACTCCAAAAATTTCATGTGGTTTTGAGGAAGGGGAAACAGCAAAAGTACCCATTTTGTTATGCATAAGAAAAATAATTCGATTTTTATCGGCTAATACGGGAGTGGGACAAATACGACTTTTTTTTGCTGGAAAACGCCTTAGGAAAGGTCGTAGAGCTTCAAAAATGTTTTCACAGAAGGGAATCGTATGCGTAGATTCCGAATTTCGACAAATCAGACCTCGCTGACACGTCAAATTTGGGCTAAAAGGCAAAAACTACGGAAAAGCGTTAAGTTGCGTAGTTTTTGCCTTTTAGCCCAAATTTGACGTGTCAGCGAGGTCTGATTTGTCGAAATTCGGAATCTACGCATACGATTCCCTTATATGGAAATATTTTCGAAGCTCTACGGCCTTGCCTAAGGCCTTTTCCAGCAAAAAAAAAAGGTGCGCAAATGTCCGGGTGCGCAAAAAAAAAGCTGCGCATTTGTCCCACCCCCGTTAATACTGAAAGTCTAATTCTAATCCTGAAAGCTAAAAGGCTAAAAAACATTTCGTAAGCTAAAGTTCGCGTTTGAAAATTTTTTTGCCTTTATTTTGCGGATCTTTTACAGTAGGACTTCCCAAAGATCCAAAACGTGGCCTGTTGGAAAGTTTTGCGATGTTAAAGACACACATAACAAATTACATCCAAAGAAGCCTTTCTTTATTATATTTTTCTGCCTTTTCTAAAGATTTCGCACAATTTTTTTCATTTTCAGGTAAAATGGTGTTAATCGCCGCCGCCGTTTTTTCAAAGAATGGAAAAGGTTTGTGTTTTTGTAAAATTTTGGTCTAGTTCGACGTTTAGCTCTCGTGGCAAGACAATTTGTGACGGACATGTCGCGGGCTCGCTTGGAAGGACTTTTGGATGCTTTCCCAAAACTCATTCAAAGCGAAAAAGATGCTTGTGAGTTTTTTAAGCTGTTAAATGGTTTAAAAAAAATGATAGCACTGAATAATTTAAACCTTTATGTCATAGGTTACCAGAAAAAGATTAATTGTTTATCGCTTAAACCTTTGGATAACCTTAGATTCTTAGCCGAACACTTGAATGAGCTTAAGGTCAATATTTTAGCGCTACGACAGCACACTTTTGTCGAGACAGACAGTGTTCGATATGTGTTTCATCCAATGGAGAACATTTACATGGTTCTCATCACCACGAAGGCTTCAAACATTTTGGAGGATCTCGAAACGTTGCGTCTCTTTTCCAGAGTGGTGAGTTGTTAATATGTTAAAACTAGTTGATATCACTGTTCAGATTCCCGAATATTGTCGCACCAACGACGAGAAAGAAATTTTGGCGCACGACTTTGATCTCATTTTTGCCTTTGATGAGATTGTTACTTTGGGCTACAGGTACGACTTTGTTAGTTATCAAATATCTTGTTCAATCTCAATATTTATGTACAAAAATTTTAGGGAGAATGTGAACTTGGCTCAAATTCGTACCTTCACTGAGATGGACTCACATGAAGAGCGCGTCTTCATGCAAATCAAACAAGCACAAGAGAAAGCGGCCATGGAAGCAGCAAAAGAACGAGCAAAGGAGTTGAAACGGCAACAAAAAGAGGCTTTGAGTCGAGGAGTATCGGCACGACCTGGAGCCACTGGTAAGCGTTTTAAAAATATCTAAGAATCGACTGCATTTACCGATAATCGATAATCCCACTCGTTAAGATAAATCATAACTGTTTAGGTTTTGGAAGTAGCTCTGGAATCTCTTCATCATCGGTTCCAACTCCATCAGTTGTTTCTGAGAAACCAGCTCCACGACCGGCTGCAGCTGCTTCTCGTGCCGGCGGTGGAAAAGCTTTAAAATTGGGAGCTAAAACGAAAAACGAGGAACAATTTATCGAAGAGCTTGCGCAACAAGGACAAGCCGTTACTCCAGTTGCACAACAAGGGCAGCGCGGAGCCCAGGTTTCTTTAGCAAATTGTGTTAAAACCTATAATGTTTAGGCTCCAACCTCAACATTTACAACTTCAAATGTGAAACGAGAACCGGTGCACATTCGAGTCGACGAGAAAATCATTGCCGTGGTGGGACGCGATGGAGGGCTTCAACAAGCCGAGGTACTCAAATGAAATTGTTATTGATTGTGCCAAAATTTTAGGTATCGGGATCATTCGCGCTCTCTGTCGCTACTGCTGATTACAATACTGTGGCGATTCAGTTGCAGAACAATGCCCCCGCCGGTGCTCAACTTCAGGTTTGTTTCCTAATAATTATTGGTATCTAGTCTAATACGTCCCTTTAGACTCATCCACATCTCGACAAGAAAGAATGGCAGACTTCGTCCTTGTTAAAGTTGAAAAGTGCTACTAAGGTAAAATATAAAACATTCAAAGTTAGCTATTGTAACTTTTAGCCATTCCCTGTTAATGCCGAAGTTGGTGTTCTGAAATGGCGGCTTCCACTCCAAGAAGAGGAACAATTACCACTTGCTTGTTGGTTTTTAAGCACCAAACTTTTTATATTAAAACATTTGCATATTTAAATTTAGTGAATGTTTGGCCACAAGAATCATCCGATGGTTGTCAAGTCAACATTGAATATACACTCCAACGAGAAGATCTCCAGCTTGATAATGTTGTGATTACGGTGCCTCTTCCGTAAGTTTTGCATCTTACATTGATTAATATTTGACTTGATTTTTTTAAAAACGTTTTTTCAGAGCCGCCACCGCACCAGTGGTCTCCGAATGCGAGGGTTCCTACGAATATCAAAAGTCTCGCTCGCAACTTGTTTGGACATTACCCGTTATTGATGAAAATAGCTCGACGGGTTTGTTTTGTTGTTCGGCGGCTACTTTATATCTCCACCTTTAGGCACTCTGGAATTCACCGTTCCCAATGGTCACAGCGACTCGTTCTTTCCGGTGCATGTCGCTTTCTCGTCGCAAAAGCTTTATTGCAATTTGTCGGTGGACGGAGCTCAACTGATGGATGGATCGGCTCCCGTGGTCTACTCAATTGAAACAAATTTTGGTGCCGAGAAGTACGAAATCGTCTAAATGAGGCGTTCTTTTTAATTTATTTTCAGCGTTTTCTCTGTGATTCGTTTTTGAGTTTGGTTTACTCATGATAAGTGCATATTCATTGTGAAGGATTTAATTTAATTTTACTGCATCAGATATTAAGGTAATGCGTAAATATTTACAGAACAATGCATCTTTATCACGGGGTTTAAAATGCACATGAAAGCAACTACAGGATCAGAAATGAAAAAGATAAACAACAATAATGCGATAATATGCACCACAACGTACATCACGGCAACACAAAAATGGGGTGAATTCATTGACGTCGATAAAGGTAGAGATAGGCGAGTTGCTTGGGTGGATTTTGCGAGTACGCAACCTAAATTTGATAACGTTAAACAAGTAATTGGGGTTTAAATCTAAATTTAAATCACAGCGAAAAATGGTCCAAACCTTTTCGTCGTTGTACAAAACCCAGCGATTACCGCGCAACAAGTGAGCAACATAATGACCCGAGTGTGGAGAAGAACCCTAAAAAATTCCTCATATCATCAATATGCGCACCAAAGCTTACCATGTGAGAAATGAAGCCAACAAGATGATACTTTCCATTACCATCGCTAAAAAGTGGTAATTAAAAACATTTAGCAATGCTATACCGCATCTGATTTACACCGGTGCTGGTTTCCTGGTGAGCAACTGGCTTTTCCTCGGCGGCAGGCTCAGGTGGAACTTCATCAATGTGCATGAAAAGCCACTCGGCAGCCATGTTCGCGTCAAAGTTGAACTTGTGAAGGGCGAAGCGAGCCTAGAACAAGGATGTTAACGAATGCAATGCAACGAACAAGGATGCAATGTTAACGATGTCTTTTACTCACTTGATGCTTTGTGAACCCAAATCCTTCAAGCATTGAAACACTCTCATTGTCAACGGAACTTCCTATTACTTTTTTTAAGCAATATACACTTCGCCAAACAAACCGGGATTAACATTTACTGGACCAGCTGGGTTAACCGGTGGATCGTTAATAGAAGGATCGTCAAGACGAAGCTGAAAAATAAATCTTTTCAAAAGACAACAGATGGATCAGTTCTTTTAAGGCCTAGATAAACAACTAGATCTTTAGACAGGTAATATTTTCGATCTCTTATACAATGTGTCTAATAAAAGAAAACGTTTTTAAACCGCAATTCCTCAGAATTTCTGGTGGCTACAGGTCAACATGATACCGTCAACAGGGCAAAATTTCTACAAATTTTTATTTTTAGAGTGAAGACTTTCTACTGGCATCGTGGTGTCATATTAGAGCTAACATAGAAGCTAAGATTTCTAACCAAACAGTTTATCAATCTAAATCATATCCTAATCTCTCGTACTTAAGGTCCTCCCAGCTTGCAGCCTTTAGGGAGGTGCCCAATTTTTTCAAGAAACTGCTGATCAAAAAAGCATCAAAAGTTAGAAATCTTAGTTGACATGTTAGCTCTAATATGACACCACGATGCCAGTAGAAAGTCTTCACTCTTCGATAAAAATTTTGCTCTGTTGATGGTATCATGGTGGTGGCACCCATAATTTCATGATATTCCTATCGAGGCATGGTGATTTTATGAAAAAATATGGAAGATTTTAGAGCACAAATGATTCACTATGACACCACACCGACCACCTCTAGCCACCAGAAATTCTCCGGAATTCCGGTTTAAAAACGTTTTTTTTATTGGACACCCTGTATAGTGATCCAAATCTTTACCAACCATAAGCCATTCAGCAGCCGCTTCTAGTCCTTGCGTTTTCGTATCAAGAGCTGCCTTCAGAGCCGCGTTACGTGAGAATCCCATTCCCTCTAACTAAAGCAAAAAAAAACTACAACTAACTAACTAACAAAACCTGCGCCACAATGTTTTCATCAACATCTAGTTTTGGAGCCGCCACAACAATCGGCTCATTTTCCTCCATTGGTGTCTCTCCTGGCTGAAGCCCTCCCAAACTACGATACTGTGACAAATCGAGCACATCGGGAACCTTAATCGAACCGTAAACAATAACTAGGTATGTAATGCAAATTTTACCGCAAGATCAATATCCAGTTTCTTCTGTTGATAAGTAGCCTCATCCACGGTGAACTTCTAAAGAGTATTTGCCTCGATCAAATCGAGAAGGCGTACCTGCAGTTGAACGATCAAGAAATCAGGGAACGACTTGAAAGTGACACTCTTTAGATATCGGTCTTCTGTAGATTGAATAGTATTGAAATTGAAATCGTAAAAGTACCAATTTGTTCAGGTTCAAAAACGTTCGCCAAGCATTCCTTGAAACAAGCACTGAATCGTCCCTCTTGATCAGGAATGGCGTGCAAAGAACTCTAAAACACTCAAGCTGTAAACTACTTTGTAAAAGCGTAACTTTGAGCACGGGAATAGCCAGCACGGTTTCCTCATTTTGCGTATATCGAACTTTTCGCGTGTTCAAATCTTGCAAACGTTCTTCTTTCTAAAGTCTTGTAATTAGAAGTTGTACAAGAGAAATCATACGTGAAACTTGAAAGCCAGCATTGGATCCGACACTCCAGCTGGTGTTTTCGCGGTAATCTTCTCAATCAAGTACCTAATTATGCGTATTATCTCGTAATTGATCAAGCACAAACCTCACGTATTCCTCGGCATCTTGTTGCCTTGCTGTCTTGAACTCGGGATGCCCGGCTCCAGCGATTCGTTTGAATTGGGTTGGTTTGATGCCGTTATGTGGGTTGTCTGGCTAAAATTTCTAATTGCCGATAGCGATAAAACTTTTATACAATTCTAATGAGATCATGAGATCTTGAAAAATATTCTAAGAGAAGCACTTACCAAGGAATACTCGCCCTCCAACATTGCATGAACCAAGCGGGCAAGTTGTCCATTGAAATCCATGTACATATCAGCTGGTGGAAGAGCGTGCATTGTCCTCAAAGCGTTTGCCCCACCAAAACGGTTGCAAAAGTCGGGTACCAACAAAAAAGATTGAAGAACCTAAAAAAATCTAATTTTATTCACCTGTAAAAACTCTAACCGAATTCATGTAACAGCTGGACCCAATGTTGATTAAGCCGGTCATTCCAGGGCCATAGGCGTTCTCCAAATCCGCCCCATCTTCTTGAATCTTTGACCATTCCCACCTAAATCATTCGTAAGTTTTTCAATACATTGGTTTGTTGCCGACAATGCATAGAACCATAGTTACAACTATTTGCTGATAAAAAGAAAAATAAAAGAAAATTTTCTCAGAACAATTCAAACTTATTAGTAAATCAGTTCCTTTCAGAAATACCTACAACGTCACCAGCTATTCCAGAAAAAGAAGCCATTTCGGTGAGAGAGCTACGAGAAACTGCCTAACATAAAATAAGCCATCAGACGCTCATAAAGATTAAGACAATCCACTCCATATTGCCTCATTCATAACTGGATATAAAGAGTGAAGGGAACATCCCTGGCCGATATTATCCTCACTCTACCCTCGGAATGACCTTGAGCACCAGAGAGTATTCACCTATTTTGAAATCTACTCTTATCGAAGCCGAGAATCTTCGACGAATCGCATTTTTTGGAGTAGCGATAAGGTAACTTTCACAGTGCTTGTTTACTTCTATTTTTGAAAATTTTTAGCACAGTTGCTACTTTAACATGTATCGTTGCTATTCCTGGTCTTTACAATTACATGCAACATGTTCAATCTTCGTTACAAATTGAAGTGAGTAACAGAAAATGAATAATTGAATGATAAAGTACAAATATTTCAGGTCGATTTTTGCAAGCATCGGGTCGATGGTCTTTTCCAGCAATACGAACGCATTCAAACATTCAAAGCAGGCAGAAATGGACATCGGGTAAGGAAAACTGGGTTTCACTGATACAAATAAATCATAGGTGATTGTGAAAAGACAATCTTACGACTCTGTTGATCAAGCCACGCCAAAAACACCTAATATTTCCGCTCAACAAAATGTTCCATCTTCAACAGGCTCAAATGATGGTGATCAAACAAACAAATACTCCACAAATGAAAGCAAGGGAATTAACAGCAACCGACCCGCAGTTTTCAATGAGTGTTGTTCTTGCAAAACCGGCTCACCCGGTCCACGAGGGCCACCTGGCGACAATGGAGCTGATGGAAAAAACGGTACCCCAGGCGAAGATGGGCGTCCCGGTGATGATACTGACGATGAGAGCCCCAACGACTTCGATTTCTGCTATGATTGCCCTCCTGGACCACCCGGTATTCCCGGACCTCAAGGGCCAAAAGGATCTCCAGGAAATCCTGGTAATAATGGGATTCTCGGTAATGATGGAAAACCAGGACTTGATGGGATCCCCGGACCACAGGGACCGCCCGGCCCAGATGGTGAACTGGGCGAGGAAGGAAAGCAAGGTCCACCCGGTGAAGTGAACGAAGTGCCGGCTCCTCCTGGTCCCACAGGTCCTCCTGGCCCACCTGGTCCTGCTGGTGATGATGGTCCACCTGGCGCTCCGGGTCAGCCTGGTATGGCAGGCAATCCTGGTGATATTGGAGACAACGGAAAAGATGGAGAACCTGGGAAGAAAGGTCAAGATGGCAGTGATGGTGAAGCAGGAGCGGTTGGTAATGCGGGGGGTTGTGAGCATTGTCCTTCACCGAGAACAGCACCTGGATACTAGAAATTTCGTGCTAAATTATTTTTGCATGCCTTGTTATTTTAATAAACTATTGTATACTCAATTTAGCAAGCAAGTTAAGTGTTTTGAGAGAAAACAAATTTTCATTAGTTTTGGGAAAAACCGGTTTGCCGCTCCTAGTGTGCTTTTCATAAGCCTAAATCAACTTCAAGGACACCCAGTTCCGCATTCCTTAATCGAAAATCGAACTAACTCACTCAAAATCTGAAAATTTTCACACTTTCGAGCTTTGAAAGAAATGCTATAATAATTGGGGACTTCTCATAATAACAAAAGATTTATGTCCGTTATTCAGAGATACCGAACTACCTAGACGTTTTTATCGAATGAACCCTTGAATGTTCACAAAGATCCCAGTCAGTTCCCAGTTTCACTTATCCTTGACAGAAATCCACTATCAACCGGTCAAGCCATAAAAGACCTAGCCGCGAGAAGGAGGGGTGAGGAGCAAAAGAGTATCCCAAAAAAAGAGCAGCTAACTTTTCCACCCACGACCATTTGGAATGCCATCGCCGCAGCAATGCGAAATGAAAAACGACAGGGACGCAAAAAAAAAAGAGTGGCTTGCCACCCAAAGATAGAGATGTCGGAGATTATCCCGGCAAACAGAGGAGACTAATGACGGTCGGCCACCACGTACAAGGTCATCACTTGCTATTGAAAAAAAGAAGTGAGTAGGTTCACAGAGCTAGCAGTGCTTTGAGATCTCAAAAACGTTGCCCAAATCGCCAATGAAAGGAATTTGTTTGAAGGGAAAAGGGATATGAGATGACATCCCATTTCTGTAATGAATACCCGCCGATTAGTCTAGAACTAAAGCATCAAAAAATTCCGTTAATTAGGCGGCGAACTTTGATGTCCAAAAGAGCAACGTTGCGGGATATACTAAAGCTTGCTAGCTCTTGACAAAGATAAAATCAAGACAAAAGTTCAAGACTTTGATCCTTTCAGTTTCCTAATAGTAGGGTACCTAACTTATGCTTTAGCTGCTTTTGTGGTTACACACTTTTGATTCATATCGAGTTCCAACTCAAGCGTACTCTTCTCCGTTTTATGAAGACGATCCACGTCGAGACCAAAATGCGCAAGATGTGACCTCAAATTTGGATCGATGACCTAAAATAAACTATCTTCTTGTTAGATAAATAAATCCAACCGCATCATCCTCATCGTAGGAGTAGACATCAGCAGTTTCATTCTCAATCGTCCCCAATTTTACCTAGATCGAACATTTCCAAGAAAAACTTCCAAATTTCAACCACAAGAGGAAATCCAGTCGCATCGTAATATTGCTTCATGTGATTGTTGCCTTTGCTCTTTTGGCCTTCCGAGATGAATTGGCTCCGACCACATCTGAAAAATTTTGTCTGGTTCCACTTTAACAGCTGTTAAACAAACCTGATCGCTCCGTCTATCAAATTGAGCCAAAGATTCTCCGTCAAGCCACATCCGGCTTCTTCACAAGCCCAGCCACTGTACGGAACCTGAAACAAAAAGAAATCTTCCCACGAAAGTTTACACATACAATCTTCCCATTTTCTATCGGCTTCATATTGGCGTGTTTTGTCTCTTGTTTCATCTAAAATCCGTCAAAAAATCTAAAAAATAAAATTTAACCTCGCCATCCCAAGCATTCGTTGCATTCTGCAACATTTCCAAGCGCTCAGCCGACGGCATTTCGATCACCTAATACAAAAATTCTTAGCAATAACTTTAGAGTCAAACCTTAGCACATATTGCCTGAAGTTCAGGACTAAGATTTTTGCCGATTGGCACACGAACATTAGTGTTTGGGTAGATAACAAGATAGTAGTCATCAACGATCTCGAATCTAAAAAGTATTGATTGTAATAAGCAATAATTAATGTAATACATACATTGATAGTCTTTTATTCAGCTTTTTCTATTCTCTTACAATGAAACTAGTAATTTCCCCTGATTTGCTTTTCAATCCAAACGTAAACAAAAAAAAATGGAAAAATCCTTGAAAGATTTTTATTATTAAGTCGCATATAAAAATAAAACAGGTTGCCGATAGCTTTCTGCAATTTTTAATATCAAAAAGATCCGCAAATTTTTCACCGGCATGGTGGTGGAACCTTTGTCACTTTTCTAATTTATAGTTTATAATGTCAGGGAGCGGAAATGTCAGTTGTCAGTCTGAACGTATAAAAAAGTCTGCTTCAAGATCTTTGTATGTTCATGATAAAAACCTGTAAGTTCATCTACCCACCCAAGTTTATCTAGATCTTGAAAAAATTTAACGTTAGTTCACCGCAGCCTTCTAAAACTAAACATGGACTAAACATGGTTCTTTTTTTTAATTCGATTAGCTCTTTTTTCACTTTTCCCATATCAATTTTTGATAGCAAAACGAGTGGGTGGTTTTTTACCCAGGAAACAGTGTTTTTCTAGCTGTTTTTACGACTGGATTTTCGGCTATCAACCAGGTTATCCACGGCCCCAAAAAGCACGAGACGAGAGTAGAGGGAGAGAGGCTGAGTGATCTCTCTCGATTTTTTTTTCGGCACCCGCGAGAGGATTCTCTTTTCCGTTCACTTTTTAGGATATGGCGCACCCAGCAGCGTCCTTTACTAGTATAAAAGTGGCACTGTGCCGTGGCATCCCATCAGTTTTAGTCTCAGTCAGGTCTTTTTTTTCTAATACCCGCTTATGGATACGGTGCTATCTCTCCCAGAGAAAACTTTTCCTTTCTTTCGCTCCGTTTTTGTTTCGAGAAATTCTTTTACTATTTTGAAATCAGTAAAAGCTTTGCCTATTCATCAATCGATTAAACTAAAAACGACTATTTCAGGGGATGGAGGATAAACAAAAGCTGGTGGAGGCTGAGTCCGTCAAGAAATTCGCCTTCTTCGGCGTGGCAGTGAGGTTGCATTCTTTGAGCTTCTTTGGCAAAGTAGTTTTTTCAGCACTGTCGCCACTTTGACAGCCATTGTTGCAGTGCCTATGCTCTGCATGTACATGCAAAATGTGCAATCCTCGCTTCAAGATGAATTGAACTTCTGCAGAACACGTGCTGACGGACTCCGTGGAGAATACACTAAGGTTTCGAATGCCACTTAACGGTGAAAAAATGCTAAATTTGTAGCTCGAGTCGTACAGAAGTGGAGAGAAGGAACGTGAGAAGCGTCAAGCTTACCAATGCTGCTCATGCGGAGTTGGACAAGCTGGGCCACCTGGACCACCCGGACAGGATGGAGCTCCTGGAAACGATGGACGTCCCGGAAACCCCGGACAAAACGGTCCCGATGCCACCGATGACAGTGCCAAGCCAACCCGTGACGACTTCTGCTTCATCTGGTTTGCAAAGTTCATCAACTCAATAAAGTCATATTTTCAGCCCCAAGGGACCCGCTGGACCACCTGGCCCATCCGGACCAAAGGGACCCAACGGACAGCCCGGAGAGGCCGGAGATGCCGGACCAGCTGGACGCCCCGGATCAGCTGGACCCCCTGGCCCACCTGGAGCTCCCGGAGAGCCTGGAAACCCTGGATCCCAAGGACCACCCGGACCTCCTGGACAGACCAGAACCGTCCCGTCGCCACCCGGAGCACCCGGACCATCTGGATCACCAGGACCCCAAGGACCACCCGGACCCGACGGAAAGCCCGGAAACCCTGGACGCGATGGACAACCTGGACCAATGGGAGAGCCTGGAGCCGATGGACAACCCGGAAACCCTGGACCCAACGGAGAGAACGGAAACGCTGGAGCCGACGGACCAAAGGGATCTTGCGACCGTAAGTTTACTATACTACAGTAAAATTAAGTAACTTGAGCATGAACTTTATGGATGAACTTTTAGACTGCCCACCACCACGTACCGCCCCCGGATATTAAAGAAATTCTATCATTTCTTGGTCTCCATCTCAGGAAAAATAAAGATTTTAATAAAGATAGTTTCAATAAAAAAACATGTCACAAAACCACACTTCTCGTTGTTGAATCCACCATCAATACCGACAGCTAGACGAGAAATTTTTTGCTCGGGTTCAGCCGGGTTTTCAACGATTTCTTTAACCTGAAAAGTGAAAAAATACAACAATTTTTCACTGTAAAGCAAACCTTTTTGCTTAGATGCTGAATAAATGCAACGCAATTGTTTTGAGCAGCATACTCAGCAACATGTCGCGGACAGAACGAACAGTAAGTCTTCAGACAAACGTAGAGACCGCCTAAAAATATAGATCATAGTTTTTTCATGTCTAGACTATTTTTTAAGCTAGCAACTCAACTAGTTTGGTTCCATCAATTTAAAACAAAAATTTTTGATCTCTATGCTATGTTTCTTAAACAATAACCAGTAATTGAACTAGCTCCTCCGTATTTTGATTGCTTAAAAAAGTACCTTCAAAAAATGGTGTATTGAAGCAGTAGATGCACTCATCCTTGTACACTTTCGTATCCGCATTTGGAGAAGTGAAATGTTCTTGATGTAGCAGCTAAAAAGTTGATTTGAGTCTAGAGTAGTCGGGGGAGCACTCTGGAACCTGACCCAAAATCAATATTTTTCCACAAAAACTTGCAGACAGGGGTTTTTGACTATGCTGAATTATTCACTTATTTTTGTTTTCACCTATATTTGCCTAGGCTTTGGCTCTGCACCTCTGTTGGGACCCGTGTGAGCTTGCAGCACCGGCCCCGAACGCACCAGTGCTGCAGCCTTAAGGCTTAGGCTTGCCGTGTGTAAGTGGCGCCATTCAATGTTGACCGTTAGGCCTAGGCTCCACAAACAAACGGCAAGCCTAAGGCTTATAGCAGCAGGAATGGTGCGTTTGAGGCCGGTGCTACAAGCTCACACGGGCGCTTTTGGCGTGGCGGAGCCAAAACCTAGCAAAGATGTGTTACGTATTCACAAAGTCAAATAAAACATAAAAATTAATTTTAAAAAGTTATAAAAGTATTACTAATGGATTCATGGATTCAGCATAGTTAGAAATACCTGCGTGCAAGTTTTCATGGAAAAATATTGATTTTGGGTCAAGTTCCAGATTGGTCACCCTCAACTACTCTAGCCCCGTTGATTTTACAAAAAAAACATATCGAATCTCACCTGTAAAACTCGTTGGTATTCAGCCGAATTGACACTTTCTGCTGACATGGTTGTGGCAATTCTTTGATGATCACCTAAAAGCAAAATTTAGATGTATTTGCTGAAAGTGAACAGGAAACAAATCCAGAAAGCAACAACAAACATAAAGCTAGGGTGTGAGCTGAGTTTATCAAGAATTGAAGTTTTTGTGGGATAAAGGAAGCTGTAAAATTATGCAGAATGTAAAAAAATTTCATTTCGCGTCTTTGATAGTTAAAGGGAGTCAATTTTAAATCGAAGGGCCTGAAAATGAGCCGACCTACCTTTTGTGATATCAAATTTGAGGCAAGAGCTGTAAAAAAGGCGGACTAGGCCTTTGTGTGGTTATTTTCCCGGGAATGTAGGTCAAAACGTTAGCAGGCATACAAGTTTTCAGCCAACTTTGATTTTGCTTTTGATTTCCCAAAATGCTGGCCTTTTTTTCGCACCAAAATTTGCGCACCTTCAAAATTATAACTGCGTATTTTGAAATTACGATGTCTTTAAGATATTCAGTCCGAAGATTTCGATACCTAACCCAAAAAGTTGTGAAATTTGCCTAGGTAATTTGAGGGCGTAGAATCGAAATTTTGACATAACAGAGCGTGTGAAATCAATTTGAAAGACAAAACGGCTAGATCAAATTACAGAAAATTGTCGATTTTTCTCTTTGTATAAGTTTGTTTCCACACGCTCTGTTATGTCAAAATTTGAATTCGACACCCTCAAATTACCTAGAAAAACAACTTTTGGAATAGAAATTGGTTAATATTAGCTTTTTAGAGCTCTTTTAAAACGCGAAAAAAGGTGCGCTAATGGGCTAAGTGCGGAAAAAAAGGTGCGCAAATGTCCGGGTGCGCAAAAAAAGGTAGCATTTGTCCCACTCCCAACTTTGACTTTGCTTTTGACTTCCTGAAAGTTCTGGCCTTTTTATAACACAAAATTTGGACTCACAAAATAAGACTGAATATTTTGAAATTACGATGTCTTTAAGATATTCAGTCCGAAGATTTCGATAGTTAACCCAAAAAGTTGTGAAATTTGCCGCGGAACTTTTTTAATTTCTTGTTTGGTAAAAGTTTTCTTTTTTTTTTCTTTTTAAACTTAATTATTTCAGTTTAAGTTTTATTGCTTACATTTAGAATACGAAAAAACCGGAGCTGTTCCGGATCAACAACCGGAAAATGGATCAACAACCGCTCGAGGATGACGATGATTATTCGATGTTATCGCTCGAGGATAATTGTGTGAGTTTCGGTTCATTTTTGCTCACTAGTAATTCAGTAGTTACCTTAATTTTTAAACTTAACTGATTTCTTTTAGTCATTGTCCTCTAACAATGATGACGGTGAAGAAAAGAACAATCAAAGGGATGAACACGAAAAGACAAAAGTGAATGGCGAAAATTTTTTAGAACAAAACCTTGTGAGTTTGTTAGATTTTAAAAATATGTGCCAGAATCCATTACGATTTGTAGCAAATTTGTTCATTTTTTCACGTCACCCTTTCAAAAAAATCCGCATTTTGTTGTACTTTGTATCCTAAAGCATTAATGGAGGCATTTCGCTGAACTCAAATTTTTAGAACTCGAGTAAATCCTCTTCAACGATGAGGATGAATTCCGAATTGATAGACGAAGACAATTTGGATCAAGATTGTGTGAGTTTTTGCTGAATTCTCGTTGAACATTACTATCTAGCCATTTTTCTCGGACAGTGACGAGATGGAGAATGATTATCGGGAAGGAAAGCAAACCGGGGAAGAGGTTTGGCAATTTTTGATAGTTTGCTAGATTTTATAATATAAATTGTTAAAACAATAGTTGCTAACTTCAGTGCCCACAGGTATCTTGTTCGACGCCGATTTCTGAATCGAAATCACTTGAAAGCGAATGTTCCGACCAAGATTGTGTGAGTGATTGAAATTTGCGGCTTTTTTAAAATTGGTTTTAACAAATTTGTTCACAAAACATGATTGTTTTTATTAATTAGTTATATTTTAGCCCTTCTTCTCGGATAGTGATGAAAAAGACGAGCCAATAATGCCCGATGCAATACTTTCTAAGGCGGACGAACCAATAATGACAGATGCAATACTTCCCAAGCCGGACAAACCTATAACGGCCCCTGTAATACTTCCCAAAGCTATAGTGTCAAATACCCCTCCAAGCATTAAACAAGTGAATTCTAACTTTATTCAAAAATTTGTAATTTATAGCCTAAACCAAAATATGTGGAAGCGAAGAGTCCCGCAAATAAAGGTATTGCAACTGTTGATCAAATTTTTAATCGTTATTATGTTTAGCACTATACGACGACCTATTTCACACGAGCCGCTTATCAGAAACGAAATCGGTTGGGGTTCAAGTCGGGAATTGCGATTGTGCACGACGGAAACTACTTCAGAAACAGGTTTTTAGATTTGTCATGCTACTTATAGATATCACTAAAGAACTGTCGTAATAATTGATATGTTTTGTTATCTAAATCAACATTTCAGACAGAAGATCCCCTTTGCGCTGACTTTACCACTCCATTGTGCTGTGTTGACGGATGTGATCGACGCCGAGTGTCTCTCATCAAAATGATTCGCGATTTGATTCGTTTGGCTCGTGTTGAAAGCAATCGATTTAAGAGAGAATTAAAAGATGCTTCTTTACGGTTTGTTAGAAAATGGGAATTGTTTAAAATAAAATTTAGATTGCTCACAAAACCGCACGTTAAATGCCCAAATTGTCGATTGGAGTTTCGCGATTCTACAGACAAGCGAATAATGCCGAGGTACTTATTTGGTATATCAAGAAACAGGTCAACTGAATAGTTAGTATTAAACTCGTTTGATCAATTGTTCTTTAGTTATGTGAAGAAACTGCGTAGATCAATGACACTCGAGCTGCAATTTGACTCAATGGATGCGATGTACGAATGGGCATTTATACACGGTATCGACAAAGACCGCAATGAAATTCCAACACTAATTCACGCCGAACAAATCACCGAGCATATGAGTCTTCGAGAGGTGATTCACTATACAAATTGACAAATAATTTTTTGGGCTTCAGGTTGGCAGCTTTCTACCTGATTTGGCAGTGGAGATGACAAAGGAAATGTTTCGACGGAAAGCAGAAGAGAAAGCGAATAAATCTTGTGTAAAAGATCGGCCGGAATTTATGAAGAATCCGAAGGGAGTGTTGGATTTGGTTAGGTTGGTTTGTTTCAGCCCTTTTGTGAAAAAATTTCATTCTAGGAAAAGGAAAGAAGCGATGAAGCGAAATGATGAAACTCCAAGTACGAGCGAGTCACTTACATCGAACAAGAAAAGGTTAGTTTAAGTTTTCAACTTGGAAATAGTTTTATTTAGTTAAGCAATTCGGGTTTTTAGGAAAATGCTTACACCTGGGAATACAAATGAGACAATGGAGCCAATAAAGAAAAAGCGAAAATGTTGGTGAATTTAAAGACCACGTTTTTAGAATATAAATTTTAACAAAGTAACATTTTAGATAACGATACCACCGGATGCGAAGATTGTGATAAAGAACTGAAGGCATCATTTTTGTGGAAACATTTCGGATGTCCTGTTTGTGATGCTTGTAGGTGAGTGTAAAGTTTTACTTATTTTTTTGATTATTTAAAAATCCGCTAATCTAATAGTCTCCAATTGAGTCTTTAGCGATATTGAATTATTTATTTTTCAGAGATGTAAATGGTGCGCATCGACTGGTTCCCCGTCGTTTGGCCATTTCGAAATATGGGCTAAAGAAAGCTGAACTAGACACAAGAAAACCATTGCTTCGGTAATTATTTATTAGCTTTTTTTCCTTAAATGTATATTTCAGATTTGTCACGGTAAGTCAAGATGGAGAGCGCTTTTATTTGACAAAACAGGTTGTCGTATCTATTTGTAGCACTTATTTGAGAATCTTTAGTTGGAAGATCGATTACTGGAGCTTCGTGGAAATGTCGATGATTTGCGAGGACAGGTTGGGGATGTTTGAATTAGTTTGAATGATTTCTGATTTCAGATAAAGCAAAGAGAAAAAGACAAAGAGAATTTTCCGCTGGCATCAACTGGGCCTTAATCTAGGTAATATTTAAAAATTGGCTACATCGGCAGCCGAAAGCTTTATTTTCGTTAACATTTCATAGAACTGAACATTCTTTAAATTTCAGTGCTCCGACAAGTCGATGCTTTTGATGAGGACCATTGATTTTACGAACGAGAAGAGAAGAGAAATTTTCAAACGGGTTTTTTATTATTTTAGTGTTATAGTTTCTAATTGTGATCTAACTTTTGATTTGTTTGTGCATTTTTCAATTTAAGCTCAATAAATTACATTTACTCGTAAACAATCAGTATCACAATAAAATTTAGGCTAACGTTCTAGCAACGATAGTTAGGATCTTTAGATTTGAAGATATTTTCCCACCATTTGTCGATGCCTGAATTGTTTTCATTTAAGAAGAATGATAAATTATTGTGGAGAATCCTAGACTAATTAACTTACCGTAACCGTAAGTTTTTTTAAAAACGGTAACTTGGGTACTGTAGCTGTAGCGTCTTTTAGTAAAAATAGACCCACCCTGTTCGTGTCATGATAGAGTTGAGCAATTGAGAGAATTTCGGTATGCAAATTGAATTGATGGGAGATCGCCTTGATGCCCATTAGAGTCGATGGTGTACAAATGCTTGAGTCTAGAATATTAACATTGAAAAAATTGCGTGAATTATTTGAAAGCTTTGCTTTTTGTGGCTTACTTGCGAATTTCGGCGAAAGCGCGACGATGATGACGAAAAGGAGCAGACCCATTTGAGAGTGAGCCTGAAGTTGTACCCTATTTAGTTACGCAACGTTTTTTTTTCAATTTTCAATACCTTTAGATTCGGGAATTTCGTCAATTCAGGTGTGTTTGAGGCGTTTTCGGAGAGCAACTCGTAGAGGAAATCGATCGTTGACTCGGGAATCGAATCAAGGGAAATGAGAGCACATCTTTAAATCAAATTACGCACGATTACAGGATTACGGATCATCCAGAAGTCAAAACTTTGGTTTTGGTTTGTGTTTTTTTTTTGAAAAACCCTGATTTACAGTGTGATGATGGGGTGAAACTCACTGATTGGCGGCTTTTAGAGCTGATGTCAGAGCGGGTGCACGGAGTCGAGACGCCTCTCGACGTGACTGATTCAAGAGTGTTCGAATCAGCACACAGTTGCCAATCTGTGAAGAAAAAAAAAGAATTCAAGTTTGATTGAGATTCAGTGATCATATATAATTTTAGATATTTTCTTTAATACCTTTGCAATCTCGTTATGTAATTGTGTCTGATTTGCGAGTGATCTTTGCAAAGAATCGAACGATTTCGACTTGAAGAAAGCCTCGTCGAGGATGAGATTTTGAGTGCCGGAAAGGAGCGTCTAAAGAGGTTGCTAAAGATTTCTAAAGGTTTCTAAAGATTTCTAAAGATTTCTAAAGGTTTCTAAGGATTTCTAAGGATTTCTAAAGGTTTCTAAGGATTTCTAAAGGTTTCTAAGGATTTCTAAAGGTTTCTAAGGTTTTGTAAGGATTTCTAAGGATTTCTAAAGGTTTCTAAAGGTTTCTAAGGATTTCTAAAGGTTTCTAAAGGTTTCTAAGTTTTCTAAGGATTTCTAAAGATATCTAAAGAGATTTCTAAAGATATCTAAAGATTTCTAAAGATTTCTAAAGGTACAATACTTTTTAGCTATCTTTATTCAGTTTAGATTTTCAGTTTGCTTAGAAATTTAGAAATTAAAGGCCAATGATTCTCTTGGCCTTAAATGGGCCAATGGCCAATGATTGTATTGGTTGAAACTCTTATTCTCCAATGGTTGAACCCAACTATTGCACCAGTTACAATACTCGTTTAAGTTTTCAAAAAATCTATATCTTTTATAATCTATCTTTTCTAGATTGCCGTACCGTAATTGTGATCGTCACGTGTTTCAAAATTCCCTCCAAAAGTCGACAAAGTAAACGATCCACACAATCGATGGCAACAGACGGCACCCAGGTCTAAAATTTATTGAATAACTTTTTGTACTTGTCGTTTTTATTGGGTAACTTAACTTATCGGGCACTGTAAGTATCTATTCAGATCATTGATACAGCATTCAGCAGTATCCAGCTCTGCAATAGTCAAAATCTTAGATAGAAACTAGTTCTAATACTAGTTCTAATACTAGTTTACTAGTTTACTAGAATCCTAGAATCCTAGAATACTAGAATACTAGAATACTAGAATCCTAGAATACTAGTATACTAGAATCCTAGAATCCTAGAATACTAGAATACTAGAATCCTAGAATACCAGAAAACCTAGTAGAATCTAAAGCTATTCTAGCAAACCTTAACAAAAACCAAAAAAACGTGTTCAGAGAGATTTTCTGATCATCGACTTCTGATCTGAAAGCCTAGCACAAGAGGTGTCAGAGCGCTTTTCGCGCATTCATCACAACACGTTTCCCCGGCCGGGATCGAACCCGCGTCCCCCCGCACTGGCGTCCACCGCGCTAGCCCCTCGGCCAAATGCGTACCTCGATCGCATTCGTTTCATTGCTTGTTAGCGTCTCTCGATTCGTTTTTATCTCTCGCCAACTCATTTCCGTTTCCGAATAACGCGTTAAACTGAAAAAAAGATTAGAAGAAAATTTAGATATTTAGAGATTTTGGGAAATTAATTAATTTAGAGATTTCATTTATTTTATTTTCAAAAGTTATTCAATTTTCAATTTATTATTCAATTTTCTTGATTTTCTCTAGTTCGGAAGCTTTTTTTTAAGTTAAAAATCACATCTTAGAACCAATAGATTCTCCCGAACTTCGGAACTATGGTCCCCGGCTTTGTTGGGGATCATTGGTCCCCGGCTTGTTCGGGGGAATCTATTGCTCCTCCGAGCTTTGTTCGGTGGAATCTATTGGCCCTAAGATGTTGGTCTCTATTGGTTCTCGTTTACTTTGTGCTCAAAACGCACCCTTTCTTGTGCACTAAATTAATTTCTCTTATGTTCCCATAGTTGTGAGAAAAGTGATGAATTCAATGCACTAGAAAGGGCGCGTTTACAGATTTGAGCACATAGTACACTCCAAAGAACAAGGAAATTGTTAAAGAAAGCGGTCAAAAACAGTTTATCAGATAAGATGTATTTACATAAGCACAAAGAACGCTCACGGCTTTTGATCGTCGGCCGTCTGGCACACAACAAAAATGGATTGGGTAACTGAACCGAGAAGCGGTCAATTTTTGTATGCCAGCACGGTCAGCGATTACAGGTCGATGTACTTTGTTGTTAAATTTGTAAACGCACCCTTTCTGGTGCACTGAATTGTGAATTTTCTTGCGATAACGGATTTTCTTGCGATTTTTGGCGACCAGCAGTTTACCTAGGGGATGACGCGTTGAATAACATTTGTGCAAGATGTCCCAGTGCTGTTGCTGGACTCCACGCTGTTTGTAGCCCGTTCTTTCCCTTGCTCGCTTCTTGTGAGATCAAAAGTCCAACCTCGTCTTCACCCTGCCTTTCGAGGCAATTCGCCAGCTTGAATTTGAGGAATTTGAGGAATTTCTATCAAATATCATTGTATTGGATTGGTGAATTGAAAACTGCGAGACTTTGAAATTCAACTGACAACTTGAACTAAAATCTATTCAACATAAAACCATCAATTCATTCCAAATAATTTCCATTATTATTGACGACTTCTGCCCATTTTACAGACAATTTTGCGGATTCCTCTTTCGTGGTAGGATTTTGGTTTGTGTGTGAGACAAGTGTGAGACTCAAAAATGGAGGACTGGAGATGTCGAGATGTCCCAGTTTGAGCATTTGAGCATTTTCTTCAAAAGAAACCCATTTTGGTGTCAATAGAAAAGTTGTAGAGAATCAAAAATTAGGCTTATAGCCAAATTTCCAAAAAGATACACTTAGTAGTTTCGCTTAAAATGCAAGTTTTGTGAAAATTCGTAAATTTGGCATTTCTTGAAAACCAGTTTTTGAATCGTTCTGAAAATTTGGATATAAGCTTGATTTTTTATTCTCTACAACTTTTCCATTGACACCAGAATGGGTTTCTTTTGAAGAAAGTGCCCAAACTGTCACATATGACAATAGCCGGCAGTTTTCAATTCACCAATCCAATAAATTAAAAATAATAATTTAAAAAGTAATTAAAAAGTAATTAAACAAATTGGGTTTAATTTCATTTTACTTTAAATCAATTTAAAGGAATTCTCTCTTGAAATAATAAAATTCTGACGACAAATGTCTTTCGGACCGTCCACCGTACACTTTGCCTTTCAGACGTTTCCGCGCCAAACGTCGGAAACTACCGTAACCCGACGCAATAAAACGACCCCGCCACAAAGAATTTTTCAGTCTTTCGTCGTGTTTTATTTAGTTTGTAAAGCATACTTGTCAAATTAAAGTAAGCTTTATTTAATATAGCTTGGTTTTATTTAGAAATTTTGAATACTTGCGTCCAACTATTCATGTTTTCTAAATTTCTAAATAAAACCAAGCTATATAAAATAAAGCTTACTTTAATTTGATCAAGTCAAACTAAATAAAACACGACGAAAGACTGAAAAATTCTTTGTGGCGGAGTCCTTTTATTGCGTCGGGTTACGGTAGTCCAAACTGGCGCGGAAACGTCAAATTTCTCAAAATCCAAAAACCAAGCCGTTTCAAGTTTTATATCAAAAAATTCCTTGCGTTCTTGGCTACATGATGGGTGAAACAGTTTTTTAAAAAAGTTAATATTTCATAGATAAAAAGAGCACCCAAAGTGTGTGTCGAGTGATACTCAGTTGGTTAACTGAATATCTTTAGAGACCCATTTTGAGTGCTCTTTTTATCTTTGAAATATTAACTTTTTTAAAAACTGTTTCACCCATCATGTAGCCAAGAACGCAAGGAATTTTTTGATATAAAACTTGAAACGGCTTGGTTTTTGGATTTTGAGAAATTTGACGGCGCTGTTTTGAACGTTTTCTATTATGGCGCTGTTTTGACTACCCCCCGTCGATTCATCGTCGTCGATTTTTTCTAAAAACTCACTTTTCATTGATTCATTTTCATTGAATACTTGCGTCCAACTATTTATGTTTTCTATGAAAATGAATCAATGAAAAGTGAGTTTTTAGAAAAAAAATCGAAACTGACCTCTTGCCTCCACATCTCATGCCCGGCCACATCAATGTGTTCACACAAATACAAAAATGATGAGTGCAATGAGTGAAGGGTTTTCGTTAATGAATCAAGAAAAGCTGAAAGTGGTCTACTTTGTTCTGGCACAGGCAAAGAATAGCTTTGTTTCTTGATTTTGCCTATATTCTTTCAAATCCCCGATATAGACATACTACAAAATACGAACGTAAACTACAAACGTAAACAACTACAAACACTTCTAACTTTCTTCAAATCTGTCGGATCGTAATGATCTATAACTCGAAAAATAAAGAATCTAAAGAGCTTTCGAATGGACTAAAGCACGCATAAAAACATCAATTCTAAAGAAAGTTATAGTGATTTATAGTTTGACTACGCGCGAGTACGGTCCGTTTCTGTACTATAACTTTCTTTAGAGTTGATGTTTTTATGCGTGCTTTGATTCATTCGAAAGCTCGTGAGATTCTCTATTCTTTGAGCTATAGATCATTACAATTCGGCAAATTTGATGCAAGTTAGAAGCGTTTGTAGTGTAACAGTGTTTTTGTAGCTGTCTACTAAAGAAAAATTAACTTTTCAAATTGTTTTCCTTGCAATTCATCACTTCGGGGAGTCGAAGTCGAAGCTCTGCGCGGATTCCCTCCAACAAAAGCTCTCGGGGTCGAACTTCTAATGTGCCAACTGAAGAAAATGGAATGTTTTATTGGAAGATTCGGTTTTTAGTGGAAGATTTTTAGTTTTAGTGGAAGATTCGGTTTCTTCAATGCTTCAATGCTTTTCAAGAGATTTTCCCATACCTTTAGTGAGCGCCATTCTTGATATGCCGACGCTCATATTGCTGATCGTTGACGTGGCTTCAGCCAACTTGAAATTGCTCTCGAAATCAGCCATTTCTTTTGCCTGAAATTATCAATCAAAGCGAAGGATAAGACGATTACAGAAAATTAACGCGTCATTCATCTATCATAAATACGCCCTTGGTCCTCGTGCCTCGATGGCCGAGTGGCTAAGAGACCTGTTCCTCAGTCGAGAGGTCTCGACGATAGGTCAAGGGTTCAATCCCGCGGCCTACTTTTTCCCATTTCCCATATTTTTTCTTCTCTATATTAGGCTGCTTTTATTGTTTGTATGAAATTATTAATTTGAATAATTCTAAGAGATACTTAGAACAATAATTCTATTAGAATAGAGTTATTATTCTATTAGAATAGAGTTATTATTCTATTAGAATAGAGTTATTATTCTATTAGGATAGAGTTATTATTCTAAGAGTAGCAGTTACCGTAAAGGTTTTAGATGAAAGGAAAGAAATCTAGAAAATCTAGGAAATATAGGAAATATAGGAAATCTAAGAAATCTAGGAACCATAAAATTCTACAAATATCCCGCTATCGATTACGGTAGTTTGGGGCAGCACCTGTTCTTTCAAAATCTGTGGTGGCCAATTCGTCTCCAACAATGGCGCCACTTTTCCTTTCAACAAAACGAAGAGATGGCGAGGGACTGATTGAACAATTCTTCTAGAATTTAAGAAACAAAGAAACTTATTTTATAGTTTAGAGAAACTTATTTTATAGTTTAAGAAACTTATTTTATACTTTCCCCTACCGTAATCTTTTCTCCAATTGATACGAGTAAGCGGCAGTGATGAGTCTTTTTCGATCAGGTGTATGCAATTCGGCGAAAAGATTTTGCACAGCCAACGATAGCTAAAAATCACTACGATACAGTAAGCTAGCTTTATTTTTTATAGAAAATAGAATCCAATGCTTTAGCTAGAAAGCTGAAGCATTGGTTTCAGCTACAAATTTAAAACCCAAAAACTCACCTTGTAAAAAAGTGCTCTCACTGGGGCGCTGTTCGACGATTCGATCAACAATTTCTCGACTTGAGGAGCCCAGGAGTCTGTAAAGAAGCTAAGTTTCAATTTTAAAACAACTTAAACACCTTAAACAACTTTAACCCAATTGCAAGCTGTAAGCAAATTTCCCTTTTTTTTACTCACCAACAATCGTCCATGCATAGGCAGAACACGCGGAAATCTCGGCTCGTCGCAAATCGTCAGCGCTTACTGAATGAGCGGCTGCTAGAGCGTCCAATTGTTGACCGATCTATAATTATCTTCATTGGAAAGTCTTGTCCTTTCTTTTAAAAACTACTTTTTGATAATGATAACCAATCGAATCGCTTTATCAGGTTTTATTTATTTACAAATTATCCTTTTGAAGCTCTACCAAGCTCTACCAAGCTCTACCAAGCTCTACAAAGCTCTACCAAGCTCTACCAAGCCCTACCAAGCTCTACCAAGCTCTATGAATCTATGAGGCTATGAATCATGAATCTATGAATCAAAGACTATGAGAATGAGGAAAAGTTTATGGCAACTAGGTAAAACTTAGCGTTTTATTAACAAAGTAAAGCAATAAGAAAAGCAGAGCAATAACAAAGCAAAGAAATAACCAAGTAAAGCAATAAGAAAGCAAACCTTTTCCAAATATTGTGCCATTGCTAGGTTCCCTCCAAGATCCAGCATCTCTCCAACCTGAAAAAACTCATTCTTATAGATGAAATATTGAAAAGATTTCAGTTACAGTTAGACTTTTAAAATTTCTTTTGCAAATCTCTAAACATCATTTGCAATTTACCTGAACAATTCTCCTTTTCACACTCATCGCCAAATCAGCTCCTTCTTTCGGCGTTTTTGGTGTCGATTCCTTTAACGTTTTCCTCATCATCAGCAGCCAATCGTGCAATTTGGCTAAAATATTAACTGGAAAGGTTAATGGGAAGTGTTGACACCAAATGCTAAGCGATCATTTAACGCAGAATTAAACGCCGATTCCGAATCTGCTTTCGGTTTTTGCTACGGAACACTCTGTCAAAAGTTGTACGCATTTAAAGTCTTGTAAAGAGTTTGAAAAGTCAAACATAGACTTTAAAACTCGACTTTTCAGAAACAGAAAGAGTGCCGGGGTGGCCGAGCGGTAGTAGGCTAGAATACAAGGCTAGACGTCCCGGGTTCGAATCCATCAGCTGACGTTTGCTGATAGATTTTTTGGGTTTAAATGGCTTTGCTGGCTTTGGCAGAAAACAAATCTGGAGTAAGGGATAACAGCCCAATCCTGTCAGCAATGTTCAATATCTGTGTGGCTCTTTGGTAGAGGGTTCGGCCAGCAAGCGAGAGGTCGCGGGTTCGACTCCCGGCGCGGATTACTTTTTGCATTCCTAGCGTCAACCCATAAAAGTCCAATCCTGGATCAGCTTCCTGGATTGGTTTGGTTCTAGCCTTGGTTTGGTTAAGGTAATCGGAGCACACTGTAGATATGGCAGCAGATTGCGGTACTAGGCACGATTTATAGGGTTTAAAACCCGATTTATTGACTTTAAAACTCGATTTATTGGCTTTAAAACCCTCAAAACGTGTCCCAGGTTACCGTAGTCAGTTCTAAACTGTCCGATCAAAAGAAACTCGAGCCTAAACTGATCGATCTGAAGGTCAAGTTCAGATATCTGGCTTTGCTTTACAGCAAGATGGCTCTATGCCGTCTTTGGGCTGACCAGAAGCCAGACCTAGCTTTAGACTTATGGTTTAGCCTGGTTCACACCTGCAGGTAGTAATGAAAAGTTTAATTTCATCAAATGCTCACTTTTCTTTTCGACTTTCAACGAGACGAATCCTTGATTGAAAACGGCCGCAATTTCAGTGATCATTTCACAAGTGGCTTCAGTTAGACGAGAAATTGAGGCCTCCTTTTCCCCGAGATACTCATTATATGTCTAAAGATTTGCTTTTGAAAATTTTGTCCTTGAAAATTTAGCTTAAAAAATTTAGCTTAAAAAGTTTACCTTAAAAAACTCGATCTCAAAGTTGGCAATGCGTAGAGTGGCTCGAAGGGATTTCAATTGGAATTGAGTGGCTGATTGTACAGCCGCCAAATAGGAGGTCGATTTCTTGCTCAGTGATTGATCAGCTGAAAGTTGAGGCTTGGATTTAAAAGTAAGTCCTCTGCCATAAACGATCTCAAGCCATGATGATCTAAAGCCATGATGATCTCAAGCTATAGTTTGATTGCATTGCTACAGTACTCTACATCGCTACAGTACTCTACATCGCTACAGTACTCTACATCGCTACAACTCTACATCTACTAACTGGAGTTATCAAAAAGCCCCGACATTAACGGGTTACGGTAACCGGAGCACACTTTAGATTAGCTATGACGCTAGATTACGGTACTAGGCACGATTTATAGACTTTAAAACTGTCCCAGGTTACCGTAGTCACTCTACAGCTCTTTGTAAGCAAGTTGTAACCAAGTTAAGCATTCAAATCTCTCACCAGAATGTAAAACAAGCCATCTCAAGTCATTATTGTATTGATTGATCAATGCAATGCATGGGCGAAGCTTTTCCGCTCCAATTGTCCCCTGTGGAAACTCGGTGGCTCTCAAGCGCTTTAGTCGCTCCTCTGCTAAGCCACGAGCCTAAAAGAAAAGACTTTAAACAGCTTTATACATCTTTAAACATCCTTAAACATCTTTAAACATCTTTCACATCTTAAACAGCTTTAAACATCTAAACATTCCATATAACTTCTCGAAAAGTTCAACAAACCTTTATCAAATCCACTCCATTCGACAGTGCATTGATGGCAGCTTTGTATGGTTGCCATTCTTCGAACAAATTCACCACAATCCCCATTCCCAGTGATAAAACCTAGAAATTCTTCTTCTTCTCCTTCTTCTCCTTCTTCTTCTTCTTCTCCTTCTCCTTCTTCTTCTTCTCCTCCTTCTCCTTCTTTACGCACCCTTTTCTATGGCTGAATTACAGCATTTTTCTGCTCTATTGACGATTTAAGCTATTTTCCCACTCACCCATTGATCTCTGAAATAGTTGTCCACCAATTTTCGCATTAATGACGCATCGTTGAGAATGTTTGGCGCAAAAAAGAGGCATCCGCAAAGAAGCTGAATAGTTTGATGAAAGCAGGAAACTCAGAGCCAGCTTTGCAAGCGGAATCTTGATTATCTTTTAAGAAAAAGTCAACAAATGAAGAAGTGACGTTTTTCTGCGATTTCCGAAAAATCTGAATCCAAAAGATTCTAGGGTGATATCCAGATAAAAGAAAAAACATCATTTCAACAAAATTGGTCTTGCCAATTTTTTGGAATAATCGTGAACTCTTGACATTTCACTCACTGCAGTCCAACGACAGCGATGCTCTTCTCAGCTCTTCTCAACCGGTTAGCACATGTTAAACCAAAAGGGAAACAAGAGTTTCGGGTGTTAAAACTTTTTTTTGGCTGACTTTTCGTTGAGATTCAGAGTTCGCGATGATTTCAACAAATTGGTAAGACCGATTTTGTTGAAATGATGTTTTTTCTTTTATCTGGATATCACACTAGAATTTTTTGAGATTAGTTTTTCATTAAAACCTTTCTACGTACTTGAGTAGCACAAGATCGTAGCCGAATCGCTTGGCCTGGGATCGCCTGTTGAAAGCCGGAGTCAAAGACGCGAATCACATCGCGAACGAAAGCGTTATTCAGTTTGACTCTCCTAGGAAAATTGGGGTATTGGAGAATTGGGGTATACTAGCCTCAGAAAGTTTACGTTTGTCGAGAGCACAAAGTAAATCGTAAATTTTGGCTTTATTATCTTAATTTTATACTTGAATAGGGAATCATTGAGGCCCCGTGATCGCAAAAAATCCACCAAAAACTCGACATTCGTTCGATCGTCGCTAAAATTCATCAGCTAATCAGCATCAGCTCAATTCAAATACCTGATTCGATAAATTGCAATGAAAAGATATTCAGCCAATTTCCCTGGGAGTTTCCTCTCCAAAAGGATTAACATTTGAGCCGATAGGGAGAGGATTTCGATCTGAAGTAGATCTGGATTAGATCTGGATTAGATCTGGATTAGATCTGAAGTAGATCTGGATTAGATCTGGATTAGATCTGGATTAGATCTGAAGTAGATCTGGATTAGATCTGGATTAGATCTGGATTAGATCTGAAGTAGATCTGGATTAGATCTGGATTAGATCTGAAGTACAGTACTGGACAATGAAATATGATATTTGAAAAACGATCGTCACTCTCGCGCGTCTGTAACTCCCTTGTCTTTACCGTATTTCTAAATATTAATATTACCATTGTGTAGCCCTTGAAAAGAGCTTTTAGACGAGATGTATAACGAGATGTATAACACTAACAGTTTAAACTCAAAGACAAGGGAGTTACAGACGCGCGAAAGTGACGATCGTTTTTCAATAATGATATTTCATTGTCCAGTACTGTAGAACTGGATTAGAACTGAATTAGAACTGAATTAGAACTGAATTAGAACTGGATTAGATCTGAAGTAGATCTGGATTATCTCTGAATTAGATCTGAATCATTGCAAAGTTTTACAAGTGCACTCCTTTGAGCCTCCTTTAAACCTAACCGCCACCTCTCTGGTGCACTGAAATTCTGAGTTTTACTCGCAAAATCTGCAAGAAATGAACTACGAAGTGCGCTAGAGGGGATGCGTTTACATAGATTGAGCACAAAGCATACCCGAAAGACCAAGAGTTTACCTCCAATTCTCTAGCCAAATCGATTTCCCCACTCGCCCATCCACCTCCCTCATCGCCTCCTCTTTGTTCACAGTATCTGAAAGCGTTACAGTGTTCGATGTTTGATGATTTGAATTTATTGTAGATAGCGTACGAAAAAGAATGGATAAAGGTTGAGAGATGAGACGCGAATTTAGAGGATATCAAAAAGGATAACGGATCCGATCAAAGGATTCGATCAAAGGGTTACACGGATCAAAAAGGATCGAAACTCAACTCACTCTTGAAATCCGTGAATGAAATTAGCGATGGCATTGAGTAGTTTTTCGAAGCGGCCAAGAAAATCCTCGTGTTCTTTATAGAATAAATCATCTAGATCCTAAAAATTGCCTAATATATAAAGAGGTTTTCAAAATCAAAATCAAACCTTTTTCGCTCGAAAACCCAACTCGAATTGTTCACTTTTCTCGAAGTACGTAAAATCGATGAGAATCGATTTAAAGCAAGATTTCGATGGATCTCTCAAAGGTGCCGGTATCTCATCACATAAATGCGTGATCTGTAAGTTATAACAAAGTTTATATCAAAGTTTATATAAAAGTTTACATCAAAGTTTATACCAAAGTTTATATCAAATTTAAGTACTTTTCCAATATCGGGGGAGCGGAAGGATTATCGGGGGGAGCGAGCGAAAGGAAAATCGAGGGAGCAAATTTTGGCAGCGCTACATATGTCCTATTTAAAATTGTGACGAACGGGAGATTGCTTTGTTGCAAAAAGTTATCGACTCGAATTCCTCTTGAATGCTTGGGGACTCCTCTTGCACTCGTCAAATCCTCGGCTTCATTTGCATCTTCGCTCTTCCTTTCTTCGTTCGATCGTTTCGGTACTTTTCCAATATCGGGAGAGCGGAAGGATTATCGCGGGAGCGAAAGAAAATCGGGAGAGCGAAAGAAAAATCGGGGGAGCAAATTCTGGCAGCGCTACATACAGCGCTGTATGTCCTATATTATACAAACTACCGCTATAAAATCCGCGAATTACCCGTTATTCTCACAATCTTTATATTAGATCACAAAAGTGACTTAAATATCTAACACCCAGCGAAATAGATCTTTTCCCTTTGAGCGGACTTTCATCGATTCGCCACAATTGCAAATCCACGACTGGACTCCTTTGGTGACGAAGTAATCGATTGCCGTCGATTCCTTGAACGCACAAATATCGGAGAAGGCGCATTAAAGTTTGAAAAAAAAACGTTGCAACGTTAAAATACAGTCCCGGAAATGCATTTTTCGAGCGGGCAAAATTTGCTACCCCGATTTTCCTTTCGCTCCCACGATATTGGAAAAGTACCATCGTTTCTCTCGCTTCCTTATCTTCTCCGCCTTCACTTCCATCGTCATCGAAGCTCATGTTTAATCCTTGTTCATAATCCCGATGATCACAAAATTCGGCAAAAGCATCGCTCATTTCATCCAACAATCGCTCGAGTTGCTTGTTGCTCGAGTAATTGCTTGTTGCTCGAATGATTGTTGTTGCTCGAATGATTGTTGTTGCTCGAATGATTGTTGTTGCTCGAATGATTGTTGTTGACCTCGAATGATTGTTGTTGCTCGAGTAATTGCTTGTTGCTCGAGTGATTGCTTGTTGACCTCGAATGATTGTTGTTGCTCGAGTAATTGCTTGTTGCTCGAGTGATTGCTTGTTGCTCGAATGATTGCTTGTTGCTCGAGTGATTGCTTGTTGACACCTTTAATTGACTTCTCGAAACCTAAAAAGAAAATATTAATAAATGTAGCATAAAGTTAAAAAAAAGGTTAGTTGTCAGTAAAGAAGGAATCAAACGAGCGACAAAGATATTCAGTCGTTCAATTGAAAGTTTTGAAATATATTTGAAAAATTTGCTCCCCCGATTTTCCTTTCGGACCGCTCCCCGATATTGGAAAAGTACCAAAGTTTATATCAAAGTTTATATAAAATTAAAATAGCGTACCTCAGCAATAATCGAGTGCGAATCTTCGTAAAGACTCCAAAGGAAATCCTCGTAAACACCACGCCAAGATTTGCTCTCCGTCATCGAAGATTCATAAACTAAACATAAACTTGTTCTAGAAACGTTTAGAAAATTCACTTGATCAAAATCAAATCAAATCCAAATCAAATCCAAATCAAATCCAAATCAAATCCAAATCCACTCTGCTTTCAATTCAGCTAGATATTTAGGGAATAGTAGTTGGGTTTATCATTGTGCGAAAGATTTAGAGTCAAAGCGTTCATAGGAAACGCGTGTACTCTTATCGAAAGTGATTCATTTGAATCTTTTGCTCAATCTTTTAAACAAAAAATTATCAGTGTTTCGGCTTTTCGCAATTTTATATAAAGACAAAATTTAGTAAAATCTATTTTTGATCATTTGAAACACTTTGAAAACTTCATTAGTTCACTGGCAAGAACTAAAATAAAATGGATCTAGAGTTCAATTAGTTCTTCTTGAACTCTAGATCCATTTTATCACCGCACAACAGATCACCAACCATAAATACTGTAATTGGACTAAACTAAACCAAAACTAGAGGAGGAGAAGTATATTTATTTCGACGCGAATAATGAATTACAACACAACGGAGGAAATTGTTATCCCCAATTACCCCTATTACCCAAATGTTGTTAAGAAAAAACCCATAATAATGGGAAAAAGAAGCAATCTTGCTAGCCGCCGGAAACGAACCCTTAACAACAGGAACCAAATTTAGAGAGATAAGGGACCGAATTTGTAGAGATAAGGGACCGAATTTAGAGAGATAACTAACAACCGAACCGACTAGGAGACAAGACTCCTATCCGGTCGGCTACGATGGCTTAAAAGAAGGATAAAAATAGTACACCCACACAAAGCGTACTTAGAAACAACGCGTACTTATAAAAAACGCTTTTGAAGGAGAAAATTCGGCGCTAGAGTAGTTGGGGCAGTCTGAAGCTTGACTCAAAATCACTATTTTTCCACAAAAACTTGCACACAGGGGTTTTTGACGATGCTGAATCGATTAGAAATACTTTTATAACTTCTGTTTTTGATTAATTTTATTAATTAATAGCATTTTTAGTAAAAACTTGAATAGAGGCATTTTACCGAAAAACAAGTCCCTTAATCTGTCAGGGAGTTCTTTTATCCGCGACACCAAGCAACAATTTTGTTATTGTTGAACTAAAAATATAAAATTAATCAAAAAAAAAGAGTTATAAAAGTATTACTAGTCGATTCAGCATAGTCAAAAGCCCCTGTGTGCAAGTTTTCGCGAAAAATATTGCTTTTGAGTCAAGTTTCAGATTGGTTACCCCCCAATTACTCTAGCAACTACTCTAACAACTACTCTAGAAACTACACTAGCAACTACACTAGCAACCACTCTAACAACTACTCTAACAACTACTCTAACAACTACTCTAGAAACTACACTAGCAACTACTCTAACAACTACTCTAGCAACTACTCTAACAACTACTCTAACAACTACTCTAACAACTACTCTAACAACTACTCTAGAAACTACACTAGCAACTACTCTAACAACTACTCTAGCAACTACTCTAACAACTACTCTAACAACTACTCTAGAAACTACACTAGCAACTACACTAGCAACCACTCTAGAAACTACACTAGCAACTACTCTAACAACTACTCTAACAACTACTCTAACAACTACTCTAGCAACCACTCTAGCAACTACTCTAGAAGCTACACTAGCAACTACTCTATCAACTACTCTAACAACTACTCTAGCAACTAATTCATGTATTTTCGAAAGTTTCTTCTATAAATTCGTTGATTAATTCTCTTTCAAAAATTTTGTCCCATCCCAGCGCATTTCATGAGATGAATTTGCCTATATCTACTGTGATGTGTGAAAACACCGTGTCTGTCTATCCCTAACAAAAAACAATATCTCCTAGCCAATTACTAAGACAAACATCTAAGCAATTGGCTTGAAATAGAACAAACAACAAAACTAAGAATTACCGGTCAAAAGAATTTTTCGGGCTTTTTAGGGAGAAGATTTTCTATAGTAGTCTTATCGTAGAGAGAATGCGGTAGTGGTGTAAAATAGTGCCCCACCCCCATGGGGTCCAATTACAGTATTTACCGTAAAAATTTTATTTAACTCATTCATCGAATTCTAAATGGCAGACTAGCTAAAGGGAAAAGCTGTAACAAAATTTTGGAGGGAAAAAAGCAGAACAACAAAAATCATATTAGCGAGTGCGAATGGAGCATACTGCTAAATCACAAGGAGTAAATCAAAATTGGAAGAGCTTTAAGACAACAAATCGGAGTACAAGATAAGTTGCTGTCTCATGGGTTTAAATACATGACCCGCGGCACTGTATAATCCAACGAAAATCTATGGAATTTAGTAATAAATAAACTAACAGAAGAACCAAATAATTTTAGAAGAAATGACGCTGGACTAAAAAAAAAGTTAATCCCATAACCAAAAATGTAAGAAATTTGACATACCCAGAATAGAGGCAAATAACGCAAAATCACTTCAGAGAAAGAGCGAGAGAAGAAATCGATTTTCAAGATGATTTCATTAAATTTCCATATAAAGTAAACTAGCTTACATGTACAAGATCCAGAAGATAGAAGCCTAATCAAGATCCATGTCGTGCTGGAGATTTCCGTGAGCGGCTGGTGCTGATGGTGATGATGATGGTGCTGGTGCGCTGGGTTGAGTCGACTCGGATGAAGCGTCCGGGAAAGTAGACGGATCAACTTCCTAAAAATAAAATACAATTAAAGATCAGGTTTGATATTTTTTTAAACTTTAAACGACAAGGCACCATAAGTCAAAATACACTGAATGGCTCATGAAATTCTTGGAAATTTCCTGACATAATGAAAACCTAGTTCTTCCAGTAGGTAAATAGGAAATCTAAACAAACCTGGCGACATATAGGACAAGTACGGTGTCGCTCGAACCACGGAACCAAACAATCTTGATGGAAGATGTGACGGCAGTTCAGTTCCAATACTGTCTCATCTAAAATAAGCAAGACTTCTAGGTGAACGAACGAGCAGAGCAAATAGCGCAATCACTTCATTTTACTTAATCACAAAAGAATAACTAGCGGTTTACAAGTTGCCTGTTTAACTTTTTACTATAAAAATTAAAACAAACCTTTCTTAAAACTCTCCATACAAGTTGTGCATTGTGTGTCGTTATCCACGTGCTTCTGGTTCACTTTCACGCGTGGGATACGTGCGACTTCCTCAGGGGAAAGACCTGAAAAAACAAATTGGCAAAGAAATTCTTCTTCATTAAAAACTATCAAAACCCACCAGCAGCAGCAGCAGCCCCATTTTCAAAGCTGTTGAGTAGATTCGTCACAATTTGATCCAGTTGCATTTGCTCAAAGTCCGCAAAGTTGCCAGGGAACATGCTAAGTTTTGATCAGTTAAAAAATGTTGATAAACCCTTACTGTGCTCCACCATCGGATCCATCACCATCCATCACCAAACGAACTCGAAAATTTTGCTGCTAAAATACAAATTAGAAACGATCGTAATGTGTGATTATGGTGTCCTCGAGATAAAATTAGCATATGTTCCGTATAAAGTACTAATAAAAACAATTTACTTCGGCTCCGAGTCCTGAGAGAAGTTGTGTCATAAAATGATTGATCGAGTCATGTAGCTGAGGGGGAACAGCATGTACGTGGGCATGATTATGGGCATGTTGATGTGCATCTGCGGGATTTGGTGGCGGGTGAGGTGGACGACCACTCAGAACAAAAGCCCCCTCGCTACGAGGCCTCAATCTTGGCTGGGGAGGCTGAGGTCGATGTTGTTGTGCCTGTGGAGGACGACCGCCGGGTATGAACATGCTCATTAACTAAAACATTTGAATACGTAATTCGTTAATAAAACAATGATTTAACTCAAATTGTAAACTATTTTCCAATAAAACACTTACATCATTCAACGGTCCAAACGCCATTGCTTGCGGTGGTTGCTGATTGCGCGGATGATCCTGTGGTGGATAGGGACGAGAACGAGCAGTGGCTACTCGTGGACGATCAGTCTGTGGAGCTGGATTGCCGGCAAAATGGAGTTGAAAGGGTGGACGCTCGATCTCCTCGATAAACTCGCCGCCACACTCCGCACATTTTAGATCCTAAAATAAGAAATAAATCAATGCATTTAATATTATTTTAAATAACTCTAAAAATAACTGTTAAGCAAAGCCGAGTTCAAACTTGTCCAGTTTTTTTAAATCTAGAGTTGGGATTTTGCGAAATACTGATTTATTTTAACACCCGCCAAAGCAAAATGCCGACATCTCCTTGAAAATCGGAAAAAAATCAGTTTAAAACTTGACAAAAACAATTGCTACGTAGAATTTTTGAAGCAGTACTTAAGCTTGCCAGAGTGACAATCTTTCCAAAGCATTATTTACTAACAACTTAGAGAAAACTGACCGATTCACGTGATCGAACATCGTGATTGCACTGATGACAAAAGTAGATCGGATTCGACATTTTGATTTCTAAAATTTGATAGGTTAAGAAATGACAGGGTATTTTGGTGGTTGGGAGAAGCCACTTGTACCCTGGCTTAGTTGGATCTAATGTTTTGAGTGGTCGTATTGATACCTTTTATCTATTCTTTTATCTAATCAAATATGCTTAATTGATTGGTGACTATTCTAGCAAGTTTTTGGCAATTCTAGCCTAATCTCATGTACTTTAATCACTAAACGCTACCGCAAAGCTTCTAACACTTGAAAATCAAATAAAAGCACCAATATGAAACTTGAAGCATGGTGTAAATGCCCTAAAAGTATAAGCACATTTGATTACCCTCGCATAGGTAGATAAAAGGTATCAATACAGCCACTCAAAACATTAGATCTAACTAAGCCAGGATACAAGTGGCCCCTCCTAGCCACCAAAGTACCAATGATAGTAGAGCAATCAAAAAATGACACTTTTGCTGTTTGCCGCCAAAACCGTATGAAAATTTTGGGGGTACGGGGGGTTTCCCCGTCTTTCATTAATGTAAGCTATAGTAAGGCTCCCCTTAGGCAGCGATAAGGTAGTCAAGTAAGAGAAAAATATTAATAAGCAGTGTTAGAAAAAAAGAAAAGTTGAGACAAGGTAGCGCTTGTCCAGCTCTGACGGTGGAAACAACCGACCCGCCGACAAAAACTATCCACCTGGCAGCGTCATGCAAATTCTTCAAATTAGACTCCAAAAATTTTTTGTGTAGTTTGGGGGGAAAAACAGCAAAAGTACCCACAAAAAGGAAGAGAAAAGGAAAAAGGTATTAATATTTTGTAATGGAGGGGCTCTTTTGCAAGAAAGCCCGTCTTTCTCGAGGCATCTACCTAGAGTTACAGGGAGTGCAGGGTGTGAGCGTCATTAAGAAGCTACGCGTAGGGTTCAATAAAACTATCGTAAAACTGCAACTATGCATAAAAATATGGGACAATTAACAAAAAAAGTAAATGAGAAAATCCTTAATTTTGTCAATTTATAGTTTAAATTCAGATTTCGGTATTCAGTCCCTTAGTTGAATATCTTCAACTTAATGAGCAAATTTGGGGGTAGGCTACTTTCCGCCATTTTATTTGCGCAACAGGGTCATTTGCGCAAGTACGTTTGCGCAACTTTTTTTTTGCGCAACAGGGTCATTTGCGCAACTTTTTTGACGTTTTTAAGGGACGTTTTTTTTTGTTGTTTAAAATTCTAGTACGGTTTTGTTTATTCTTAAAAACCATTGTTAACTAATTTTCCGCATTTTCCCAAGAATCCGCATCCATCGTATACTGCGGTCAGACTTTACGAAGAAATGACGCAAATAATCAACCGTTTCAAGCTTTCATCGGCTATCAATCTCACTGTTGGACAAAACTACACACGGAAGAAAACTGTATTGGCTCGACAAAAGCAACGTTTTACTGCTATTTCTAATGGTCGCTTGCCCGGTTGCGATTTTGTGCAACATCTTTCTCAGCTTTTGACTTATATTAAAAAAATTTGATTTTTTATTGTTGTCCTAAATTTCATTGCTATTGTTGTCCTAACTTTCATTGTTATCGGTTGCACTTTTTTGTTAAAGCGATAAAATATTTTACTAATGGTTATTAGCTCTTAGAAAGGACTAATTTAGATAAATATTGGAAGATTATGCAAAAAATTGGAAGATTTCATAAAAATAGAAGAAAATAAAAAAACAATAAAAAAAAGCTCAAAAATGAAAATAATGATTAAAAATTCGAGTGCTTAATACAGTGTTAAAGTTGCGCAAATGACCCTTTTTGTGCAAAAAAAAGTTGCGCAAATGACCCTTGTTGCGCAAACGTACTTGCGCAAATGACCCTGTTGCGCAAATAAAATGGCGGAAAGTAGCCTACCCCCAAATTTGTCTAAAAATGTCGTAAATAAATACGATGAGAAAGAGGGGGTGGGACAAATGCGACCTTTTTTTTGCGCACCTGGACATTTGCGCACCTGGACATTTGCGCACCTTTTTTTTTGCTAGAAAAGGCCTTAGGAAAGGTCGTAGAGCTTCAAAAAAGTTTTCATAGAAGGGAATCGTATGCGTAGATTCCGAATTTCGACAAATCAGATTTCGCTGACACGTCAAATTTGGACTAAAAGGCAAAAACTACGCAACTTAACGCTTTTCCGCATTTTTTGCCCTTTAGCCCAAATTTGACGTGTCAGCGAGGTCTGATTTGTCGAAATTCGGAATCTACGCATACGATTCCCTTATATGGAAGTATTTTCGAAATATTTTCGAAGCTCTACGGCCTTGCCTAAGGCCTTTTCCAGCAAAAAAAAGGTGCGCAAATGTCCAGGTGCGCAAAAAAAAGGTCGCATTTGTCCCACTCCCGAGAAAGACGTTAATTTTGCCAATTTATATTTTAGATGGTCAAATTGCGTTATTCAATTGTTTAGTTGAATATCTTCAAGTTAATGAGCAAATTTACTATCAAATTGCTTATAAAAAGAAATTTCGTTGTTCTTACAAAATTGGTCACAAAAAGTTTATCCCAACAAAACAAACAAGAAAATAACAAATCAAAAAGCCTATTTAACCTAAAACTAAATAAAAACTGGCGATGAATGTGTGAGATCAAAAAAAGAATCGAAAATTTGTCGCCTACGAGGAGAATTTCCCAAGAATATCGCTCTCGCGAAGGATCGTGTACTCTTTTTCCTCGAGAAGCACCTAAAATTAGTAGAATTTTGTATTAAAAGGGTGATGATGCCGTGCTTTTGTTTCTAATTAAAGTGTGTTACTGTAGACTTACCTTGGTTCCACCGAACTCCGGCAGCAGCACTCGATCTCCGACTTTCACATTCATCGGCACAGTCACCCCTTGTTCATTCCTCAATCCCGGTCCAGCCGCAACGACGGTCGCCTCGAGGACTTTCCCCTGCGATTTCTCGGGCAACATGATCCCTCCTTTCGTTTTCAACTAAATTTTCTTCTTTGTTGGATTTAGAAGCCTATTTACGTGCGCTTTAAAGGGACTGGTGCAAAGGCGGCGCGGCGCGCTTTCTAAAGCGTGGATACGCTGCCGTACCCCGCACAAAATCCCCCTTTTGCAATTCTTTTCATTTTTCGGCATTTCATGATGTTGTTTATTCTTGATTTTTCAGCATGGATGTTGTTCGGGTTTTATGCCGAATCCCGCTAACTTCTCTTCCCCCTTCGTAAAATCTATGATGTTTTTGTAGCGCGCTTTTAAAGTACTCCCTCGTTCCCTCTTTTTTATATTGTTCCGCCCATGTTTCCTGTTTAAATTTCTAAAATGATTTTGTTTTGTTTTTCTCGACTCCCTTCTACTCCATTGTCTTCGAATCTTTTTGTATGTGCTATATGCAATTACTTAACCAATTCTCTTTCAACTAAAACGCACAAAATTTTCTTGGGGTTCTTCTTGGGTTTTTGTATATTTATTTTAGAAAAAGGATTGATGGGTAAAAAGATATTGGGTAAAGTTAAATGGTTACTAGCTTTGGCTTATTTACTTCTTTCTTCTTCCGCCTTGTCTTTTCCTCTTTCTCTTGCCAAGTTAAGGTACCGGATAGCTCAGTGGTTAGAGCAACTGCAAAAGGTCGAGGATTCAATCCCCTCTCCGGAAATCTAATTTCTCTTGCCAATTTCTTCACTTTATTATAGAGTTTAAAACGATCAGGGTTTTTCTGTAGACTTTTACCTCTGGCGTGAACCTCTCCACGAGAACTCGATCGAAAAGCGGAGCGAACGATTTGAGCACGTTAGAGGCCTAGAATTGAGTAATTTTCATTTAAAATAGAACCAAAATGTTTATGAAACATTGGGTATTCGAAAAACAAGATATTAGCCATGTAGCCAGTTATGAAAACCCAAAAACTTACCGAATTTCGCACAGTTGTCAGAAACATTGTAATATTTAGTAGAAATGGGTTTCTTTGGTTCAATTGACCACAAATGCTTGACAAAGTACAATCTTTTTGTCGAGAACTTTCTTTTCAAAGGGTCAATGGGGTGTTCCATTAGACAACCAATCACCACGAATCGTTTCGGCGTAATGGGCGGGATTTTGGCAAAAGAAAAGTTTCTAGAACGTTTTTCCCCGATTTCTTTGACCCCTCTTTATCAATTGGCATTTTCCCAACTCGAATTTTTGATTTAGCTTTTATTTTATACGTTTTGAAGCTTTTTTCAAGAAAAACTTGTTCTTTGTGCTCAAATCTGTAAACTGACTCCTTCTAGGCATTCAATTCTTCATTTTCTTGCAACAACAAGAAAAATGAAGCTGAAGAATTGCGAATTGCGGGAGGAAAATGAAAAATTCAAGCCAGAAAGGATGCGTTTACAGATTTGAGTACAAAGTGCACTCAAAATACTTTTCTTTAGAGTGTTTATGCTTTAAACTGTAAACGCAACCTTTCTGGCGCACTGAATTTTCAAATTTCAGAAATGTTGAGGCTAGCTGGTCACCCGGTGAGTCGACTCGTCACCCGCGGCTTGGCAAAGGATCTCCGTTTCGGAGCGGAGAGTCGAAAAGCGCTCCTCGTTGGCGTCGATCTGTTAGCCGATGCAGTCGGTGTCACGATGGGGCCAAAGGGCAGAAATGTGGTCATCGAGCAATCATGGGGATCACCAAAAATCACAAAAGACGGAGTCACTGTGGCGAAAGCGATCGAACTCGAGGACAAGTACCATAACCTTGGCGCGAAGCTCATCCAGGTAAAGATTGTGTATAGTTTTCAAGACTAAAAGATATAAGATATGACTCAGAGTCAGTTTTAGTTTCAGTTCTTTAGCATGAATAGATAAATTTCATTTCAGGATGTTGCCAACAAAACCAATGAGGAAGCTGGCGATGGAACGACTTGTGCCACCGTTCTCGCTAGAGCAATTGCCAAGGAAAGCTTCGAGAATATCAGTAAAGGAGTGAATGCGGTTGAGATCAGAAGAGGCGTGATGGCAGCTGTCGATATCGTTGTTCAATCGTTGAAAGCTATGAGCAAACAGGTTAGTGATTTGGAAAATTGGACTCAAGGATTAAAACCTACTCAACTAGTAAAAGCTGTCAAGTCATAAAGTTGAAATCGCTCTAACTTTTCGCAAGATAATAAATATGTCTGCAGTAGATTTAGATCTAATTTAGATATCTAGATCTGGTTCAGAGCTAATAATGAGCAAAAGTAGTCAGTTTTGAATTGATTCAAGGATTTTTGTGCCTGTAAGCCTGGCAATTTTTCAAAATCTACTTTTTCTGGACCAGTTTTTTCATGATAATTCCAAATTTCGACATCCCAGGTTCGGAAAATGCGATTTTAACATCAAAATTTTAAAAATATGCATTTTTAAGGGGTTTCATCTAGTTAAAGCAAAGCCAAAAACTGACTTCTGGCTTGACTCTGACTTTGCCTTTGGAACCATTTTGATTTGAAAGGAATCCAAAGCATCATCTTAAAACCTATCCATTAACTTCATTAACTTCATTAACTTCATTAACTTCATTAACTTCAGGTCACCACTCCCGAAGAGATCGCCCAAGTGGCGACAATCTCGGCAAACGGAGACAAAGTGGTTGGTGATCTCATCTCGACAGCGATGAAAAAAGTCGGGAATAAAGGAGTGATCACGGTGAAAGACGGGAAAACATTGCAAGATGAATTGGAAGTGATCGAGGGGATGCGATTCGATAGAGGATACATTTCACCGTATTTCATCAACACTGCGAAGGGGGCAAAGGTTGGTTTAACTCGATAAAATCTTTTCTAAAAGATGTGCTTAGAAAAAGTTATCGTACTCCAGCCTTTAATAAAACATAATTCAACTTTCAATTTTCAGGTTGAATACGAGAAAGCTTTGGTGTTGCTATCGGAGAAGAAAATCTCTCAAGTGCAAGACATTGTGCCCGCTTTGGAGCTGGCGAATAAAAATCGTCGACCATTGGTGATCATTGCTGAAGATGTTGATGGAGAAGCATTGACGACACTAGTTCTCAATCGATTGAAGGTAAAGAAAAGAAGAGTAAGATATTGAAAAATCGCACAGTTAAAAGTTTAGAAACTTTCCCAATAACTTGAAAAGCTTATAGAATAGATGAATAGCTAGGATAGCTTATTTCCTCAACTGAGGGGTAAACTATACTCTTACTCACAAGGGAAGATCAACTGCCTGAGCCGGTCAAATGCTATGTTCGACTCAGAATTTTATGCTGATTCCGAACATATACTCCGTTTTTGCTAAATGACAATCTGCTAGGAGTTATAAGCGTCTAAAGTTTTGTTAGGATTCAAAATGTGGTCTTAATGGGCTCCTTGTGGGAGCCGAATCGATGCAGCCGTGGCCGACTAGTAGAGTGTTCGTTTCCAGAGCGAGATCTCACAAGTTCGATCCCCACTTTGGATTTTTTTGCTTTTTTTATGAAGTGCAAGAAATCCAAAGTGGGACCGAAGTTGTGAGGTCTCGCTCTGGAAACGAACGCTCTACTAGTCGGCCACGACTGCACAAAAACTGGTCCGCAAGGAGGCCGCTAAGACCCAAATGCCCAAATGACCACATTTTCAGAGTCATAAGAAAACTTTAGACGCTTATAACTCTTGGCAGATTGCCATTTAGCAAAAACGGAATATAGATTCGGCATCAGCATAAAATTCTGCGTCGAGTGGTATAGGTCGCATAGCATTTGGCCGGCTCAGCTAGTTCACCTTTCCTTCTCAGTTTTCAAAAAGTTGAAACGATCGAAACAACTTCCAGGTCGGTCTCAACGTTGTTGCTGTGAAAGCGCCGGGTTTTGGTGACAATAGAAAGAACACGCTGAAAGATATCGCCGTCTCGACTGGGGGCACCGTTTTTGGAGACGATTCGAATCTCGTGAAACTCGAAGAAATCCAGGGTCATCAATTCGGTGAAGTGGAAGAAGTGGTGATCACGAAAGATGACACATTGATGTTGAGAGGGAAAGGTGGACAAAAGGAAATCGATAAGCGAATTGAGCAAATTGTCGACGAAATCGAGGAGAGCACGAGCGAGTACGAGAAAGAGAAGCTCAATGAGAGATTGGCGAAACTGTCGAAAGGAGTCGCTGTGCTGAAAGTGAGTAAGAGATCGGTGTATGTAAATATGTAAACGCAAGCCTCTCTGGTGCACTGATCTTCATTTTTATTGTAGCGTGAAGTTGTTTCTTTGAGAAATGACCAAATTGAGTGCGTCAGAAAGCGTGTGTTTACATTTTTGAACACGAAAAGTGCCCAGTACTTCTCCTAGCTTTAAACTAAACTGTTTTGTGACGTTAAACCTAGTTTTACTATAATATAAGGTCTGTTAGTCGATCAGATCTCAATTGACTAGCAAAAGTATGTACTTTTTCGTATTTTTGTTGAAAAATAACAAAGTCATTAATTAATTAATTAATCTATGGTTTCCTCTAAATAAACCGTAGTTCAATTGATGAATTGTTGATTTTAAACGGAATGAAAAAAAGAAACGAAAAGCCCTGATTGTCCTTTCTGGATAATCCTTTCAATATCAAGCAATCTTTCATGTAAGCTTTAGTTTCTAGAGTTAAAACAATATAGTTTAATAATCATTTGATTCTAGATTGGCGGATCGTCCGAAGTTGAGGTGAGTGAGAAGAAAGATCGAGTGACTGATGCGCTTTGTGCGACGAGAGCCGCCGTTGAGGAGGGAATTGTGCCCGGTGGAGGGGTGGCTTTACTCCGAACGCTTAAAGCACTCGAACAATTCAAGGTGGGCATTTCAATTACAAAATAGAAATCTCGATTTCTAGCTTCTAGCTAGCTATCTAGCTATCTAGCTATCTCTTTCTAGCTATCTTTTAACTCAAAGTTTTAGGCTCCAAACGAGGACCAACAAAAAGGCGTGGAAATCGTGAAGAAAGCGATTCGTCAACCGATCTCGACAATCGTCAAAAATGCTGGCATTGAACCGTCAAGCATCGTTGAGAAAGTGTTAGCGAGCAGTGAATTAGCATTCGGATATGATGCACAAAATGACAAGTTTGTCAATATGATCGAAGCTGGAATCATCGATCCAACAAAGGTGAGTGAAAAGTCGAGTCGTTGAACTAGTTCATTCTAGATGTTCATTCTAGATGAACTAGAATGAACTAGTTCAACATGTTCGTAATAGAAATAGTAAACTTGTGAGCCAGCGTAAAAGTTGGGAATGATCAAAAGAAGCTTACAATTTGGTAAACATAGTCCTGTAAAATATAGATCGTTTTATTGATGTCAATATAAATCTACCACGCTTTAAAGGTTTTATAACACGATTACCACAAATAAAAGTTGTTGCTATAGTAGTTTGGGGGGACCCAGTTTGTAAACACTGGTTTTTCGAGCTTGCCACTAGTTTTAAAAACTTTTTCTGGGGTAATTAATTGCAATCAATCCAGTGTAAGCCTTTATAAACCATTCTGAACAACTTTTATGCCAATTTGAGCAACAATTCTCAAGCCTTCAACAATGGCTCGATTCCCACTGGGTTTAGAGGCGTGGAATCGAATTAAAAAGCCTCAAAACCTCAGTAACTGTTTGAAATAGCTAGGAAATGAACTAGAATAGAAAAAGTCACTAAAGCTTAAATAAATACCTCATTTGACTATACCATTATTATTCAAAGCTCATTCAAACCTTTTCCAGGTGATTCGCACAGCAATTCAAGACGCAGCCGGTGTGGCGTCATTGTTGGCAACAACAGAATGCGTTGTGACAGAGATTCCGAAGAAAGAGTCGCCAATGCCACCAATGGGCGGTGGTGGAATGGGCGGAATGGGTGGAATGGGTGGAATGGGCGGTGGAATGTTCTAGATACCAAAGAAAACTATCCAATACCTAAAAATCGGTATTGTATAGAGAAAGTAACCCTAAACTCTACTTTTAAACACCAAAATTGTCCATCTCCATATCCAGCTACTTTCCCGAAATGTTCGCTCATTTCATTCAATGAATTTTTCCTTTTTTTCCCTCATCTCATTCAATGAATACGGTTAATTTATTAGAAAAATTTCCGATTATTTACCCAATTAGTTTTTATAGAAATCCTAGCACTAGTTTAGGCGTTGTTAATCATTTTTTTTTTGCATTGTTCTCGTTGTTGTTTTTCTTTTTTTTCAAGTAAATTATTTTTTTTTATATCCAAGCTGTAAAATGCAAAAATCTATTCGATTTTCAATCGCTCACCGAGGCAAATATTTACACCAATTCGGTGGTCTAGTGGGCAATGTGCTAGCCTGCTAATTTTTACAGATTCAGAATCAGCATGACCGATTTAGGGATGCACTCGGTGGCGAAGCTATTCTGAACTTCGAGCTGGTGTCATTCCCTTGTTAGGTATTTAGATTAGACACGGGCATGGTATGGGACGAAATATGCAAATTTTCTATTATTATTTACAATAATACTATAGAAATTATATGCTAAGCAAATTGTTTACGTAGTATTTGTATAGTACTGGACTCGGGTAACCCCAAAACTCGACTTTTAAACACCAAAATGTCCATCTCGGGTCCATAGTTTCATTCAAGTTCCACTACATGCAAAAAAGAAAGATTATTCAAAAATATTGATTCAGTAAAAAGTTCCAGCACCGTCAAGGAGGCTTGCTCCATTTCTCGTTGTAGAGTTACTTTGGGCAGCTAAGCTAATTCAATATTCATCATGAGATCCCATCGAATATCACTCATCCCTAACGATCCCCACTTCTGGCCATTCCCTCGTAAGGATACTGTAGTTCAGAAAAGAGGGTTACAGTATTAAAATACTCTTTTCATTAGAGCGCCGCTCAATCAACGGTGATGGCCGAATGAGCCGAGCGATGGCCTTTGTATCTTCTTTTATCTTCTGGACGAGATTGAACGATGACAGACAGACGGACGCGCTAGACTTTTAGATTTTAAAATTACAGTAGCATTCAATCAGTCTCAGTCAGCTTACTATTGTAATTCCAGGGTTTTTCAGGGAATTCGTGGTTCTAAGCGCTTTTCATTTTTTTTCATTTCCTTCCTTCCTTTTTTTTATTCTTCTTCATCTTTTTTCCTTACCTTCCTCTTCATTTTCAAAATTTATTCAGCATCGGGGTGCAAATAAATAATTCGAACTCAGAAAGATTATCGTTTCTTTTCCTCCCTTTTGAAATCATTCCAAATCGTTGAAATCGACAAGATCTCCAAATTCGGGATACTCCATGCGCGGCTTGAACTTTCCATTGCCAGGTCCAATCTAAAAAAAGAACTTTTAAGTTTTATGTTTAAAAACACTCAGATAAGTATGGTTTTCAATAGTGCTTATCAATTCAATTCCCCAGCGAACCAAAAAAATTACTTGAAATATTGCGCGTTGATCGAAAACCATCTTGCATGGGAGAAGGATTGAATGTTTATAATCATGGGTGACTCTAAACAAAGGAATGTCAACATTATTCAGTAATGAGAGCAAAATATTGTATTTTGACAAATTGTAAATTGCAAAATAACTATTTTGACAGAAAAAAACCTTTCGTGAAACAAAATTCTAAGAATCTCTATTTAAAAACTAACTTCACAATCTCCGTATTAGTTTCCGTGTTGACAGCGAGTGAAACAATCTTCACATCGACTTTATTTAATCCAACGAGGTGCGTTCCATCATAGACGTAATCTAAAATAATAAATAGCAAAAAATCATAGATGCTTTTAGAGTAAAAAGTAAAAGTAGTAACCTCTAAAGTAAAAATTTCAAAAACCTTTAAATCTTTGGGAAATTTTAAAGCAAAATCTCACATTAGTATTTTCAAGAGCTTTATAGCCATTTAGAAGTTATACTTACTAAAAAGCAAAGCATCAGCTCGACGGAAACACACCAACTCGTCATCCCCGTACTCATCGTATCCGTCATTCTAAACAGCAAACTACATCAATTTTCTATGTTCTAAAACTGGCCGCTTGGAAGCAACGATCAAAGTAGTGAAGGCGTTGACAATCGGAGATCGATTGTCCGTATCGCATCGGCATCATAGCAAGAGTTGTTGTATATACGGCTTTCTATAAAATACATAACAGCCATAGAAGTTGTTTTCAGTGTAAATTAAACGTACAACTACTTTACAAACATTTCACTAGTAGTAACTAAGAATAGCTATGAAAATTTCACGCAGCCCTGCAGCCCTATAAGCACATAAAGTCTAGCATCAAACCAAAATTTGTTTGCTTGGCACTTTATGAAAGCAAATCTGCTTTTTCATTCTATGTTTCAAACACGCACATGGTCCGTCACATGAAGATGTTTGCGTTTTGTCCAGATGAGATCGATCCTTTGCGCGCGGAGATTTTCATTCACCGCCATCAATGCTAACGCCCACGTGAAATGTGCATTGGGATCTAGAAAAAAAAGACATTCTTTCAGATTTGTTTACGTAATAAGTTAAGGTTTCTTATTAGCTGTTTTAACATTTTTAAACCATTAACGTGTTTTAATCATTAACGTGTTTTAATCATTATCGCGTTTTAATCATTATCGTGTTTTAATCATTATCGTGTTTTAAAACCCGTTGAATTAAGTTAAAACTTTAAAAATATTCTGTATCCTGAATAAAAGCAAAATTTGTACAATATTACAACTAAAGTACAACTATTTTCAATTAAACGCCCAAAGTTTCAATGAAACGTTTAGAAATCCTAAGCTAGGATGGGCTTGATTCATAAATTCAAGTGCTAGTTAAAAGAAAAATCCCTTACCTCCACAATCAGCAAAATGAAATGTGACCGTGATGTTTTCGATAAATTTCGCATTTCGTAGCTTCGATTTGCTCTTCATATTGCAGACATTACGCGGCACCAGTGAAACTAAAGTGCAACCTTCTATTAATGAATTAAACTTTTTACTCACTTCCTTCTTTGTAAAGCTCAGGCTCAGGCTCAGGCTTCTCCGTAGTATTTGTTAGTAGAGCTGTTTGCGTTTCTAAACAAGCACATTAGGATAAAGCTTTATAAAACAACTTGTTTTATTCATCTTCATCTGCGCTTTTTCATCTGCATCAACAAAACTCTAAAAAAAGTTTAGTTAACAAGAAAGAAAGTTAACAACAGGTGCAACGTCTTAGTTCTTAGCACTTTAAAAAATATCCCCAACAAGTTGGTAGACATTAGATCTACGAATCTGTGATGCAAAAGTGGTTTAAGCTCAGATGCGGAGTTTAATGCAAAAGAAAGTCGTAGTCTGGTAGGGTAAGGACAAGTTAACATTAAAATTGACTGAATACTTCCTTTGAATAAAATTGGACCTATTTCCCTAATATTACTGGCCTCAATTCGGCTTCATTACGCTCAATTCGCTCAATTTACAACACAAACCGCTACCGTCTCACTGTCAGCCGCTCCAACCGTTGTGATTCCACGTGGTAATGACTAAACAAGCAATATGAGTAAAAAAATATGATACCTAGATACTTTTTAATAGCTTAATATCTATTAAAAGCATAAAAATCTAGGTAAACAATCATTTAGTGCAAAAATGATAAACCCACCAGTTGTTCATGAGATTTAACCACCGGAGGAGCCTTCTCCGGGTTTATTTTCACTTCATCTTCAACTAAATGCAACAAAATTTAGTAAAAACGAACAACACGCTATAGTATAAATTTAGCGTTGTAAAAGTCAAATTTTGTGCCAGTTTAAAGCAGAAAGCTAGAGCTAGAGCTAGAGCCGACATCGAAGGATCAAAAAGCAGCGTCGCTATGGACGCTTGGCTGTCACAAGCCAGTTATCCCTGTGGTAACTTTTCTGAAACCTCTTGCAAGAAACTTTCTCATTCAAAAGGATCGATAGGTCACGCTTTCGCGGTCTGTATTCGTACTGAAAATCAAGATCAAGTTGGCTTTTTAGCTTTGAAGCAAAGAAATATCAGAAATTCGATTAAAAAGAGAAAATAGCTAACTTTGCGCAAAGGTTGATCCATAAAAGAAGAGAATGTTGAAAAGAATCGCCGTCTTTGAGCGCATTTGGAGAGAAAATGAAATTTTTTTGCGAAAAAGCTTTTATACTCTTTTTTCTATGCAAATTTACGCAGGCATGTCTAGCTACGGTATTTTTCTAAAGTAATTGCCTTTTAAAAAGCGAGTTGACTAAAGTTAGAACTTTTAAACTTTTAAGCAAAATCTGGGATAAGCTACTTTGCGCGAAATTGTACGCAATGCAACGCAACGCCAAACGCAACAGAGTTATTTGCGCAACTAAGTCTTTTGCGCAATTCGCCATAACTTTCTTCCAAGTAAACCAATCTTTATGATTTTGGTGTCATTTTGTGGCAGTTGTTGAGATCTACAAAATGGCACCAAAATCATAAAGATTGGCCGACGTAGAAGAAAGTTATGGCGAGTTGCGCGAATGAGCCTGTTGCGCGAAGGAGCCTGTTGCGCAAATAAAATGTCGGAAATTAGCCTACCCCCAAAATCTAGCAAATTTTACTGCTTCGTGACTTCAGAAAGGTTTCTTCCCGTCCTGCTTACGATAACTTTTCATGTGTTTCATGTGTTTCATTGCTCTTATCTCAAGTGATCATTAAATTTTTGCGGATTGATTGTTTAAAAGGTTCTTCTTGTGGGTCAGAACGAGCGGTGAATTAGGCTACGGCTAAATCAGAAAAAGCTACGGCTAAATCAGTAGGCACAAAATACAAAGGTTCGTACCCCATAGCGTGATCGATCCGCCACCAAATTTAACTGTAGGACGCAAGTATTTAATGTTATAACGTTGTCCGACTGGTCTCCGTATCAAATGATTGCCATCAGGGGCGAAAAGATTGACTTTCGATTCGTCGGTGAACACAACATTGGTCCAATCGTGCGACGTCCAACTTTGATACTTCTTAGCAAACTCGAGACGAAGCTTCCGGTGCTTAGCTACCATCAGAGGTTTCTTGGCGGCCCTTCTAGTCATCAATCCACCGTGAATCAGGCGTCGACTCATTGCTTTTCGAGAAATTTCTTTGTTAAATTGTTGCTTCACCATAGCGGCGGCATTCAGCGGCATTCAGATTTGGGTTCTTGTGGGCCAGAACGAGCGCATTGTCTTCTCGTAAAGTTGTAACTGGTAGACGTCGACTTTTTGATGTACGATGAACGTTTCCCGCGGGTTTGGCCCTGGAAATCACAAACGATACAGTTGTTTCGGTACAGCGAAAGAGCTCAGCAACCGCTCAGCAAGCCATTTTTTCGAGCTTCGACGATTCTTTGCCAGAAGTTGATAAGTAGGCGTCGGGCATCTAAAGTAGTTTCTAAAGTAATTGTCTATTTTTCTAAAGTAATTGTCTTTCTTGTCATTGTCTTTTAAAAACCCAGTTGACCAAAGTTCGAACTTTTAAATTTTTAAGCAAAAAGCAAAGCAACTTTTAAGCAAAATCTAGCAAATTTTACTGCTTCGTGATTTCAGAAAGGTTTCTTCCCGTCCTGCTTACGATAACTTTTCATGTGTTTCATTGCTCTTATCTCAAAGTGATCATTAAATTCCGCATTTGTCCCATGCCCGAACTTTTAAACTTACCGTAAATACTGTAATAATACCCGCCCGCCCTTGTACAGTCGCGTAGTCGCAAAAGTTTTTTAGTATTTCATTTTTTTCAAAGCGCCCGTACTTTCAAAAAATGCGCTCCGTAACCTTGTCTCTCTTCTGTCTGTCTTTCTTTCGTCTCGACTACCGTAATTTTCTTGTCTCTGTCTCGACCGTAATCCTCTGTCTGTCGGTCTGTCTGTCTGTCTTTATTTTTATCCAATCTCTCAATTTTTTGTGTCTTTCGATATCTTTTTTGAATCCTCACAGAATCAGATCAAAAATGGATAGAGATATTTGCATTTCAATGATATTATGGCTTTTCTTGTTGAAATTGCTAAAACCTTACCGTAAATACTGTAATAATACCCGCCCGCCCTCGTACAGTCGCGTAGTCGCAAAAGTTTTTTAGTATTTCATTTTTTCAAAGCGCCCGTACTTTCAAAAAATGCGCTCTTAGGCATCAAAAAAATAGCTGAAATTCAGGGCTATTTTTTGATACCAAAGCGCGCATTGTAGCATAAACCAGTGTCGAGAAAAACTCGTTCAAAGCTCGACTACGCAACACTCCGCACCGTCATTATGGGGGTGGGGTACTAATACAGTATTTACGGTAAGCAAAATCTAGCACATTTTCCTTTAGAACTTCAGAGCTTCGTGATTTCAGAAAGGTTTCTTCCCGTCCTGCTTACGATAACTTTTCATTTGTTTCATTGCTCTTATCTCAAAGTGATCATTAAATTTTTGAGGATTTATTGTTTAAAAGCTGAGTTTCTAATTTTTTTAAAGATCGTATTTGGGGATCAAAAAATTCTTCTAAATGACAACAAAGAGAATTTTTCGCTTATTTCGCTTTTTCGCTTATAATTTTGCGATCAGGAATTAGTTGAATTCGAAATTTTATGTTTTCAAAATAGTTTCATTTGATGTTTTTCTGATAATCGGGCTTTAAAAGTCGCTTTCTAGTGGGACAAAAATGATTTTTAGAAAGAACAATTACAGGAAAGCGGTATAATTTTTCAATTTTTCAATTTTAGGCTAAATGTTCTCGTTATCCCTTTTCTTTTCCCTTTTCCTCATCACTAAAGCGGCTTTTTGTCCTCCCGGATCGGTCGATTATCGAGATGACGCGGAACAAATTGCCGAATGTGTGATCGCACTGGATTCAAGTTGGTGAAGAGTAAAAAGCTTATTATCTTATTATCTATTAAAGTCTATTGTCACTAACTAGAGACCCATCCGGATTTACGATCAACTTTCAAAACTTTGCTACAAAATAGGCTTAGTCTCGTTTTGAAAGTTGGTGGTAAGTCCGGATGGGTTCCTAGTAAGTCCGGATGGGTTCCTAGTAAGTCCGGAAGAGTTCCTAGTAAGTCCGGATGGGTTCCTAGTAAGTCCGGATGGGTCCCTAGTAAGTCCGGATGGGTTCCTAGTAAGTCCGGATGGGTTCCTAGTAAGTCCGGATGGGTTCCTAGTAAGTCCGGATGGGTCCCTAGTAAGTCCGGATGGGTTCCTAGTAAGTCCGGATGGGTCCCTAGTAAGTCCGGATGGGTTCCTAGTAAGTCCGGATGGGTTCCTAGTAAGTCCGGATGGGTTCCTAGTAAGTCCGGATGGGTCCCTAGTAAGTCCGGATGGGTCCCTAGTAAGTCCGGATGGGTTCCTAGTAAGTCCGGATGGGTTCCTAGTAAGTCCGGAAGAGTTCCTAGTAAGTCCGGATGGGTTCCTAGTAAGTTCTATATGTAGTTCAATTTTTCAGTGACCGATTTCGATACGGCTCAAAGGACATGTCAACTAATTGGTGGTGAACTCGTTCAACCAACAAATATCATGGAAAACATCATTGCCGTTTCACAAAATGTTCAAGGTAAGAGGAAAAAAAAGAAAGAAATACGATGTCCTTAATATTGCTCTCTCTCTCTTGATACAGTAACCTTTTCAGAGTTGAACAGTCAAAGCCCGTACATCGGTGTGCGAAAGTTCAACGGTGTTTGGTACTACGCAGATGGCTCTCCGCTTACTTATCAAAATTGGAAATCGTGTGAGTGCACGAAAAGGGTTTACATTTGTCAGAGAGAGCACAAAGTACACCCGAGCTTTCAGCAAACGAAACCTCAACACCAGAGTACAGCTGCGCGATGTATCAAGGCGGTGATTTCTATTGGTACTCCTCTCCATGCAATGTTAAACGGCCATTCATTTGCACTTTCTCAGATACGAAAGCAAAAGAAAGTGAGTGAATTTGCATGAAATCCCCAACTTCAAAATCCCATTCAGTTTGCCCGGATAATTGGTCGTATTTCCGGCAAACTGGTGCCTGTTATCATCACCCGATGAGTGACCAGAAGATGTAAGGACTGTAAGGGCTAAATCTACTGTCTGACTTTAGTATCCTTATCTAACTACAGTAATCTTACAGTATGCTTGTCTAATTACAATACCTTTCAAAATAAGCCTAGATTTTAATCAACTAACACTAACACAATCAGCTACAAGACTAAAAAGTCTTGTAGACTAAGACTAAAAAAGATATTTAGTCTTGTAGTCAGAAGACTTTACTCCAGTACTTACTGTACTTCTACTGTACTTTTAAGATTGAGACTGTGCTATTCTTTTAAACAATATTTCTTCTAGAAAATCAACTGGACTTCTCCTCCGTCATATTCTTATTCGGAAGCCGATTCGATTTGTATGAACATGGGCGGGCGACTTGTTTCCATTCACAGTGCCGTGGAGAATCAATTCGTTTTGAGTTAGTTATCAATTTTGCCTCAAAGAGATTCGAGTTGGGCAAACTAGAAGTTGAATAAACTACAGTAATCCATTGCAGATTTGATCGCCTCGGTGATGTCGAACTTCAATTTGACTGCTTGCGCGAGTCGTTTCGAGACTGTGATCGGCCTCGATCAAGCAACATGGTCCGATTCGTCTCCATTCGACTACGATAACCGGGCCAGTGTTTCCTACTACTATGGGGTAAAAGACTGAATTGGATTTTTGCAAAAATCAACATTTTAGATCAACAACGACCCGTACTGTTTCCGCTCAAACTGGAACCCCCATCCCTACAATTACGCAACTTTCGCGAGTTACGTCTGCAAGAAACCCGCTCATTTCTCCGTTTCCGTTTCTCAACTTCTCGAAAAGATCAAACTAGAGAAAGCAAGCAACCCTACAAAAGTTAAACCGCACTAAATTGTTATCCCAATAAATACAACATTTATTCAGATATTAATTCGACCAATTAATTAATTCAGACAGACAATCAATATTAATTAATCAAAAGTTTGAAAATTACAAAACTTGAAGCACACAATAATAAATAGGAAAAGATGAACCAATAAAACGATCATTCATTACTTGCATCGGCAATAGTTTTGAGGAGTTGTTTCCACAATTCTTCCCTAAATGCTACGAGTGAACGGGTAAAATATGAAAACCAACCGTTTTTCTTTCGGAACTCCCATTGTTTTTCGGATCAACGCAGCACCAAATCGATACCCCTGCAAAGTATCCAGATCGCTCGTTGCAAAAGAGCGTGCTTGGGCTTCAACCTAAAAAATATTTTCAAAGTATATGCAATTTAGAGTTTCACCGTGGCATTTTTTATTTTCTCAAATATCCTTAACAAAAACTCACTGTTGGTATCTCATCTTCAAGCTTCTTTGCGGGTGCTCCTATCTTGCGATTTTTTATTACATCATCGAGCGATGGGAAAATAGGCACCTTGCATTGAAGCGATCCAGGAGTGAACTAATATTAAAAAAGGATTAGGCCAACTTTAGTTTCAACTTACAGTCAAATCCAATGCATCCATCAAAATCGACGCCTTTTTCTTACTCACCCCAGTTGCCCATTCCAAATTTGTGAATGGAATGATAGGGGCTTCACCGACTCTAAAAACAAATGATCATTGGAACATTAGGCTCAAAATTCTTAGCTTTTCCCGTGTTAATTATTGATTAAATTCATAAAAACTAACATTTCTTTATCCAAAAGCGCGAAGCAACCGGGTGTTTCTTGTAGTCCTTTGCAGTAATCATCAATCAAAGCTTTAACGGTAGGAGAGACTAAAGAATTTTATAAAGTTAGTAAGATGAGTCAATGTGTCAAAACAGTGCTATCCAAGATTTAGCAAACCAAAATTGATTTCTAAAACGTGGATCCTGATCCGGCGGCCAACCTTGGTCGCGCCGAGCGTCCCAGTATAGATGTCGTTGGTGCTTCGGAGAGTATCATTATCATATTGCTTAGAAGTATTAAGAGATAGATCTCAGTATTGTTACAGGGGTCTTGGAGGGGAGGGTGACCCTTTAACTATGCGTCAAAAACGTCCTTTAACTTTAACATCAAACTATGCGTCAGCCCGAAAACATCCAGTCATAAAAACCTGCCGTTGGGCGGGTTTTTCGGCTTTCGGTAAAGCAATAATATTAAACTGAAATATCAACAAACCATTTGTCGCATAATCTTCACGCGATTTCTTGAACTGAGCAGCAATGTCGGACATCCGGCTTCGTTTTCGTTGAATTTGGCTCTGTAGTTCCCCTTGGAATTTCCTGAATTAAAATAGGTATCACTTTAATAAAAATTTACAAACCTCTTTCGCGTTTCTCGTTTATTAAGCTGTTGTATTGGTCGATTGGTGCTCTCCTTTTGAGCCCTGGAAATGCAAAGTTAATTTGGAAGTAATTAAGAAAAAAAAACCGTTGATTCTTTTTCTCAGTCTGTAGTTTTTTCGTTTCCTCTTGTCTCCTGATGTTAGCCATTTTGCGCTCAACTTTTGCTGCCCGAGCCGCTTCCGCTGCTTCACGATTTCTAAAAAGCAGAAATGTTATTTAAATGATGCATCATATTTAATTAAAGCTGACAACACCAACTTCTGTCTTCTTTCCGCTTTTGTCAATCCATCAGCGCCGACAGCTGGTGATGCCTTCGGCTGAGCGACCTTCGGCTGAGCGACCTTCGCCGGTTTTGGTGCTCGGGACTAAAGTTCTGACTGTTCAATAAAATCTTCTCAAAATCACCTCATTTGTAAAGGAAAAATCATTGGAAGAGAAGTTGTCCCAATTGCCCTGATCGCATGTGTAGTCTGAAACAAAACCATTAAAGTATGTTCCGGTCTTTTAACGCTATGTTCAAGCTAATATGTTTAAAAATGTGTGCCGATTGAAATTTGACAACGACTCAAATAAAATTTTTGTAAAATTCGTAAATTTCCTTACCACTCCACACATTTTGTCCAGCAAAATCCATTGGAACAAATCTAAACAACTAAAAGATAGAAAAACTTCTAATCAACCTTTCTAATAAAGATTAGTCTGCAACAAAACAGATTATTGATAAAAACGGCTTCAAGTATAACATTTATTACGATGAATATTATTTTATAATTTCATTAGTGTAAGGCTCTTAATATAATCACAAAATATACACGTTTCCCAACCAATCACAATAAATCTTTAACTTGCGAATCAATAGCGACAACTTTTTTATTCACATAATTTGACGAATTCGTATTCACGTTTTCCAGTACATATCTAAAAGTTGCGTTAAAATATGTATGAAAAAAGTTATTGATAGATACCTGTAATTAACCATAATACCGAAACTGTTATAAAGACCACGGACACTCGTATCGCCTCGCCAATTCACTCGAAAGACTTCAGCACCATTTCGTAAGTGAAAGTTCGCTAAAATTGCAAATAAAGAGGCAAGTTAAGAAAAAATAACTTACTACAAAGTAACACTCACCGACTGGATTTAACGCGTAGCCATTCCGCTTTTCAACGCATAAATATTGAGCACATAATCGCTGTAGTATCGGCTTCACTATTTCAATCTTCTCCAATTCAATGCGTTCATTGCACAACTAAATGTATTTAAATACTGCTAACAAAATTGCAATACCAAGTTCAACAAAAGTGTTCTAGCCTGCGCTGGGTCAACTTTCTGCTTGGTGATTGAAGTAAGGTGTTCAAGGCAAAAGTCGCTGATAACATTTCCTAAAATCACAATATTTAGTTCGCAGAATATAACAAACCAAAATTCTGCGGTTCTTTTAAAGCTCGCAGAAGCCATGAACGAAAACCGGGAATCGGTGAAAGCGTCGAATGAGTGCTGATTTGCTGTTCCTCTTTTGAAATTTGAGCAGCCACGCTTTTTATCAGAAGATTCCCAAGATCAACACCGGACAAGCCTAAAATTCAGACTTTAAGAAATTAAAAACCAGTCAAACCTTTTTGCGTCGAAGTGATCGAGTAATAAATTGCCGTATTATCATTAGCCTCCGGGTAGTTCAGGTCCTCGTCTTTTGTGATCTTTTGTACATTTGATGCAATTTGATCGGTAAGAGCAACGTGAACGATTACCAGCGGCTCTCTTGGTAAGGCTTCGTGAAGGAAATAGAAACATCTAAAAGTCTAGATTTTGACAGGCTCAAAAAGCTTTAAAAAAACTAATGGGGGTGGCTAGTTTGCGTCAAATTTTTTTTGCGAAACTAGCTATAACTTTCTTCTAAGTGAATCAATCTTGATGATCTTGGTGTCATTTTGTAGATCTCACTAAGTGCAACAAAATGACACCAAAATCATAAAGATTGATTCACTTAGAAGAAAGTTATGGCGAATTGCGCAAAAAAAATTGACGCAAAGTAACCACTCCCAAAACTAATGCAAGTGATAGTTCAAAAATTTAAAAGCCACAGTAGGCTAAAAAGACTACGAATGTAGAATTAACGTCATCTATACAAAATGCACTCACCTTCTATGTGGTCCAAGTCGTCGTCTTATATCAACAAGCCCATGCACTCGGTGTACTGCTTCATAATTCGCCACCTTTACTAAAAGACAATTTTACAAGCTAAAAATTAAAAAAACCTTTTGTATAATGTCCCCAGGCGATTCCCAAGTAAGGCGACAGAGTTTCAAATTCGATAGGCAAAACCACGATGTCAGCAGTTCTCGACACGTTTCCTCAAGTCGTCTTAACACAATCAAATCCGATTTCTCCGTTGATTTTATCCTTATTTGATCCTAGAATTATAAAACATAGAAAATTGAGTAATTCACAAACCAATAAAAATTCTCGCAGATCGCAAATATGTTTCACACCTCCATTTACGTTTCCAATCGATTGAAAAAGTGTGTAGAAGCCGGGAGTTGCCGCAGATCGCACGTCCATGAAGAGGGCATTGTTCTGAAAAATATTTTATAAAATGAAACAACTAATTCATATTAGAATATATGCTCTACAACATCTGTTTACCAAAGACGCAAGATCATGAAATTTAGTAGAAACCCTAAAGGTTCAATAATCTACCTTTGAATATCTTGAAATGGATCCCTCCAGATCCGCATGGTTTACTCCAGCATTTTGTCCCAGCTCTAACAATAGTTTCGTTTTTCCATCAACATCATTACTCGTATAGGCATCGAGAAAGCTTCTAGACGCGTACTAGATAAAACAAAGTTTAAAATAACAATTCGAAATACCGTCAATTGGTCGGGAGTTGGTCGCGATTTAAGCACATTGAGAACGCTGCTTAACGATGTAATTGATCTTCTTGAGTATAATCGGACGCTCATTCAAATCTGAATTGAGAAGATTTGATCAAAAAAGCAATTGAATCTTTAAACAGAGAGGGATAGCTTGCATAGAAAGAGCGTGTAGTTTATCGATATGGCTACGTGAATGTACTTTGTGAAGTGTAAGAGCCCAACAACATGAAGAAATATAAAGCGAAAGAAAAGAGAAAAGAGAAAAGATACAGATTTGCAAAAGTATTCTTATGTTCTTGGACTTAGGCTGTAATTTTGAATCTTTAAAAAAGATCTCTGACGAATTTGGCAAGCACAAACGAATTTGACAATAGAAAATGGAAAATGATGAGATTGAGAAATCGAACGGCATTTTTTGTTCTTTTACTGATTTCGTCTTTTAAATCTCTAACATTCTGAATATTTTGTGTAGGCAGAAATGAATTCTAAATCTTGTAGAAACAACAATCATTCATTTGCTCCGTCGTTCGATCTGAAATCGAATAGTTTAATCAAAAGATCACACACAGGAAAAAGTTCGGCTAAATTGAAGAGCCAAAATAGATTCAAAATCAAAAAACAGAGCCAAAATACATTCAAAACCAGTTTTTATGCTTTACTATGTCTGGTTATGCATAAAAAATATAAAAATAATGAGGGGAAAAGTTTTTAAACCAAAAAATTCGGCTTTTAATTTCGACCTTTTGGACGGTAAAGTCCAAAAGATTGAACTTTACGGTTTAAAAAAAATGACTTACAATCGACTCTCTCTATAACGGAACCCTAATCGAGCATATATAGCGGAAAGCTCTATATAACGGAATGGAATTTTGGTCCCGGCCGACGCTAAGCTATTTTAAATATAAAAAACTATATAGCGGAAACTCTATAACGGAGGAAAAATTTGGAACCGCTTATATAACGGTCTCTATATAACAGAATAGTTAAGATCAATGAAGAGTCATCAAATTGACTAATTTACTGCTAAGCTCTTCAATATTATGTAATATTTTATATTTACATAGTGGTTAAGTATACATACCTCTAATAGTACCTCTAATAGTAGTATAACTTCTTTTAGTATAACCCCCCGTACAGTCGCGTAGTCTAACTTCTTTTAGAAAATCTTCCCGTGAACCCCCACAAAAAAAATTTATTTTTAAAAAAATTTTCCAAAAAATTTACCAAAAAAAATTTAAAAAAAAAAAAAAATAAAAAATTTTTTAAAAAAAAAAAAAATATTTTTTTTTTTAAAAAAAGTTTTAAAAATTATAAAATAATTAAAAAAAAAATTTTAAAAAAAAAAAAAAAAAAAAAAAAAAAAAAAGGAAAAAAAAAAAAATTAAAAAAAAAAATTTTTTTTTTTTTTTTTTTTTTTTTTTTTTTTTTTTTTTTTATTTTTAAAATTAAAAAAATAAAAAAAAAAAAAAAAAAAAAAAAAAAAAAAAAAAAAAAAAAAAAAAAAAAAAAAAAAAAAAAAAAAAAAAAGGGAAAAAAAGGGGGCAAAAGCAATTTAAAAAAAATTTAAAAATGTTTTTTTTTATAAAAGAAAAGGAAAAAAAAAATAAAAAAAAAAAAAAAAAACGGAAACCCCCCAAACCCCCCCCCCCACCAACACAAAAATTGGAATTAAAAACAAAAAAAAAACCCACAAGGAAAAAGTTGTGTTTTTTTTGGGAAAAAAAAAAACCCAAAAAAAAAAAAAAAAAAAAAAAAAAAGGAACAAAAAAAAAAAAAAAAATAAAAAAAAAAAAAAAAAAAAAAAAAAGAAGGGGAAATAAAAAAGGAAAAAAAAAAAAAAAACAAAAAAAAAGGCCAAAAAAAAAAAAAAAAAAAAACAAAAGGGGAAGACCAAAAAATTTGTTTTAAAAAAATTTTATAAAATCAAAAAAAAAAAAAAAAAAATATTTAATTAAAATAAAAAATAAAAAAAAAAAAAAAAAAAAAAAAAAAATTAAAAAAAAGAAATAAAAAATGGGGGGGGGAAAAAAAAAATTTTTTTGTAAAAAAAAAATATTTTTTTTTTAAAAAAAATAATAATATATAAAAAAAAAATTTTCATTTCCCTTTTCTCCTTTAATTTTTCAAAACCCAATGTTTAAAACAAACCGGCAAAAAGGTCCTTTAAAAAAATTTAATTAAAAAAAAAAAAAAAAAAAGGGGGAAAAAAAAAAATTAAAAAAAAAAAAACAAAAAAAAAAAAAAAAAAAAAGGGGGGAAGAAAGGGTAAAGGTTAAAAAAAAAGGGGAGGGGTGTTTTTCCCAAGGGGTGTGGGTGAATTTTTTTTTGTTGTCTCTTCCTCCCTTTCTTTTACCGTGTTTGCCCCCCCCGGGCCTTTTAAAAAAAAAAAAAAAAAGAAAAGAAGGAAAAAAAAAGAAAAAAGAATGAAGTTTTTTTTTTTTTTAAAAAAGAAAGGGGATAATAGAGTTTTTTTGGATTTTTTTTTTTTGGGTTTGAGGAAATTTATGGAAATGATAAAAAAATAAAAAAAGGGTGAGAGAAATTTAATTTTTTTTTTTTTTTAATTTTTATTTTTTTTTTTTTTTTTTTTTTTTTTTTTTTTTTTTTTTTTTTTTTTTTTTTTTTAAAAAAAAAAAAAAAAAAAAAAAAAAAAAAAAAAAAAAAAAAAAAACAAAAAAAAAAAAAAAAAAATTATTTTAAATAATTAAAAAAAAAATAAGGAGGTAAAGTATGATAAAAAAGGTAAGGAAAAGAAAAGAGGGGGTGAAAATAATTATTGATTAAATTTATAAAAACTAACATTTCTTTATCCAAAAGCGCGAAGCAACCGGGTGTTTCTTGAAGTCCTTTGCAGTAATCATCAATCAAAGCTTTGACGGTAGAAGAGACTAAAGAATTTTATAAAGTTAGTAAGATAAGTCAATGATCAAAAAACTGTTAATCTACCAGTTATCTACTATGTATATAAAAGGCAAGTGTCCGTCTGTCCGTCACAGGCACCCAACTCGGCGTCCAGAGCGAAATTCGGGACGCACTTTTTTTGTTCAATAGGAATTTTTTTCACACTCGGCCTCCAAAAAATCAGAAAATTTTATCGAACGATTTTTTTAAAAAATGCAGAAAACTGAAAAACTAGCCGAGCCCAATGTTGCTTAACTTCCGCTCGGCGCGCAAATGGTCGAATGGTTAAAGCTAAAACTTCTTTAGAAAACCTTAGAATACATTGTCGTTGTGCCATTAAAAAAAAAAATCAAGATTGAGTGAAACACTCTGAAATCGAATCCGGGTCGGGTGGGACAAGCGCGCTCCCGACTGCGCCGCGGCGGCCGAGATTTCAGCCGCCCACTAAACTGATCTAAATATTCAGTTTCTTTTTTTTGTTAGGTAGGGCATTTTATGTAATTTTAAATATCTTTTAAATTTTTAAAAGCAAAAATCGGGGTACCTACGGGGGACCGAACCCGGGTTGTGTGGGCAACGGTTGTGCTACCCACTGCACCATGGGCGCAAAATACAAAAATTTACATTTTTTTGCCGGAAATTTATCCTTTTCATTAATTTATACGATTAATTGACATAATCTCTTTTTTGTCGTCTACTATATAAAACGGGAGTGTCTTTCTGAGGGTGCCACCCCCACCCTCAGAAAGATGAAATTGTGTGTGTGTGTCAAAATTGAGTGAAACACTCTGAAATCGAATCCGGGTCGGGTGGGTTATAGACTAAGCGCGCTCCCGACTACGCCGCGGCGACTACGCTCCCGACTACGCCGCTCCCTCCGCCCGTACAGCCGAGATTTAACAAAATTGGTACGATTGCATTGTTTTTATTACGAATTTATTTTTAGAAATCAATGAAACACTTATGTAAATGAAATTGCATTGAAAAACTCCTTAAAACGGAAAAATCGAAGGACTGCCTGAAGCGGTGTTGTGCCTCGCGAAGGGCTCGACGTCACGGAGAAAATGCTGACCGCTGGCTCCTCGAGGGAATTCTGTCGAGGGCTCGACGCGATTATCTTCTACTCGTACCGGATGGGCATTTACAATCTCGTCCGTCCAATGTCTTTCAAAGTCGTTTTCGCCTCGTGCCTCGTCGCATGCCTGATCGAACCTCGTCAAATCGTTTGCTGTTCATTCAAAGTCCTCGCTCCCGGTATGCTCGATTTTGCGTCATTCGTGGATCGGATCCTTCGCAATACAAGCAGAAGTCGCATTCCGTCGTCGCCGCCGAGGATGACTCGCCCGCCGTGAATCAGACATTTGGATATTTGGACTAATTTTCTTTGCAACTTTGACCTTTTTAACTCCTCCAATGTCTCTATTTAGCCAGTTTATCTCTATTCCGAGATCGGTAGTTCCCGAACTGGGTAACTCCAAAATCGGTTGTACCTGTTACACGTTAAGATGACAGCTTGATTACGGTTCCTTTTAGAAAACGCAAATGTCAATGAATCTAGCTATAACTGTAAATCTCAGCTTTTTCCGAAAACCCCTTTTCTTTCGCATTCTCTAAATCCGAAATGGTGTAGGGTGTCACCGTCTTCTTATTTCTTTCCATTTCTTTCCATTTCTTTTCACCCGTTCCACCGTTCACGTGTGGGGGTTTGTGGAAAAAGGAATTGTAAGAGAGAAGCGTTTCCGCGTTTTCGACTGCCAAGCCCACCCCTCAATTCGCAGGGTATCCCCTCTCTTTCCCGACAACCACTCTCGATCAAAAAACCCCACTTCACGTGGCACAAGTGCCCCCGATGTTTTTCTTCAAGTTTTTCTCCAAGTCTACGTAGATTTGGTGTTTAGCTTAAGGTTAGCTGTTGATTCGTGTTCAATGAGTCACCATAATATTGCCTCTTCTAGTTCGAATCTGTTTTTCCTCAATTTTAGCAGCGTAACTAGAGCACTACAGCAGAGTAACTATAGTAATCGAACAGTCTACAGTAACTCAACCAAAAGTTTCATTTAGTAGTCTAACATTGTGCTCCGCGCTCTCTTATAACCAGTTTTCTAAAAAGTATCAATTTTCTCGACTACCGTAACCTTGTCTCTCTTCTGTCTGTCTTTCTTTCGTCTCGACTACCGTAATTTTCT